GTCACAGTAATGTCTAGTTCTTGTTTTCCAAAGCACCATATACATAAAGATGTTAATACTGTTATTACTGCATGGCTTGTCAGGTTTTATTTTCCTTTAATTGGAGCATGTCAGAGAGATTTTCAGTGTGTAACACAATGTTAAAAAATGATGAAGTGGAAATAATTGCTGGATCTGTGAGCATCAGGAGCTCACTGTGGACCTCTTCATCCCTCCTCTGGATTCATTGTGATCCACTCCTCCTCTTACTCTTGTTGAATTAAGGATCAGGTGATAAAGGAGGTGACGTTGGTCTAACCCTGGGCTGTGTCAAAGAGGAAATCTCAGCTTAATCTTAATTTTGATCACTTATCTGTTATTCTTGGATGTAGATCATCATTCATCGCTTTAAAGTTTTGTATCTTCCTTTTAAATATAACATGCTTAATGAAGAGTAAGCTATAAATAGATGTAACAGACTTCTCTGATTATTCATGACTACACTCACGCTATCGTTTCTTGGATCACAGCCTCTGTTTGTTTACATTTTTCATGCTCCTTTTTTATTATTATGATAAAATATAAATCATGCAGTTACTCTCGCTGCTTTTTTCAGTCCTTTGTGCATGTGCTGAATATGCTGTATATTACACCACATGAATAAATAACGTTCCATGTGGTATGTCTGTTTTTCCAATATATTTTTTAGTATCCTGCAGTCTTTTCTGTAATTTTTTTGACATTAACGCTGTAAAAGACCATGTGCATTTACTACTCTCTGCGCTCTCTGGTTGAGGGTAATGCTGTTTCTTGTTTTTTCTTATCTTTCTTCATTTATTATTCTTTTTCTTCCTCTGCTGGAGGTTATACATTTCTGCTAGCCGTGTCTGTTAAATTAGTAATAGGACCTACCTTACTAATGATGATCTTTATAAATAAATGCAGCTGTGAAGGATTTCTATGAAAGAGTTGGAAAATTATACGGGGGAGGAGCGTACTGGCCGTATCTTCAGCATTTATCCCACCTATTATTCAAAGAGAGAGTTACAATTTGCAGGACAAAAGGGTCTGATTGAGATGAGCTTCACATGTATATGTAATTGAGCAAAGCAGAGCGGACGTAATCAACATGTATCTGCTGCAAATTCTGTGCTTTTAATATAAAAGCGGAAATTAAAAAGACAGAGGTGTTGTCTGAGACCATGAAGCAGGTCTGCGCAGTCTAAACTCCAGTGTGATGGATTTTTATTCACACCAACTTCCCAAAATCAGCAAACAGTGGCAAACAAAATTGAAAGTGAAAACAGGCAAATGAATTTCATATTCAAAGCAGGTTTCACTAGTGATGTGTCCTTTAGTGCCGAGGCTTCGGAACATGTGCCAAGTAATCCCAGAATTTTTTGGCCAGAGCTGAAAAGCCCTGGCTCCTTGCCTTACTGAAAAAAAATAAAAACTTTGCAAAAAAATAAAAACAAAAAAATATAATAACAAAAAAGCAAAAAAAAAAAAAAAGACAGCAACAACAAAAAAAAAGTTTAAAAAAACAAACAAACAAACAAAAAAAACCTCAGTAACTTCGCCCAATTGTTTCAATTATGTCATTTTTGCTGGTCCCAAGCCCGGATAAAGGAGGAGGGTTGGTTTTGTGACATTAAAAAAACAAAAATCGACACAAGACAGTTCATTTGTAGTTCCAAACATGTTTGGGTTTTTTTTTTTACTCACTTTTTGTTTCTTCCCATGATGTTGTTCCTCTCCCTTACAGTGTCCAATACAATTTTGCCAATTATGCAAATTACACGATGATGTCATTAAGCGACTTCTAGCGACTTTTAGGACAGCCAATAGCTTCTTTCCTTACTGAGGAGTTGGCAACACTGGATGGCTCTTCTCTAAACTGTTAAATGGGAAGTCAGTAAGTGTAAGTGTTTGGTTTATTAATAACCTGTACACATAAAAGCATACACATTGTTTTGGGATTCACAATCAATCTTGAACATTATCTTTGAAAGTGTCTAGTTCTTTTATTTTGTCCGTTTTATTAAGGTGTACAGGACCATTATGAAGGTTCAAAAAGGCCATAACTCGTAAACATTGCTGCCAATACATAAGGCAGAGACAGGACTGAAAAACCCTGACAAACAAACAAAAAAAATTCTTAATTGAGTATTTTTCTCTGTATAAATGTTATTGCTTGACAGCTCTTCTCTCAACTGTTGAATGGGCAGTCAGGTCAGGAAGTGTAAGTGTTTGGTTCATTGATTACCTGTACAGGTAAAAGCTTACACGTTGTTTTGGGATTCACAATCAATCTTGAACATTATCTTTGAAAGTGTCTTATCATTCCTCAGAGAACTGCTTCAGTCAGCTTGCTAGTTCTTGCAGTTCTTTCATTATGTCTTTTTTATTACCGTGTACATGACCATTATGAACCCCAGGTATTATTTTTCGCACAATATCAATATATACTTTTTTCATAGAAACAGTTTTGATCAATACTGGTATACTGTGACAGTCCAAATGGGTATATCTTATTAAAGCCTGATGAAAGGTGTATTAAGGTTATATTAAGAGCTTTTGAATGCTTCACCTGCTGTTAAAAACACTACATTTTACTGGTCTAACTATGTCTTGCTTCTTTACCTTTCCATGTATGCTGCTGGTTCAATTTTACTTTGAGATGAGTTTGTGCATTATTTTCTGTTTATTAGCATAAAACATTCAATAGTCAGACAGAAACTGAGTATTTGACTTATTCAGGGTCTTATTTGAAGTAAGCAGGAAACAAATAAAGGTATACCAGCCATTGACTAGCTTCAAAAGGGTTAAAAATGAGGTTGTTTACCCTGTTACCTAGCAACCGGTTTAGTGACCCAAGCCAATCGGGGAGTGACGGGGCTTTTAAAACCTCCATCACAAGGTCGAAACCACAGAGTGAGGCAGAGTGGGAGGAGCCCGACATACCTTCACCTTAATATGGGCCTGATGAATTTTTTTTTTTAAATTCCATTACTTTTATTGGTTCATGTTGTAACTTTTGCCCAGAAGTGAGTGGTACATCCTAATGTAATGCTGAATGACCCAGTCATAAAGCCCACACTCAGACACTCACCGACTTTGAGACGTGTTCCCACTAAGTCTATAAAGTTTTAGGACACAAGTGCATGAAGGATCTCTGCCTGACTCTTTAAATCCTTTGTGCACCCTTTCTGCAAGTGAACATATCTGCAGACTTTGTGTGTGGGGATCATCCTTAATAAATATTGTTTTGACATAAAATACAGGAATCCCATGGGGAGCTCACGGGAAACATGGAAGAGTAACTGAATCAGAATCAGTTTTTTTTGGCCAAGTATGTGTACATATAGACGAAACTTGACTTTGGTAAACTTTGCTTTCTAAGTACAAACATTAAACATGAAATATTCAAAAAATATAAAGTATGAACAACCGAGATATAGACATTTAACTTACATATATAAGACAGTTGTGCAATAGGGGCAATTATGAGGAGTCCAGTGGAGTCAGAAAAAATATGCATGTCATTATATTACAGGTGGGTTATGTAAATGAGGTCAATATACATTCTGTTTAAAGTGTTAACATTAAAAAAATGATATTAATAATGAAGTGAAATGAACTTTATAACATGGAAATAAAAAAAAGACAGTAAATGAGGAGCATGGTGTCTGTCTTTAAATCCCAGCTCATCCCTGACAACATTTTTCTTTGCTAATGGATTATATTCATACTATTGTACAAAATCTAACAATGCCTCTTTACGAGATAAAATCTGCAGATATGCAGAGATAAATCTGGAACCATCATCCTGTTTTTCAATTACCTCTTTAGAATGATTAATATAAATGAAAAACTTAAATATTAATATTCTGTTCTGAGTAACATAGCTGAAATATATAATCAGACAATATTTGCCCCCTTTAGAAGCACACTGTTGAAAGAATTTTCCAGGCAAATTTTTGTACCTCTATTTTATCTTTTTTAAATTTCTATTATATAAATCGATTATGTTGAACTTCTCAATAATTTGATTTTTTTTAAATCAAACTCAGCTTTAGAGTGTATCAAAAGTGAAAATTAGGGTTCATGCAGCAACACAGGACTCGTCTAGACATGATCCTTTGTCGCACCGACCATTTCCACAATACTTCCTTCAAGATAAACTAGAATATTCTGGTTTTATACGACAACGCAAGCTCAAGTTAGCCCTGGTTATCTGGCAGTCTACAAACAAACTGACTGATGAGAACTATCTCAGTTGAGCATCTTCAGTTTTACATTCCCTCCCCACCAAAATAAGGCAGTTCAAAAACTGATTTTCTTCAAAGAAATAAGTCGCTGAAACACAATCTGATTAACACTTTATTGCTGTTATGTAATCACTATCCAGAAACTTTTTGTTTTATCACTTTTCGTTGACATGGGTTCTCGAACATTTTGTTTTTGTCTCCATTTTCTCATAAGGTAATACTGTTTACTGTTTATTTACAGAGGTACTTCATTAATTATTTCATTTTGGGTGTTTATTTCTGGCTTCAATCACTTTTTTGTTTTATGCAGTGTCCTGAAGGGGGTATTCCCAGGTGGGGCAGGAACCAAATACTGTCCTCATGCTGTAGTTTGTGAAAATGGTTACACAAGCAAACACTGTTAGGCGCTTCAGTGGTATAGAGGGTACTATTTCTCAAGAAATGAAATTAAAAGAACCAAGTAAGCAAACCCTTACAGTGACCTGCATTATGATGGTAAGGTCTGCAGCCCCAGAGTCAAGAGGTACTTGGTTCAAATCCCAGCATGGGACTTTTCATGTGATGTTTTCCTAACTCTGCTGTCAGACCCTTGATTTTGGACAATCACAAAAAAATAGTAAAATGACATGACCTCAAAGTGCAGTAATACAAGTGTGTGGTGTGGTTGATAGAGCCACACTCTTTAAGTGAAGTGTTCCTGAGTCTAAATCCTCATTCGGGACTTGTGTAAAGCACAACTGAAATGCTTTGCTCACATGGAAATCTGAGTTTAGCATATAAAAAATGATTGAAGGTAAAATATGGCAAAGGGATCCAACCCATGAGTCAGATGGTCCTATTTTCAAATCTTCCCAGTGCGGGGACTTTCAACTGGGGCAAATGTGAAATGCATCTCCCACCTTGTAGACTCAAGTAGATTTTAAATAGTCATAATGAGACGGTCCAGTGAAAAGACTTGAAAAGGCTGCCATCAGCAGGCTGGCCTGTGGTGTACTGGTTTAAACTCCAGCCTTTGAGTGAAATGGTCCTGGGTTTAAATCCAGAATAGGGGATGAGATGGGCAGAAAAAGGGAGGGGCAGGGCAATGAAAGAGAGAAGGGAGAGAAGGGAGGGGAGGAGGGGTAGATAGAGAAAGAAGGATTAAATTAAGTTATTAAAAATTTAACACTATCCAAAAAACATTACTGTACACAAACTGTTATGAGAATCTGATATTCATTCAAACAAAGACGTTCAATGTCCTGCTATTATTCTGATGTAAACTTTTCCACCAGAGGCTTTTCAACAAATGTCCATTGTCCAAAATGTCCCAGACGACAGCTACTGGTCTAACTGAAGAGTTTTTGTGTGTGGGGGGGGGGGGGGGGTATGGGGTAATGTCTGTGTGGTACACAGAAGAGAGAAAGAAGAAAAACAGCTGAGAAGAAAGAAAATTATGACATGCAGGTTCTGTTCCTTCTCAATCCTTCCAAATCATGAAAAGACATGAATAAAGAGTTTCTCTGCGTGCTTTCTCACAGGAACTTTGCAAATCTAACCTGAACTGCAAAATCATTTAATCTTTTCCTCTTTCTTGCATTCAGTAGCAGTAAAACTTGGCTGATATTTAACTGTTGCTTGAATAAGAGCAGCGAAAAAACAGCAACTACTCCACTGAACAGGCGGTAGACATCCATCTTTAAGACAGCGGGCTGATCAAACCTAATAATCTTTTCGTCCATGGACCGGAAGAGGGGACAAGCGTGAGATAGAGAACATCTGTTTTGTAGATGTCACACTGCTGCTCTGTTTAAAGTTGTAGGTGCACATCAACACTATCTCAATAGAAATAAAGAAAATGTCATATATGTAAACAAGTCAAATGACAGATAACGAATACTGAATGACAGGTTTGCTGTTGAGCTCAGATCAGTCTAAGATGTACACAACACTTCTTGATGTGATGTTGCAGCAGGAACAGATAAGAAGATCATTTATGAATAAAGATGGTTAAACAGAACAAACCCTTGCAAGGTTCAAACCATTTCATCTCTGTCTCTCTGTCACCCACGTCTAGCGATGTTTGGTTTCCAACCAGCTGAATCAAAGAGGTCATGTCAGGCAGGGAGTCGCAGGTGAGCAGCAGGGGGGAGGGTCTTGTCAGAACAAAAGGAGAGAGAGAGAGAAATGTTTGTGTTCGTTTATTTGAAGGAGGTAAGAGGCCAGGAAATCGCAGAGGGGAACACCAGAAAAGACATTTTGTTCTTTTAATGGAGTGTTTCCTCCTCCTCCTCCTCCTTCTTGTACCAAATGTAAAAGTTTTTCTGTGTTTTGGAGGAGGACTGTTATAATTGAGCCTGTCAGAGGACTCTCTGGCAGGTGCTGGACCAGTTGAGAACTTAACGATGAGAACCAGCGAGTTTGACTCCCTTACCCCTTACCCCTTGTTGTCCTCTCACATTTTTCTTTACAGCATTTGAAGCCTTTTTTTCACTAAACGCTATTTTTCGGACATTTTGGTTTGACATGGTGGATTTCAAAAAGTAGCATGACCAGATTTTATCAAACAATTACAGCATTGAATTAAAAACTGTTGATTTAGTAATTTATTTTGGGGAAAAATTATGCATTTTGAGTCCAAAATACACTGTAACACTTTTTGTTTTTTTACTGTGTAGTCTGAGGGTATGAAGCCAGCTCTTGTTGTTCACATGCTGTAGTGCCCTTGGGCAAGAAATTAAACCTTGATCTGTCTTTGGTGGCTGTGCCGATGGTGTGAGAAAACAGCCTCTGCTATCAGTGTGTGAATGTGGTGTGAATAGAGTGGATGTTATTCGTGAAGTGCTTTGAGTGGTTAGAAAACTGGAGAAAGCAATCCTCAAATACAGTCCATAATGACCATTTAACATTAATGTCCCCTGGCTCTGGTCTCAGAGGTGTTTTGCTCATTTGTTGTATGAAAGCCACAAACTTCACTTTTAAAATGTGAAGCATGTCTTCAACAACACAGCTTTCAATCAGCCTGATTAGTCCTCGCTGGCTCACAGATTGTGCAGTTGGCAGTGATTTCAAATCAAGCCTAGGCTGTTAGGATGGACCCTTTTCAGAGGGTTCATATTTGTCTGCAATGCACCTGATCAGATTTAGCAATCTTGGCAGAAGACACACATTTTTTTTTTCCCATTCAAAAATGACATCGAAGCTCCATATTGTCATTCCGTGGTCTTGAGGAAGAAAAAATCATACTGATGTCTCACAAACAGAAAGCTTGTACACAAATGATCATAAAACATTTTGTGTATTTACTCCACCAGCTTTTTTCCCCATAAACTTGCTGCATGGTCACACGATGAATCAAATCAATTAACCAGCTTTCTTACTGATCATCTGGCTGTTTTGGATACTTGTTTCTGATTGGTCAAAACCCAATAACAACAGTAATACTTATGAAAAGCAAGGGAATCAATCCACAGAGAGGAGTCTGGGACATGTGTGAAGTTTCACTACTCTCTGTTGACACTGTTGCAAAAATGTACGTTTCTGATAACATCAATAAAAACTTCTTTGATTAATTTTGAAACTACTAAAGCATTGATTGGTGGTTTATGGCTGACCAGTCATGAGCAGAGAAAAGGGAAGAAGCCTTGTGAGAAAGACATTGATTAAATTGAAGAAAACCTCAAGCCTCAACACAGTGGCAGTCTTTGGCAGTCTTACAAGACCCGCTTAGTGAAAAGAAAATACCAACAGAAAAATCTCTTCCTGTCTCATTCAAACATAGTTAAACAGGTGAAGTAATGTCTCATGAGTCCTCTATTTAAGCCTTCTTCGTCACACACTCAGCTGAGGTGGCATTAAACCTCTAATGTCTGAGATGACCCCACACTTTTTTGATTTATATAAAACATATAAAAAGACTTTTTTATATGTGTGTGAGAGAGAAATTTATCTTCTTATCTTACAGCTTCTGGCTGCAGTTTAATGCATGACACAGCTAATAACATAATGATTTTCAATAAAACTATATGTATGACAGTCTGTGTCACAGCACCTCCATTAGCTGATTGTTACAGTGATCCTGCTGGAAACTACTGGAGACTGAAAATCAATGAAAAGGATTTCAACCTAATGTTCCTACAGGGACCCACTGTGTGTTTCATTCTATTTCAGATTTGTTATACTTAAAGGTGCAGTGTGTGTCAGACGCCCCCTTGCTCACCCCTCCTGCTGGTGGAACAATGGTGGGCTTGAGAACAAGAAGCTCCTAAGATGCGTAGGTATGATCCAATACAGACCCGGCTGGAGAAACAATTGAGAGGGAGGGCTTTTCTTTTTTCAGGGGGGCACACTTATTTAAACCTGTATTTTATCTGCTTCAGGCGTAACGGCAGCTCCTGTGGCCACTCCTACAGCATTGAAATGTTATTTTCTCTCAGTAACAAGAGGCATTTCATCTTTAAATATATATAAATTAAACAAACAAAACACAGTAGTGACTGTAGTGCTGTGTTAATTTATTATCAATAAAATAAACACATTAATTCATTTGGACTATCACTCAGTTCCTCGCAGCTTTAATGTTACCGCAAAGCTGCTGTAGTGTATTGTTATTCATGACGTTTACTTCATCACTCACGTTTCCAGACAGGAGGGTCTTGCTGCTTGCTGCTGCTCCCAGTGCTACTGGTGCTCCCTAGCTGCTGTTGCTCCCTCCGCTAGCAGGAATGTTTACTCCGGTGTGACAGTTGGCTGCAATGCTTAACTTCCTAAAACTGAAGCTGTGTGGTGCTGCCGCTACTTCCTGCTTGCTCCCGTCAGTGTTAGTCGTAATTTTTGACAAACAAAAGAAACCTCTTGTATCCATTTTTCTGATGCTTACCGTCAGGTCTGCCTTCTGCCGCGCCGCGTCCATCTATGAATATTTGAGCTTTAACTTAAGTGGCCTACCCCCTTAACCTGTAATTGGCTAACACGTTGCCTTTGATCGATTGGATTGGTTAGATTGATTGACATGTCAATATAGATGGGATTAACTGAAGATGACTACTCTGACGGAAAAAACTAACCCCAAATCAAATTAATAGAAATTTTTGTTTTTAGTCCAGGATGGGCAAAACTGACTCAGTGGGCGGGCACGGCCCCTCAATGCCTGCCCATGCCGCCGGGTCTGATCCTATGTATGTAGAGTCTTTACTACCAACCCCACCATACAAAACGTTTTTATATCCAGGTGATTATGTACATAATTTAACAAACTTTTGAATTATACAATCACTTTTAACTAAGTGTGGTCCCAAAAATGCTGCTAAATATTGCACACCGTACCTTTAATATGGGTACTAAACGCATAGTCACTGATATTGCAGGTGTAGATCTGTAGATGTTGGTGTTAAGTAACAAAAATATTAAAGTGCATGACACAGTCCTGGCAGAGAAGAGGGCAGTGTCCTCTCTCTCTCTCTTTCTTTCTCTCTCCGTGTGTCCAGTGTGTGTGTGAGTGTGTATGGGGGGGACGCAGTGTTTCTGGACCATATCATAGATTTATGCGCACACGTCACCTGTAGAGGTCCCCCTTCCACCAGCTGCTGCACGCGCACCTTTGTTGCACCTCCTCCTCCTCCTCGTGCTCCATGCAGCGGAGCGCGGGGCAGGACGCACACAGAGGAAACACCCGCACAACTGAGGGTGAGCTGAAGGAGAGAGTCACAGAGTCACAGAGGATGCTGCTGCTGCCGCTGCTACTGCTGCGCGGGGACGGAGGCTGCGCTGCGTGTGGCTGACACGCGGGACTCCTCACTGCTGTGTCCGCTTTCTCTGTACTCTGTACCGTGAAGTCCAGCCAGTCCGTCTCAGAGCCCTCTGCGGTTTCCTTCCTCTCCTAAGCGGGTTTGTCCTTGCTGCATGCCGGGATGCCCGCCGCGCCTCTCCTCGCGCTCTTCTCCGGTAAGTTCATCCGCGCGCCGCTGCAGCGCTGAGGTTGTGAGTGTGTGTGTAAGTGTGTACTTGTGTGTGTGTGTGCATGAGTGTGTGTGTGATGAATTAGAAGTTGTGGAGTGCAGGAGCATGCAGAGGTCAGGTATGCTCTCAAAGTGAAGGCTGTGTTGTTGCTCTCTAAATTAAAGCAGGTCTTTGTTCAGTCAGAGGTGAGTGTTGTCATGAAAGCAGCTTAAATCTGGAGCTTCAAGTGTTGTTTCTTCTCACCTTGACTGCTCTGATTGCTCAAGATATTTTCAGATGTGTGTGTTTGTGTATTCTTGTGTCTCATTCTTCATCTAAAGCTGTCCCTCACACATGATGAATGGATTTGTGCCTGGTCAAAGAGTTAAAGCTCCTGTGAGGAACTTTAGTCTTGTACATCTTGGATACATCTTGTGGATAAGAGTGGGGATATTCTGGTTTTATAAAGATTTTGTTCATGTGATTTTGGAGTGAGACTTGGTTCTCTCTTTGTTCACAGCTATTCTCAGGGGGAAGACTGTGATAGCTGTGATGATGTATTTGTGGTGTTTCTGCACTTGCAGTGAAGGTCTGAAGGGCTGGTTCCTGTATGTTGTCAGGTCTAAGTTTGTATATATGGTTATTTTGAACCTAGATAGTGAGACAAATGAGCCTATGTGAAAAGAGTTGACATAGCTAATGGTATAGTGCAAAATAAAACCACTAGGTGGCAATAGAAGTGAAACCACATGATGCAGTGCATAACTCAGATCAAAACAAACAAGCATGAATGAAATGCTTTTACTGTCAGCAAAACTGAGAAGAAAAATATGGGTGCATTTTGGAATTTTTTAACACCACAAGCCAGTAGTTGTACATGAGTCATACATTATAAAAGCTTTGCAAAAACACAGTTTAGTACTGCAGCAATGAAATGAACCTCTGTAGGAACAACATGTACAGTAGGTTTTCTTCACAGTCCCAACCACAATAACTTGAAGTGTAGCTTATTATTTCCAACAACTTCTCAACAAAATAAAGGATCAAACAGCTGCTATATGAATGTGAGTCAAACTGTGCGATCCAAACTTGTTGACTCTTGACTCAAACTACAAATTGTTAGTTTAGACTTAAAAAATAATCGTTGGGTAGTTTTGCAGTAAATAAAAGCTGACTCAAAATCAACTGGAAACTGAATATTATGGTTGCACCAAAAAGCTAAAAGCACTAGTTATATTAGAAAAGGCTGTTATTTCTGAAAAAAAAATTAAGCTGTAGGAATGTAAAGAAAATGTTTTGAACTACTTTGAAATCCTCTAGGCTCTGAGTTTTAAGTGTTTTAAGTTGTTAAATTATTAAGTTATACTTTTGCTGTTATTCACAACGATAAAAAACAGCTGTTGTGAAGCCTGAGCGGGACACAGTCATTATCCATACTGCAGGATATACATCTGTAAACAATATATATTGTTTTATAGCCTCTGTGCCATATTACATATTTTATCATGGTCTCTGTACCTCAATATGTTTTGTATTTCTGTCTCTGTTTTATAATACAGATCTTATTAAAGCCTCTGAATTGGGATATGTAGGATATTGTGATGTCTGTATCGTAGCACCAAACATATGATGATGGCCTCTGAATAATTTACCTGTAGGTCTGGATGGTTCATTACCAGATTGTGGTCTGGTTGGTCTGTTCCTCTCTGCTGGTAGTTTAAACAGAGGGTAAATGAAGAGGATCTTTGGTGGTTGGTCAGAAAATGTGGAGAATAACACTACAAGCCCTTTTTATACAGCAACTTTGGTCTAGTGTCATAATGAAGTTTTATTGCCATCATGTCAAAGTACTTTCGTACTGATCCATTTTCATCCCTGCTAGCTATCTAATGACAGTTATATTAAATTTGAAATGTATTAAAAAATTGAAAATTTTGGCAACTTCTGTCACTACACACCTCTACATTGCTCCGTCTCGCCCCTGCAACAGAAAATACATTATGTTCATCTCTTGCCCCTCTGGTTTTGGACGTCTTTTTATTCATTCCAGCAGGTCTTCCCAGCATTCAAGAACCCAAGATTTTTGAAGCTTCCTTCACTTTAGTCATGCAATAAAGTTGTATTACTTTGTATAAAAAGACAGATTTGCTCTTTTAAGGAGATTTACTGTCTGGTGATCTTTCAATTTGAGCAAATCTCTTGTGTATCTTTCTAAATTCTCATGTGACTTATTGAACAAGCCATTTAGAGCTCCCTGTAGTCCGACCAGGGGATTAACTTTAACACATATTAACCTTTAAATGTGATACTTTACCTATGTATAGGACTGATGGCCGATATTTTAACTTTTTTTTTACATTTGAAAAATGCATATTACTTCCTCTTTCACATGCTTCATCGCTAACATTCACTCTGAGTGTATATAGCCTTGTGTGTGTGTGTGTGTGTGTGTGTGTGTGTGTGTGTGTGTGTGTGTGTGTGTGTCCAGTTGTCCAGGGGTGATAGGGGGTTTCATTAGTTGCATTATGGGACTGAGTGAGATGGTCCATGTTGAAGCTCATGGCATCGCCTGTTTCCCTCTCTGCAGAAAACACACTCTGACTTCTGACGCATTAAAATCAGCTCAGTGAACAATAAGAAGCCAGAGTGCGACTGGAGCTCTTTGCAAAAAGTGCTTTATTCAAACATGTTTAATAAACCTCTGATCTCTTGGGTACAAAAGAAACCAATTAATTATATTTGGTGTCAATTAATTCTTGTCAGCAGAGCTCTATTTTGGAGAGTCACTGTAGCTTGGATCTAAGGGATGCCCCCAGGTGGGCAGAGATCAGTCATGTTTTCTAAACCATTGTGGGAAACATGCATACAGGACCGATATGAAACCCAGAAAACAACCAGAGTGAACGTCCTGAAAAGTGACAATGCTATTGAATTAACCAGGGATTTCTGGATCCCACTGAATATTCAAAAGTTTATATCTTGGTCGACTGCACTAGACTGAAACCTACTGGACACTTTGAACAAGCACTTAATGTACGCACACTTAATGTGCTGCATTACAAACCCTGTCTTTGACAGAACAAGCATTTTTCAGGTGTGGTCGACAGGAAACAGTTTTTCTATAAAAACTGATAATTACAGAGCCAGTTGGCTGGTGGCAGATATATCATTTCGATATCACTTTTTTTTTTCTCCATTTTTTGAGATGCAACAACATAAATATACAAGCAAAAAAGAAACAGATTTGAATAAAATATTATACTGATTCATTAAAATATTACCATAATGAACTTTTGAATCTCTGCCCCGCCATCTAAAATTCACTACATTTAATAAATATTCCATTAAGATACTCTAAGAGCATCATGTTAATGCCACTGTACCTGTACTGAAGTATGATGCTGTTGCCACACCTAAAATACGAGCATACTGTCAGTAGACTTTTTGATAGTTTATAGCTCTCTTTTTTTTACTTCTATTTTTAACAGCTTTACTTTATTACTGAATTGTATTTACAACTGTTTTGTATTTTGATGTTTTTCTTTTCCTTTCTTATTTGTATTTGACTCACAACAGCCTTCTGTAGACTGGTGTTACAAATTAGCATCTTGCTAAAAGCACTATGTGCAGTGCATCAGGGGGTTGTGCAGCACCAATTTTATTATACTCCCATGTAAATAACTACACAAATTCTATTCTATTCTGTAATCCTGAAAAGTATTTCAGAGTAGTGTAAATAGGATCAGTTTTCGTCCATCTCAGTGGGGGTGTCTTAGAGTTAAATGAGGACAGACATGTGAAGCTGAGGTGTTCAGGCTCTTTGCTTATAAAAGCTTTGGAGAGCAGCTCCAGAATAGACACTCGTGGCCAAATATTATTCCAGTACAAGGTGAAAGTTGCTCAGTCAAGTTGAAGTACTTGATTTGGAGTACTGGATTTTTTGTGTTTCAAAACACTTTTAAATGTTTTATTTTAAAAGTGCATGAGTGCTGTTAAGAATGTATAAGTGTATGTTTTGTAATTATGGAGCATTATTTGCATTTTTTAAACTCATGCAATAGATTTCCAGATTTGCAGCTCCATGATAACAGGGAAAATTTGGGTACAACAGACCGTGATTTAAGGTCAGCCTTGACACACCTTGACGTGCTTTCTCTAGTTAAATGGCACCATAAAATTTATGCGTGGTATAATGAGCACACATTCATGCGGGTATGTACAGAACTCAAGTGAATTTCCTAATTGTCTACCATGCTTTGTAGTCTCTCTGTCTCTCTCTCTCTCTCTCTCTCTCTCTCTCGCTCTCTCTCTCCCTCTCTGTTTGTGTGTGTGAACATACCTGTGTGTGTGTGTGTGTGTAAAGGCAGCACAGTGTCCCAGCACAGTGTCAAACCATTGGAAAGCTTTTAGGAGACTCTTTGTTCACACTCCAAACTACTGAAGCAGAGTGACTCAGAGTGACTGATGTCCTGACGGTGTCAGACTGAGTGAAGGACCGGAGCAGGATGTCTGAGCGATGAAGGCGATGAAGAGGAGACGAGAATGTGTCTTTGTGCTGCTCCTCTCCTCTCCTCATCTTCTCTCCTCCTCTCTCCTCTCTCTCTTCACACTCTATTTTTAGAACTCTTCCTCAGTGACCTTTCTGATGATGACCATTATTCTGTGCCTGTGAGATCCTTAGAGCTGTGTGTGAGTGTGAGAGAGTGTGTGTGTGAGAGTCTGTGAGTGTGTATGTGTGTGTGTGTGTCAGGTGCTGTAACCGTCTCTATATTTAGAGGAGATGACCAGCGGCAGCCACACGATCTGTCAGTGTGGAGATGACAGAAGTCTCCAGAGCCAGAGGTGACCATGTGACGTCTCACAGCACTCCGGACTCAAATCTCAGGCTGCAGCCCCCCTCTTCTTCCCCCCGTGCCTCTGCAGTGAGGCTCTGTAGGTGACTTTGACAGTCACACACTCAAATAGGTACTATTAGATTTGTTCTGCTGGATGAAAGACTGGCCCCTCCCGCGCTGTGTGTCAGTCCAGGTTCACCTGGGGCCTCCTCTCACTGCTGAACACCTGATCTCATCTACCTGCATCAAAACTCTCAGTTTGAAGCAGGTTATAATCTTAAAAGTTATCTTTTCAGAAGAGTTTGTACTACTTTTAATTATCAACTGTGAAATTATATTTTGACAGTTTGTGACGTACACTATGTCTATATCCTCTAATGCTTCCTGGCCTCCTTGAGTCCAGTGAGGCCATAATATACAAAATGAACGTCATACTGAAGATAGAAAAAGGATTTGAACGTGGAGATTGAGGCAAGAAACTCATTAGGAAAATGTTGGGATGCACGATTAATTACATTTCAATTACAGTCACGGTTTGGCCTTTTCAGGATTACAGAAACATGATTTACAGCAATTATTCATGTTTAAAATGCATGATCTGCATGTTTAGACCCTGGGTGGTAGTCTATTAAAAATAGATCAGGAAATAATTACCCTATTTAAATTAGGTTGGGTTATTATGCTCTTTATGTAGGCCATATTTTCCACCTTACATAAATGTTCACAAATGACTTTAATCTGCTCAACTCGCCTCTTATCTGTTCTCTTCTCGACACACACAGATGCACAGAGACTCAGCCTGCACCTCTTATAGCAGCGTCTCCTGACTGCTTTGTATGCCTTGTTAAAAAAACATCATTTTTGCATTTAATTAAGTTATCCTAACTAGGGCTGCACGATATATCGTTTGAGCATCGTCATCACGATGTATGTGTGTGCAATAGTCACATTGCAGAGCCTGCGATGTCTGAGGTGAATGAACTCAGTTAATTTCAAGGGTAACTGACTGAGATACACTGCATGTGACTCTGCATGTGCTTTGCAGCGATCACCTTTGTCCTTTACTCGGTTGCCAATCAGACTACACGGCCAGCTGTCAATCAAAATCAGAGAGGAGGAAACCCACTCCTGCACATGTTCTGCACATGGAGTGAGTCGCTGGCGCTACTGGAGTTGAGCCGAGAAACGCGTGTCCGCTGAGAATTACTTTCGGAACATTCTTCATCACTGTTTAGCCCAACAAATAAGAATTGCATGGGTTTTAAATTGTACATTTCCCTGGACCACTCTACTATAAGCAGTGTGTGTTTTGTGAGGTGCATGCAATTCTCGGAGGACATGCGTTTCTCAGCACAACCCTGGTAACAACAACAACAACAACAACAACGATCGCAAACTGAGCAACAAATAGATAAAACCACAGAAGATGAAGACTTGTTGCCAAAAAGAAAAGGAAAGTCAGTTATCTGGAATTATTTCGGTTAAAAGAAGGATGATGTCGACCAAAACACGTGTTCTGTGTTCATCTGTTTCCACAATAATGTCCCAGCACGATAAAGACAAAAGCCATTCTACAAACATTCACAAAAAGAGGTAAGATCAGTGCAGGTTAACTGTCCTCAAGATTTCAGCAGTGCAGCATAACATTAAGTGCTATTCAGGTCATCTGGTGAAGATTCCTGTATTTTTTTAATATCGCAATAAATATCGCAGGGTTGAAAAAAATCGCAACGTTAGTTTTTTCCAATATCGTGCAGCCTTAATCCTCACAACACAACATTTGGTTCTAATCTTGTAGTCACTAAGCCATTCTGACAGGTGATCTGTGTGTTGATCGTTACATGTCCTAACGGTTTAAAGCTTGGTGTGCAGAAGAACATCTGCAGCAGTGCTGGTTCAGTGTAAGAGGACGAGGTGTGTGTTGGTAAAGCAGAGGGACAGAGTGAGCAGAATGGAGGCTTAGGTGGCTTTGGCTCAGTGGTAGAGTCAGCTGTCCCCTAATGGTAAGGCCGGGGTTTGATCCCAGGTCCCGCTGTGTCTATGCCCAAGTGTCCTTGGCTGTGCCAAGCGGTGCGTGAATGGGATTAGTCAGAAACTGATGGGCTCTTTTCATAGCAGCCTTTGCCATCAGCGCGTGAATGTGGTGTGAATGAGGGAATATGACATGTGGTATAACGCGCTTTGAGTGGTTAGAAGACTAGAGAAAGTGTCATATAACCATAGTCCACAGTCCAGTTATTAAACGAACATTTCAGATGTTAGACATTGCTGCATTTATAAGCAATAAACAAACAAACAAAAAAATCTAAATAAATCACTTTAGATGCAAAGAATCAAGAAAATGTGAAGCTCTACCTTGTCATGGCAATATGGCTTTGCTCAAGGAGCTTCCTGCCCTTCCGCACACATACATGAAATGCTATTAGCTGAGACAGGGAGGGCAGATGTCATGTTAATGCATGGAAGGCAGGCAGAGCAGCAGCTCATGCTCCCAGGGAACAGAGCAGGGATCAATGACAATACACATGAAACTGGCAAAATTAGGCACTGGTGTAAAAGGTGGTGTTGGGGTGGAAATGGGTTGTAAGTTGGTGTGCAGAGATACAGGCTTAAGCAAAAACAAATGAGCCTCCTGATGGCAAAGCAAAGCGCAGAAAAATCCCAGTGGAGCATTTACTTAAACTGAGATGAGTACTTTGACATGAGTGTCTTAAATTGAGCTAAATCATGTAGCAAAATTGATCCTTAGCCTGGCTGGCCTGTAGGTTTTCCTAACAGTTTCTCAGAACTAACCAGCATCCATGGTGGCTAATACACTTACTGGTGACATGCATCTCAAACAACCCAACTTCAAAATATTAAAATAGCTTCTTTGGTTATAGTTTGGGTTATGAGCTCTGGAACATCTGCAGAACTCATAGGCCAGCTGGGGCTGATTTAGACGAAAATGTGTAAGAGAAATCATCTCTCAAAAATGAGATGCTGCATCTCAGGGGGCTATCCTGAATAAACAGAATTGAATTGAGGTGTAACCCTAACCCCAAACCACATCATTGAGGTGTCTTCGTCCAACTTGCAGAAATTTGAGTAGGTATGATTTCAGTCAGGGCAACATGTTTCCATGTATTTTAAAAATCCAGTTCCAGTCGGAATAATTCAACAAATAATTTTAATGTACTCTGTGAGTGTCTCTGTGTGTGAGAGACAGAGTGTGGGCGAGTGTGTGTGTGTGTCTGAGTGTGTGGGCTTTAATTAGCTGAACACAGCAGCAGGAGGGACCGTCTCCTTACTGAGCGCCTCCTCAACCAGCTGACAAAAATCGCTGTGACAACGTCGTCTCTCTCCCCTCTCACCCTCTTCACATCCCCCCCTCACCCAGCTCCACTCCCTCCATCCAAACTAAACCACACCATCCCTCTCCCACCTCTCCCTCTCTCTCTCTTTTTCCTTCTAACAGAAGTAGAGACACTGGGGAGCAGCTATATAATCCATACAGGCTGCTGGCTGTGTGTAAACAGCAGTCAAACAGCTTCAGGCTGATATTTATCACTCAGAGAATAAACTCCTCCTCCATCTGCTTCCCAACACACACACACTCATACACCCTGCAGGAGAGGCTGATAATTACTCATTTTAATCAAACACTGCTGTTTGTGTTTATCCACACCTGAGGAAACAACAGGCAGAAAACAGGACACGATGTTTGCCTGCTTTTCATCAGTCTTGTCTGAAATCTGTTCTCCAAGCCTCGCTCTTTAAACCTCCTTCATTAGTATTGGAGTCCTGCAACACTGTTCATCTGAGAGCTCTGGAAACATGAGAGAAAGGTCAAACTCCAGGAACCAGACCACCTTAATCCTCTATTTTCATAATATCCCAAACTGTGTTTTCGCCTGAACGTCAGAGCCGGTCATGTTTTAATTGGAGTTCACACCCGAGCTGCTCCTCAGAGTGAAACATGAGAGTGATGGAGGCTCCACCCGGCTGCTCACAGAGCCTTTTGTTTGAGTCCGCAGCGCTGTAATGGAGACCAGATGTGCTCCATGTTTTCACTGACACAAATGAGCCAGAGCTTCATTTCAAAAATATTTGTCTTACAATATTAAATCCAGCAGGCGTGCGGATTTACGGGCTGTTTGGTCCTGCGGATTTTCTGCTGCCCGGGGTTCAGATTCAGAGAAACTCAGAGAAGACTGCCTCATACTGCTGGTTTCTGCTCGTTAACGCTCATCTGGATCAGTGTGGACCCTCAGAGTGTGCATTAGCTTGTGTTTCGTTAGTGGACATTCAGCATCATGGCCTCTGTGAGTGACAGAGAGCGACACGGCAGGAAATGTAATTTATTCCTGTTTGTGTGAGGAGTCCTGACTGATGTTTGTGAGAGTGACAGTGGAAATCAACAATATGTGATCAGTGTGACAACACAGCTGCAGGGTTTTTGTGTGTGTGTATGTGTGTGTGCGGTATCTGAGAAGTTTTGCTCACAGGCGTGTTCATATAAGCACAAATCACTCACTGTCTAACAAGCTCTGTGTGATATATGGATATACCTGAAGAGCTAATGCTAAAGCTAAAGCTGTCTGGTAAACGTGAGACCCCTGATGGAGACTCACTGAGGGTCAATTTACATGCTCAAAATGCACAGTTTAAAACACACGGTGCATAATGAAATAAAGGTGCATCTGACTGTATGTTGCCAGTTAAGTGCAGAAAAGTTGGATTAAGTCCCTTGTTTGGGGGTAACATAAATTAAACCAATCAAAATGTCTGCTTTTAATACCTTGAGTCAAGTGCAGCTTCAGGTAGGGGTGTTGCTCTGAACACACACATTTTACTGCTGGGTCACATGAATGTATTCTGCACTGAATGCATAATGGATAGAGCCTATATTACTGTCTAAGTGCGTGGTGGTTAATGGTATTTATAGGCAGCAAGTCTGTTTGAAAGTTGTTAAAAAATCCTGTAATTGTGTGCATGTGTGCGTGTACATGTCATGTCTGTTTCTGCATGTGTTTGAAAGAGTACACAAAGGGAGAGAGTTTTTGACCCATGCTTGCCTGAGGTAAAGTAGGTGTGTGAGGTGTCCTCTTCATCTGGCATCCCTAGATCAGCCTTATACTGTATCATGGAGTTGCTTTCAACATGATAGTCTAGAATGAAGGTGAAATAGCAACACAGTGGCACTGTTGTAAACTTCGTTTTGCTTTCACGCTGCACTTTGTCAAACAAAGCAACAACATCACGCAATTGTGGTGACTGGTTGTGGCGGTCTTGTCTCATGCCAACACTTGCAAAGAAAAAGGAGATGGAGTTGTTGCTAAAATGTGTTTGACTGTCCAGTTTGTTCTTTACATGAGACGAATGGATCCGTACCAAAGATGTTGAGCCCTGACGAGAGCAAGAGAGTACAATTGTCATGATAATACAGACGCTGCGCTAGGCACTCAAACACAAATGCACTGTGTCCTGCGACTTTCTGCCTTCGATTTACAAGATGGTCTCCTTTGCTTTCACATGAACTGCCTGAAAGGTCACATGGAAGCAAATGTAGACCTCTGTTTTCAAGCAGACCAGAGTTCACCTGTTTTGTTCGCATAACTCCAACAGATTAGGGTTTGTTTAAGGTGGACCAAACAGTTGAAGGTGACCTAAGAGACAAAGAAATGCTGTTGTCTTTGAGCCCTCTGTCCCAGTAAACACTCAATGTCACTGTATCAGCAGATAATACTCATGAATGAGAACTGTCGTACGTCACTGTTTGGAAAAAGCAAGAGGAAGCACATCGTGAACTCTTATGGCTGTCTTGCTGTCTCACTAAAGTGACCTCTAAGTATGACGAAAGTACTGCGTCACTGACTTCAGATCTCACACCAGGATTTTGTTGGTCTAAGATGCGTTCTCCTTCTTTGCGGTAGCATCATATCACCTCTGCGCCTAACCACCTCATTTTAGGACCAACCCCAACCCGTAGGTGCAAGTTCATTTACTATTTACGCAACGCAGACCCCTGACGTGCAAGGGACGACTGCGTCACATGGAAAATAATGATGCTTGGGCTGCATGCCGAGAGTCTGGATATATGATCGAGCCCTGAGTGTGTGTGTGTGTGTGTGTCAGATAATTGGAGTGTTAATAAGCACTCTGCAGTGAAAGAGAAAGCAGCTCTTGTCTTCACACTCGGAGGATGTGTGTCAGAATCAGTGTGTGTGAAGCAGCTCACACTGCACTCTGGTTGTTAGTGTAGCTTGCTGTTGCAGACGTAATGAACGGAGTCAGTCATGTCAGTGTGAGCTGTGTGTAGCTCTGACTGATGTGTGAGCGCTGTGAAACACGAGCGAAGCAGATACTTAGTGTAAAGAAAAGCAGATAGCGGAGTGATCGGTGTTTCTGAGGTTATGGAACTGCTGCTCTAACTCTCTTTTTCACACACTCTCTCTTCTGTTCCCTCTTTGTTTTTCTGAATAAAGCCCCCTCCTCCTCTACCTCCCCCTCCCTCAGACCTTTACATATCTCTGATGTTTTCTGGGTTTTATCTGAAACACATCTCTTCTCTAAATGTAGGTTAACATTTTAAAGCCGTGTCCCAGATCAGGGCTGCTCACAGAAACGCTGCCAGGAAACGCAGCTCCTTTTGTCTGAATATTAGAACAAACCCCAGTGTCCTCTACACAGCTCATTGTCCCATAATCCATTTCTGCTGTCAGCGGTTAGATGGTGCAATAAACTTGTAAAGCTGACACAGATTCACATGACATTGGACTTCACTGCTTCCTGTGTGAAAACCTCTGTTAGTGGTGCCAGTTATTAAAGGTGAAAGACGTGATGTTCACTTCCATGACAGACCAGACCCACACTCCATTTACACTTATGTCACATCATAAAACACACTTTACTCGGCTGAAACAAAATGACATTCACTCGAGAAAAAAATAGATGAAAGTGGTTGTCTAGAAGAGCTTTTGGTGAATTTTAAAACATTTAGGATTAAAAGGACATTATTTGCATTTTGACCTTTTAGCCTGCATGAGATCTACAGTCCTGCTGATGCTGCAGTTTTAATGCAGATGGTCATGTGGATGTGCATGTTTAGCCACCTTAAGGATGAAATGTTGCCACCCATGCTTGCAATAACCAGAATTACTATGTTAATAATAAATATTTTTGTAAATGTCAGCCAAGGGTGGAGTCAGATGATGCAAACTGTCGTAAAAAGCCCCCGACTCTGGGAGTCAAGGAGCATATTCCCTCAGGAGAGAGTTTCCTCATTCGTGGTGTAGTTTTCAAACCATTTTAAATGGAAATGTGGATCTAAAATGTCAGAAACCATGTACATCATTTGGAAAAAAAGGAAGTGATTTCTTACCTGAAAAAAATAGTTGTTTGAAAGCTCCATCTGTTTAAAGGACATATTTTCAACTAAGAAATGTCTTCTTAAAAGAGGCAAAAACTGCTTATATTTACAAGTACGGTTAAAGAGGTAGAGAAGGAATAAAGCTGAAAGTTTTTAATTGGCAATTTTAATTCTGTAAAGGTTTATGAAAAGCAGAATAGGAGATGTCAGTCAGATTTATCTCTGTACATGCAGATGCCGTTAAAATGTTGAAATTATTAATAGACGGTTCTAGTTTTTGTGCAGCAGTGATGATTAAATCCTTTGAAGGATGCTCAAATCTGGCAAAAATAATCAGGATTATTTTGGTAAATATTGAGATCAGAATTATTCAACACCATCTATGCGACATACAATTACTGAACTTGAACACTTCCAGTAAACCTTCTGAACATTTAAGAAACCAAAAAGTAAAGGAAAAAGTGCTCAGTACATCATCTTTGTTGTTATGCACAAATGAGGAGAGAGGCAGAGCACACTTGTTGTGGAAAAATCGTTGTAAAAGATAAAACAAAAGCAACATAGAAACAGTTGTTTAATCTCAATCAAGTAATTTTCATGTTTATAAGGAGCCAAAATTGTAATTAAATTCAATTTTAATTAATCGCCCAGCTCTACAGACAACTGAGGTGTGCAAAAAAAACGATAAAGCCGTGAAACGTCTGTATGCAGACAGTGTTGTACCCCTGCCCACTCACACACCATGAATGTTCCTGACTATTTCTTGCTGCATCCACACATAACCCCACCCACCTCAGCTTCAACCTGACTCTCCACATGGGGCTGCGGAGAAAGTCGGGATAAAATCAGGAAGAAAACAGTTCCTAATTGTGTTCACACATAAAGCTGACCTGGTCAGGATATTTCCAGAAGTTTGGGGCATGTGTGAAAGAGGCTTTTGTGTCTTTCAGGGGGAAAGAAAGGATGGTGTAAAGAAATGCACTAACACGAATAGTTAAAAAATCTACTGTAGATGTTCTTTGTACTGTTCACAGATTTTTGGTTGTTTCACACATTTCAAAAAACTGTGGCTCAAAACTTGACAAAAAAACTGAAAACAGTTAAGTACTCAATCAAAACCTTACAGATCTGTTGCTAAAAAAACAGCTAAAACCATGTTCTCTTCTCTTCCCTTACAACAGATTTTTTCTTCTACAGCGTCAAATAAACACTGATGCAAAAGATTCAAACCCAATCATCAAAAAGTGTAAGCTTTGGCTTCTTATGGCCCTGGTACAAATCCAAATGCATACAGCTGTGCTAAAATAAGTCTCTCTTTTTTTCCTCATTATGGTGAAGTGAAGGTCCTTTTTTATCCTCATTTACTATTTATAATTGCTTTCTACATTTACATGCGACACAAATGTTACATATTTTATGTAGTCGGCAGCAAAACCCAGTAATTTCACTTGTGTAAGTACAAGGAGGAACACTTTATAGAAGATTAGTCCAGAGTTCCAAAAGATAACCAATATCTATATATATATATATATATATATATATATATATATATATATATATATATATATATATATATATATATATATATATAGAGAGAGAGAGAGAGAGAGAGAGAGAAATAAAATGAAACCGATCCCTCTGTGTTCTCCCTGTCTAAGCAGTGGGGTAACAAATGCCCGGTGCAGCAGGTCCATTCAACTACATGGATGTATACATCACTTGAGGCATCTTTCACGCTGTGACTAATGTGTCCTTCCAATTGAGTTTGTACAGGTGGGACATGAACAAGACTTATTAGTAATCAGGTTGTTGCGGTCTGAAGGCCAGTGCTTCGAGGTGAACATAGGGCTGATGGATGCGGTCAGTGTTTAGAACTTTGCAAAACTGTGATGCAGATTGATATTTGAGTGAGACCAAGGACAGTTGAGTTGCTGAGGGTTCAGTGGTTTGGAGCCATGTTGTTGATACGTGAGCCTCAAGTTTGAAGAACTGAGTGCATGACTCCAACGTTTGTTTGTTTAAATGGGGAAAAAACTGTAATCCTGCTTACACTGATTTAGTATTTGCTGACACTGACTGCCTATAGTTCTGGTTTGAGAAAGATATACAAGTTATTTATGATTTATTATTGCACAATCTTTTTTATGAATGTGATACAATAGCTTTGTTTATGTATGGCCTGACTCAGTCCATTTAGAAACCCTTTTATTTTAATAAGTCGCAGCTCTCTGGACCTCCTGATTCGCTTTGTCTGTCAATGAAAGTCAGGAAAGAAACAATATATAAATGAAAAGCAAAGCAAATCACTAACGTTTGTCCTTTCACTACACCACTATTGTTCTCTCCACTTACAGTTCACTGTGGTCTAAGATAAATGTCCTGAAAACAGCTGTTATCTGCTGCTTTTGTAGTACAGTAGTAGTTAGTGTTGTCAGCTGTAATGTATATTGTTGCTGTGCTATTGTTTTAAAGACGCAGAAAAAGTCAATACTTGGGGGTTAATGAATGATAGTATTGGTGCAGAGCATTGACCGGTGAATACTTGTCAATAACCAATATGATACTGTAGCCTGACCTGTAGGCGTTTCTAACCCTCCTGTGAGAATCAGAGTGAATCCACAGCTCTGCTTTTAAATGCACCTGTGATATATAAAATTAGGAATGTCCCAGTCAGCTGTTTTGGCCCCTGATCCAATTTCACCATATTGAGTGTCTGCTGATAGAGAGTCTAGATCTGTCCATCTTGAAGAAACAAGATTAATAAAAAGTTTACCTGGCGTATTCCACTTAACTCAGTCCAGTCGGTGTTGTTGTACAAAATATAACTCACCTGTCATCTGTTTTATGCTCTGCTATAGGAGATCCACCAAACTGGAGTGCATGCAATACCACACACTTCTACTGAAGGCAGTGCTGCTGTTAACGCAGCTCTCAAAAAAATTCATAAATAAATAAAATAAAATAAAAATCCTGCAGGATTCACATGGGTGGCGCCCAGCTGCCAGGCCATGAACATAAATATTGGACGTTTACTCATCTTTATCCGTATTATTTTAATTGGTTTTTCCACAAATTGAATTACAATATCAACTGACTTAGATCACTCTAAACTGGAAAGCAGAAGAATCAATCCAGTGTGCTGTGAGGCTCAGCAATTATATGATACAAATATAAGAGCTCCAAATTTCTGTCTCAAAACTTAGAGCAGTCACATCATGTTTTAGATAACCTTGTATGCTGTCACAAACATTAGAGGAGCTGGTTTAGGGTACTTCTCTCCTCTACGCTGTATGATGGTGTTGGTCTGTCCCTCTTGTCTGCATGTAGACTAGGACACTGGAATATTCTATATTTAAAAGTCTATTTTAGGTCTTCTTCCATCGTACCTACTAACCTGAATCAGACAGAAGAGCAAAGGATCTCATAATCTTGCTCCCAGAATCTTGCCTTACCATTTATAACAAAGGTCAGTTATCACATCTCTGAGATGGAGAAAAAGGCATTTCAGTTTGCTGCTCTTTTTACTTAGAATTAATTATTAAAGGACCTAATACTCCAGGATCTGGTCTAATTGGATACTTTTAGGGTGCTTTTGAATAACTTGGGAGGCAGACTCATCAATCAAATTTATGATTGTGATCAATTTCTTTTACTATGTAGTCTGTGGTTTAATGTACAATATTCACTTCTTGTGCTGTGTTTGTGTGCGCTGCTTTTGTTGGCCAGGACACTTGAAAAATATTTTTTCATCTCATTGGGTTTTCTTATCCTGGTTAGATAAAGGTTAGATAAAATAAGATCCATCTGTCTAAAGTCTGGAGTTTGTTGCCTCAGTACAGCAAACTGTCTCTGCTGCTTTGGTAAACTCTGTCTGGTTTTTAGATGTTGTATTAAATTGGTAGTATTAAATGCACACAAACTGCTATTGCCTCTTGAACTGATGGTATTTTAAACTCTGTAAGAGGCTTTTAGACTTTTTTTTTACTTCCTTGCTAAAAATAGTACTGATATTTTGGTCAGCTAATGTGATGAACTGCAGGTTGGTAAAAGTTTTTGTGTTTTTGAACTGTGTTTGAAGATTATGGCTGCCATAAGGTGGTTTTCTTTGCTTTTATCAGTAGGTCCACCTGTGTACATTTATTTGTGCAACAGTGTCCAAGCCGTGGTTGGAATTCAACATCAATGGACCCCACGGTCCTGTATTTTTATTTTCTCAATGAAACTGTACAGTCAGGCAAATCTAGAAGGTCTACCGCCAATAAATACACAGATTAATTCCAGATTACAGTCTGATAATTGAGATCAGAACTGGGATATCTTTGTATAACTTTATACTTTAGCGGAACTAACTTAGAAGAACAGAGGAAACACATAACCACTGATAACACAGGTTTGATTTTAGAGTTTCCTCCTTGTTCTTGTTCTTCTTCGTCTTCCTGTAGGTCTCAGTAGAGGTGTGTTTTGTTGCAGATGTTGTCTCCTTCCCTGTTATTCAGTATTTTTCTCACCAGCTGTCTCTCTCTTGTCTATTCTTGGATTCTGTACCTTGGTGCTCATTCAGGCTGACAGGCTAACTGCAGGGTGCAACAGTTTAATGCTACCTTTCTCCAACACTGAAATCTACCTTGGCTTTGTCTGGGCTAAATAGAGGCATTTAGGATCAAACTGGTCATTAAAGGAGGAAGGATGAGAAGCATGCACTGCATGACGAACTCACTGGTTCAGGCTGTAACAGACGATTTTCTGTTACAGATACCAGTATCATAACATTTCTGAAAATGAACACAAACACGTCCACTGTCTCAATATCAGTCATCACTGTTGGTTTTATAAAATATATCTGAGCAATAATTGTGCCTGACAAGCATTCACACCGATACAGTGTGAGTTCCTGCTTCCACTGAAAGAGAGAGAAAAGCAATGCCTATGTCTGAAAATGTCCACTACCAATAAGAACAGTGAGTCATGTTCTGCCCACTGTCCCAGTATCAATCACAGTTAGTACAGAGGGGGAACACTTAAAACCTTGACAAGCATCTTTAAAATCTTGAAGAAGCATAAAATATGACAGGTTAGCACGTACTAGCAAGGCTAGCCTAGTTGTGAATTAAGGATGAGATTTCCTTCATAGATTAATGTATTTATTCCAATACCGTTCTCAGGTCTAAATAGGATTAGTTAATATTGATAGGCCCTTTAGACAGTAGCCTCTACCATAAGTGTGTATTTGGGGGGGTCTGACGGCAAACCCCTCTGTGGCGGGGCATGGCGTGGCTCTGTGGATTGCGGCTCGGTGGGGTGAAAATATACTGATATCAGCACAAGAAGGCAATTACACACAAATATAATATTCAGCAAACTACTGGACATTGAGTAACATGGACGCTCTTCAATCTTCCTGTCTCCATCCTCCAGTGGGTTGGGCGAATCCAAAATGGTATTAATTAACATGGAAAAAAAATGGGGTCGACTAATCAAAATTTTGGTCGACTCAGCTCGTATTGACCTAAAGGCCGACTGGTTGACCACGACTTTACAACCCTGGAGAGCAGTGAGTCATCTTCTGCCCTCTGTCTCAATATCAATATCAGAGGGGAACACTTAAAACCTCGACGAGCATCTTCAAGATATAACAGACATAACAAAATATGACAGGCTAGCACGTACTAGCAAGATTGGCCTAGTTGTATGTCATAGATGAGATTTCCTTCAAAGTTGAATGTATTTATTCCAAAACCATTCTCAGATCTAAACGGGATTCGATAATACTCATGAGAACTTTAGACAGTAGCCTCTACCATGAATGTGGTGTAAATGGGGTAAATTAGACATGTAAAAGCATGTCGAATGGTCAGAGGACGAGAGAAAGTGCTTTACAAACACAGTCCATTCACCACTTACAGGGGAGACAGGTTTCATTGTGATCAGAGTACATTCGCTGTATCTCCGTCCTCTTTCTGTGTTTTGAACCTCTGTCTTTCTCTCTCACACCTGCAGTCGTGTCTCCAGCAGAGTGTGGCCTGCAGTCATACACTGCTGGTCATTTTCTGATTGCATCTCTTCATTTCAAACCCCGAACACTTGGTTGCTCCTGTTCACAGAGTGACCTGCAGCTCTCTGACCCCCTGTTAAAGGCAACTGAAAAGGTCACCAACACTCAGAGGAAAACCTTTCCCCCTCAGGAGACCAGCATCCTGACCTCAGGCCGATACACTGAGAAGCTTATTGGTCCGATCAGGACCCACTTCGGCACATTCACACCCAGACTAATCAAATTATGGAGCTGAAATGTCAGCGGCACAGCTGAAATCCTGTTTGTGTGCCTGTGATCTGCTTTCTTTTGATTTTTCTCTCACACTGAGCCCAGCTCCAGGACAGACAGCAGATTAATCTCAGCCTGTGGACCGTCTCTTCTATCACAGCAGACAGATTCGTGTTGACATGTCAGAGCTGGTCCGGGACCATGCTTCATCCAGATCCACTGACGGATCAGACCGTGGGGGTTTGTGTGTAATCCATGCTGCCCTCTGTATGATGGATCCTCACGTTACTCTCTATGATGAAAGCAAACAGCATAAAGTGGGTTCGATGGTCAGGGTTGTGGGACGGCTGTCAGTGTTTCCTCTTGGGGAGGGATTAGAGCTTCAGAGGAGGAGAGAGATGAACCTGGAATATCTGCAGGCAGAGATTACCTGGATGGGATTTATTCAAATGTGTGAATGCAGTTTGAGATAAAGACACGGTAATCTGTGTCATGTGACTGTAAAACCATGTGAACACGCTAAAGACATGGTTGCCTCCAGATCCATGATGAAGAGTTACACACATGATGAAGCCATCAAAGCTGTTTATACAGGGATCACCTCAGAGTGTGCCAGTGATCATTATTCTGTTGTATTGTCTCCATCTCATCCTCTCTGATGCTACCTCTGAGCCTGCAGAGCTGCACATGATGCTGTGTCTCAGCACTGACTCTGCGTGTGTTTGTGTGCAGAGCAGCTTGTCTTTGTTGGTCGAGTCTGAATCGTTTTCTCAGCTTCTGCTGTCTGCAGACAGAAGTGTTAACAGACAAAGTCCTTTTCAAATCTCTGCCAAACAAGGAGAACTGAAAGAGAAACATTTTAATTGCAGGAGAAAGTTTGAAATTTCATGCCAATTATGGAAAAAGTTTGCTGTAAGAGGAGGTTGATGAGACCTCTTTGGCAGATTGAATGTAATGTATATATTTTCAATTGTCTTCTCAAAGGCAATGAGGATAATGAACTGCAGGGTTGCAATACAGCACTAAAGCACCCATGAGCACTGCCTGCACACAATTATTTGCTCATTGGTCCATTCATGAAGCCTATTGCCCCGCACTGGAGTGTTTGCGACAGATGACTCTGCAGAACATGGTAGAATTTTAACTTACAAGTACAACTCTGCCAAACAGTTCTGTTATCACAATGCCTTTGTACTTTCATATGGAACTCAACAACAGTGTTACACTGTGTGTACAGCCATGTACACTTGTACATGTACATACAGAAATCACTGCCTTTTCCCCCGTTATGCTTCTGCTTTATGCGCAGGCAGAATGCAACTGGTCTAGTGGTATTTTGGTAGACCGGCGGCGTATCGGCATACATCACCGATGCCTCACCGGCAGGTTTCCACAGTGTCAGGCACATTTCAGTGCAATAAGTAATCATCATCAACTATTAATCTGAGTCAGCACATATATTTAGATCTATATAGATATATTCTGATCTATATCTGATCTGATGAGCCCGTTTGGCACGCGTTTGGACATACAACCTGACCGAAACAACACAGCTGAAACCGCATTAAATTAAATTAAATATCTAGTAAACAGACACACATGATGAAGTTAACTAGATATGTAATTCGTCTCCCTCCTTTTCTTTCTTCCTCTTCCTCTTATTTCTCGCACAGCTCGACCTGGACACGTCTCTGTGTCCTCTCTCCGTCCTGAAGCGGCTGAACAGATGATTTGTTTCAGTGCTCAGATGAGTTATCTACTTTAAGCCGACATACGGATATTATAATATTCAGTTTTGTGAGCCAAATTTATTTTATATGCCAACATCTATGAAAGAAAGAGCCAGGCCACGGAGCGCGATGCGTCATTTACGCACAGATGGTTCCGATTTTAATGCCATTATTGGAGTTTATGTTGTGATCTGTGCGCTCAACCCACCTTTGTCACGTGAGTTTTGAATATGAGCAACTTTATGTGAGTGTCTTTATTTGTGGAAAAGGGTGTTTGTCTTACCAGTGGGTCCAACATTACACACACCAAATCCATCTGTGCTTATATGAGACAGTGTGGAGGACGCCCAATGCAGCGCTTACAGTGACACTTGTTGAGGAGCTGCCTTCTGTCGCAATCGTGTGGCATAACTGTCTTCAGACATCTCTTGATCTCTTTGACTACTTCATGAAAATAGTAATACGCCTCGCCAGTGGCGGATTTAAAGGCAAGGAGAGGAGCTTATGTGATTGGTGAAAACAGGTCTCGGCTGTGTTAAACCCACTCCACGCCCTCTCTCCTCCCTCGCTACGACTTACGCCGCTGGGAGGAGCTGAGTTAGGGAGGGGGGATACTTACGCCGGGCTGCACCGCTCACCAAAATATCAAATTGTGCTTGGGAACGCCATGTTGGCGCGGCGGACCTGACTTACACCGCGCATGCGCCGCGTCGCCGGCGAGGCACGAAAATAGAGCCCTTTGACCCACCATAACACATTCATGTGTTACACATAACAGGCTCATACATGTCCCACCTTGAGATAACAGTATGCAGGAGCCTGACTTCCTATTTTCACAGGAATAGTCACGTCTTGGCAGCAGTGCACAGCTAGAGGTTGTAGTTACTGTGGTTATTGTAAGACTAGTTTGTGCTCAAGTCCTCTTTTTTTTGTACAGCTCCATTTTTAAAAGTAATAAGGGGGTTCATGTTTTCTATGATTGACACTTGATACAGCCTATGGGCGTACAAAGATTGTGTAGCTCACCCGGGGATATGCTGTTTGAGCAGAGTGTCATCACATTGACTCTCCTCCCAAATGCATACAACGCTTCTGCGCCAGTGGTGGTTCCAGGAAGTGGAGAAAATCTCGGAAATACAGAGAGCAACTCAGCTTCAAATTTGTATGACGGAAGGCGGAACCAAGTCGCATTTACCGTATATTAATGTTTTTGGATAAGAAATACTCATAGATGGTCTCAATGTTTTCAGCATCTACAAAAGATTAACATAAATCAACAATGAAAAGGCATCTTATCCTGATTTAAGGATGTTGTTCTTTCTATTCTGAGTTTGGCTGCACTCCGCTGTGCTACTCCTCAAACAAAGTGGAGCAATTTGTGGCACTGTGATAATGTGCTTTTTTGAGTTTTAGTCATGAGATGTGAACTGGAGAAGCTATGTGGCAGCACAAAAAGGTTTAACCAAACCCTAAGAGCAGATGACACAAAGGGAACCTGACAATGTAACTGAAGAGGAAAAAGATCCAAAGAAAAGACTGTTAGATGGAAAGTTGAAGTCAGGTCGAGTTTAGCTAATCTCATCAGAGCTGAATGTTTGAAAATGACCTTTAGAGATCATTAGATATTTAATAATGAAAGTTTTAGATTTATTGAGCATTGATTTTGTTTTTTGTTTTTTTGACGGTGATCATTGATTGGGTTATTAATCTTGGGGTAAGTGGCCTAGCAATTCAAGTATCCACCCCACGTACAGTATAGACGCTACAGCCCTTTTCGCAGTAGTTGTTGGTTCAACTCCAGGTCATAACCCTCCACTTCCCAGCATTTTCTTTCTTCCTTCAGCTGTGTCATTTAATAAAGGCAAAAGGACCAAAAATCACTATAAAGGCAGCATGCCAAAGTCAACTGTTAGTATTTTTTGGGACAGTTTGGTGGAACAGGACATGATCAAATCATGCATAGACTGAGAATTGATCATATGACCACTGTGACAAGGGTTATAACGAGTGTACATGCAAAGTGAGTGTTAGACCTGTGGCACACGTCTCATTCAATTAGACACACCAGCAGGCATCTCTCTCTCTCTCTCTCGCTCTCTCTCTCTCTGCACTTCTCTTCTCTCTGTTACCTGCAGAGCTGAGTCAGACACTACTCACCACATATTTGTGAGGGGGCAGACAGAGAGCGGGTTGACGGTCCATTAGTTTATGGATCAAAAATAGAAAAATCTTTTCCAAACAAAACAGATAAATACAAAAGTGGTTGGCGGATATACTTTGGTGGCCGCCCAGGTTTGTGTGGGAAACCCTGATACCTTATTGAACATCACATAAACACTTCAGCTAGCCTGTAACTTAGTGTAGCTCTGAGGAGACTTGTGGTGAGATTATCTAGATAATCTATCATCTTGCATCCAACCTGTTTTAACATCCGTCTTCACCACAGACAGCTGATGAGTCACAGTGATACTAAGTCTGATTATAACTCCAGTGATGTTGACAGGTTTTCAATGAAGTGAACCCCAGGGACCCTAGGGGGGAGATTTGAGTGGGTCCCTGGGAAATTGAATTGGTCCTTAGTAAAATCTTTGTGTTGTTTAAGATGTGTTAGATGATGGTGTGGTATAATATGGTTATGATAAACAGCTGTTTTCACATATCCGACTTGTAGCTGAAACTAAAAGAAAAAAATCTGTTAGTGTTTTTTGCATAGCATTTAAAAATCAAATAAAACTGTGGTAATGCAGCAACATAAACAGCTTCAAAGTCAATTATCAAATAAAATTTAGGTTAATGTACCAATGGAGAGCAATATAGGTTGACATTTTTTTCACCTGCATTTCCAACCCCTCTCCTCACTGCTTGTTTAGGAGATGTGGAATCTGTGATAGTAGCTCAGGAGGTCCAATAACCAGAAGGCTGGCGGTTCGATCCCTGCCCTATCCCTAGCCTGTCCATTGTGTCCTTTGGCAAGACACTTAACCCACCTTGCTCCCAGTTTGTGTCCTCCATTGGTGTATGATTGTGAGTGATGTTTGTTGGTGTTTGGAGAGGGTGTAAACACAGATTGGTAGCCACGTTTCTGTCAGTCTGCCCCAGGGCGGCTGTGACTACTAAAGTAGTTTACCACCACCAGGATGTGACTATGTGAGCGAATGAATGATGTGTCCAATGGAGAGCACTTTGAGGTCTCTGATAAAAAGCTCTATAAAATATGATACATTATTATTATGATTAGAAATGGACAGGAGTGTCCTTTCACATTCAGGTGCAAATATAACATCCACTTCGCAGCCCTAGATTAGATGTACGTTTCCTCTTTGCCATTAAAACCAAGTGTAGCCACAGCTAAACAAAGCTAATATGCACTCAAGCTGTGTTTTTTTTGTTATACTAACAGCTAGTCACTTCTGCTATTCACCTGCACAGACGTGTGTGAAGGAGAGGGAGACAGCTTGCTGCGGCAAAAATGATCCACAATAATGTGGCTTCTGTGGCTCTCTGTCCTGTACACAACTGTGCTACTGTTTGCACGGTGACACACTGTAAATTTATACAGGATTATTTTGTATTGTGAGGTGAGAGAATGATTTTTATGTGTCCTTTACGATGTTAATAATTAGGGATACAGAATATGTATCCAGCAACATCCCTGTGACTCTAAAGGGAAGTCAAAGCTCCTGCAAATTCAGGTTTAGTCTTCTTCTGAGCCTGAATGAGACAGTTAGGAAAGAATCAATGAGTGAGTGAATGACGATGATAAATGTAACGCTTCAGTATCATGTGACGTCTAGCTTGTCTCTGTTAGCTTCTGGTGTCCGCATGCTGTCAGTGTCAGTGTGACGTTTGAACTCTGTGTCACCCTGAGTCGCATCAAGTTCACAGTTTTCAACTTGACTTACACAGTCTTACTGATAAAATGTTAGCTTTCGTTATCCTATTCAGACCTGTCTGAATGGACGTGTGTGTGTGTGTGTGTGTGTGTGTGTGTGTGTGTGTGTGTGTGTGTGTGTGTGTGTGTGTGTGTGTGCTGTCAGTTTGTGTCAAACTGCTCAGAGCAGAATTGAAATGAAGAGTAAACAGAGCTGATGCTGGTTTAAGGTGATCATCCCCATGGTGTGGATTAGACTGTGTATGTGTGTATGCATGTGTGCGTATACCCATGATGCCCTGAGCAGTGACTCCCCTTGATTTTGTATTTGGGACATAAAAAGGTCAATAACACATTCTAGACATGGTGTCAGCCCATCACACTGCGGCTAACCCACGCACTCATTCACACACACACTCGTACACACATGCACACACACACACACACACTGGCACAACATCTTCCAGTCAGAGTCAATCTTTAGCTGATCTGGGGCCAGTTTGACCTAATCACATTACCCTGATCATTTATGTCAGCTGACATAACCTTAGCACAGATTGCGTCAGCACACAAATGCACAAATAACTTAGCGTTAACAACCATGTGGCTAAAATGTCAGCCGTGTGGGAGTGTGCTAAACTAGCAAGTGAATACAGTCTAAACTGCCAATTGCATTATATGCACGACTATCGTTTTATGAGACTGAAACAGTAGACTATGATTACTAGACTCTCTTTTAACCTATTTCTATATCCAGAATTTGTTTCATTAAATTTCAAGATGTCATCACAGCTCATTTTAGTTTTTTATTTTTATTTTTACCCGTAATTGAGCTGCAAGTGAGCTGTATATGGAGGATGTTTGTCGTTAGCAACAGACTAAGAAGAGAAACAAAAAGAAAACAATAGAAAAATTCTTCTTCCTTAAAGAGAGGTGTCAGTCACAGAGCTGCATACCTCTGGTGGTGTTCAAGTTAGCATCTAACAGTCTTATATAATCATCCGAGTGTGTGTTTGAGTATGTGTCATGTGTCCTTGGCGTGCTGTTTGATATAGTCAGGTTCCTTAGAGTAATGTGAAGCTGTCAGTGTGACATTGTTCTGAACTCTGTCCAAGATTAGAAACCAGAGAAAAGGCACACACAGTTACAGGCAGAAAAACCTGACAACAGCCATTAAAAGCCTGTAATCATACTCTGCTCATTTTCACCTCCAGGTATACTTTAAAAAGATAGCAGCCATGACAAAAAAAAACAAGATATTTTTAAATGTCAGAATGAACGTATGATAACATGTTCCTGTCAGATCTTTTCTGTCAAACAGAAACAATAAAAAGAAGCATATTATTCACTGTTCAATGTTAGACTTTCCAAAATCAAAGAAAGCATCTCTAACCTCTTAAGTGGTCAACTCTGGGCTTTCAAAAATAAGATATGTTGTGAACCCTTCCAGCAAAGTTAAAACAATATTAATGTGGTGATAGATGCTGTGATTTTTTTGTCAAACTGAGAAAGATTAAAGGATCCACAGGCTGTTGGTCCTCCTGTGTACTCCCTGAAAACAGAGTCTATCTCTGCAGTGAAACTGAGCTGGGCCTGTTTATCTACTGTGATTTTAAACCTCAGTTAAAATCTTTGGGATGGCAGCAGCAAATTGAAACAAGGATTGGGCTTTATTTCCCTCTATTTGCTTTAACTAAAGGTCTGATGCACAAAGTGAAGTTGTGCTGATGAAATGTAAGAACAAACACCCACTTAGTTTTCTGCAGCTTGGTGCAGTTTGCTCTTGTGTTGTGTCTGATTGTGGCTAAGATGAGCTGTGAGCATCTCCATCTGATCCTGGGCTTGTGGACTAATAGGTGTCTGGCCAATCAAATGAACCAGATTATGTGTCTAGGTTTGGATTGAGCCTATTTTGAGGAAACAAGAAGAACACTTTCAGCTTTCTATGCGGACACTTTTCTATTAAATCCCTAGCAGGTGACAACCTTTGAAAAGAGCTTGAAAAATGGGCAAAAATCTCAAAACGCCAATTTTCAAACCAAAATGGCCGACCTCTGGTTGGGTGTGGCCCATGGGTCCAAGACACTTTTTGTTCGTCTTGGGGCCTTTATAAGTGTTCTTGATTCCATAAGTTTGGGTCACACACTGGAGAAGGGCTCACATTTAGAATTTTGTAGGGGGCACTATGGAGCCATTTTTGGTTGGATCTCAATTTTGACATTGGAGCCTGGAGGGTGCCTGAGAAGACACCCTCCAGGTCAACAAATTGACATTTTAAGGTGGAAAATTAGTGATACATGATGAATTCATGTGGTTATACCTCTTCCAAAGACTCAGAACAAGCAGGACAAGCATCATGAGGACCATCAAAATTAGCCTGATGATATTCAGTGTTAGAGATGAGTTACCTGGAAATAAAGAGATATAAATGAGACACCATATGACGGGATTAGATCTATACATTACTTTTCCACTTGATGATAGTCAGTCAATCTTGCAGTCAGAGTCTGCCATGAAGGACAGGGTATCTGCACAATTTTCTTTTTGAACATTTAAGACTTTTAAAGACCTTTTAAAGACCAGTGAATCTTGAGTTTTGTAATGGGACAGTAATATGCCTTCTCTTTTCCATACTGAACAGCTACTCAAATTCAACTAGAGAGTTTGACTAGAACTACTAGTCTTGACTCAGTTGGCATCTTAAGTCTCATACGAAGATAAGCTAAGAATAACTTTTTTTATCCCTGAAGGGGAATTCAATTGTCTGTAGTCTCATTTGTCATGTCTCAAAAAGTCGTCTACTATTTACAGAAGAATTATAAAGTCTGATGGCTGTGGGTACAAAAGATCTTCTCAATCTGTCTGTCCTGCAGTGAAGAGAGAGGAGCCCTCCACCACCATTGGCTCTTTGGTCCATCAAGGTGTTATGAAGTGATGATACATGTTCTGTAAAATATGTGATGTACTGTCTTCAACTTATCCTCCACAACAGTCAGACAAACTGTGGAGTCATGACGTCCTCCTCCATTTTGGGCAAGACAATCATAATTCCAACTGTCTTTTTCTATTGCGACAATTCACAGTGGTTATCCCAAGATCCTATAGAAATGCTGGTTTGGACAAAGACCCAAAGTAAAGATGGGATCAGACTGAGCCCCATCTTGTATGATCAGACTTACTCACATCCCATCTTCAACCACTTGAGTGAAAGGCTTTGCAGCATTTAGAGAGTTACAGTGGAGAGGAAGAACTTTCTTGAACAGACAGAAACCTGGAGCAAAACCCTTTAACACCCTCATTTTAGACAGTCATCTGCTGAGACTGCCTTTGGTTTAGAGAGAGAGAAGCAGAAAGAGAGACATGGACAGAGGTGAGACAGTGAGATGCATGTAGCTGAAGCAGCTGGAGAGCAGGCAGGACGATGGCAGCAAAACGTCTGCAGCAGTGATCCAGAGGAACCCAAGGCATGATAGAGCTCAGGGACTCCCAGAACAGACTGTATTAGTGGCTCTAATGGGACACGATGATTTAAAGTTAATGCCACAGATTGAAGGAGGATAAAGAAGGAGGGAAAGGAGCTCAATGTGCCAGTACCCCAGCAGTCTAACCCAACAGCAGCAGAACTCAGAGTTTGCGCAGGCTTCAACCAGCTCAAACAATAAGCTTTAAAAAAAAAAGAACATTTTAAGTACACAATCAAGTTTTTTTCCAGGTAAAAAAAAATGTAATTCGAAAAAAAAAGTTACCCGCGACAGTCAAAGTCACTCCTGGTTCTCTGGTATGACTTCGAGCCCATTGGTTTGTTTGGTTTGTTGTGAATCTGAACTTGTACTCAGCTGTGTCGCTCTCGCTGAGGTCTTTGATTCTCAAAGTGCAGTCATTCTCTGTACAATAATACTCAACGCGATCTGCATAGTCAGGGTTTGTTCTCAGATCTACTAATAGGCTTCCATTCATTTTAGTAAACCAGAGTGTTTCTTCAAGCTCAAAAACTTTGGATGGATATGTGTAGGTGCACGGTATGTCCACTGTTGATCCTTTAAAGGCACAGATCTGAGTCTTAGGGTAAGTCACCTTCCAGCCATTTGAACCACTGAAACACAACGGACATCAGAAAAGTCTATAAGGATCATTAAACAGAGGACAGACTCAACAAGTATCTGACCATTTCTTTTTCTTTTACATTGAAACCTGCTGCAGGACTCAAAACCAAACCATACTTGGTTGTAAAGCTTCTGACCTCAAACTTATTTGACGCAGATGAATCTGAAATGTTTTTTCAACTGTGGTTCATGACTTCTATGGTTTTATCTCTGCATTTAGCAAATGTAACCACATGAGTGTAAGTCCATCTCCTCAGGGTGTCGAGTGTTGGCGTTTCCGGGCCAATTTGTGGTCTGACTGGTGCAGAGTATCAACAAACTAAAGACCACAAATTACTGAAATTACTGACACCATCACTCTGAAATGACTGAATCCTTTAGATATACCAACAACAGCTCCATTTTCGAATGTTTAACTTCAAACCTCTTAAACATTTCTTAAACATTAAGTCGCGATGAGTGTACACTTGAGGAGTCTTCTCTTACATGTGATATAAATGAATCCTGTCCAGAGTATGAGCAATAAAAGCTTGAGAATATACAGTACCTGATACAGAGAGAAGAAAGAGGATCAATTCACTCACTGCAGCTTTCAAACTCATAGCTGCTCTTCTCATCCCTGTTTGACTAAAGAGCAAAGAAATGTCACCAGGAAGAGGACAATAATAAATAAATATCAATCATATCAATAAATAATTCCATTTACTGCAGGGAGAAGATGTTGACTCTCCTCTGTGGTCTTCAACAGGAAGAAGTCTAGCTGTGAAACTGGTCCACCTTCCTTCTTCTTCTTCATCTCATTGAAACAGTGATGTCATCTGAGGAGGAGTGCACTTTCAATGTATGGCTCTGAGGATGTTAGATGAGTGAGGCTGGGACACATTTATCAAATAAAATCAGTGAAGTGAACATCAAATGGTAACTATTGCAAAGGCGGAATGAAAATAGACAAAAGTTCTTAAATATTTGAGCATGCAGTGAAAAAATAAGTTAATGCAGCAGCTGTACCAGGTGACGGTACAACATATGGACGTAAGTTTCTGGCAGAGGTGGAACCAGTGTATGGGAAGTTATTCAGGAAACTCCTGAGCATGAATACTGTAGGGTGCGCTAGTGAGTCATTTTTTTTGTCATTTATGTACGGCTCAAGCAAAATACGCGAATTTGGGATGGACCCAGCCCGCCTGCCAAATTTCATGAGTTTTTGAGCATGTCTAGGGGGTTTTAAAGTTAAAAAAAGTTTTAATAATACTAATACTAATAATAATCATCATAATAATAATAATAATAATAGATAATTCCTGCAATTTCAATAGGACTCTCTCCTGCTGCTTGCAGCATTGGCTCGGGCGCTAATAACAATGACTGACTGGACATGGTTCATCTCTTTTTATTCTGCTGCTCTGTGGTCTGTTAAAAGAGCTGACCTAAGAGACATTACTGTAACAACTATTCCCGCCATTAGACTGAGACACTTACAGAGTCATTATGCTGACCACTGAGTGAACCTGCACACATCAATACAGGGAAAGATTGAAACACCCACCTATCTGTTGGCTGAGCATATGCAAATCTGGTGGCTAAGCTACAGAGAAGGTTAAGATTACTAACACTAGCACTATGGAGCCATGCCTGTATTGTATCTCCCTTATTTGTATCTCACACCTAAAGATATACATGTTCAAGTCTCTCTCCCTTCCTCTCTCTCCTGCAAAAAAGCCGAAGCAAAATCGGAGGTAGAAACAAGATGACTACATCTACAAAAGTTATTTTAGCACTTGCCTTGTCCGAATATAACAAGGACAAGGCAAAAATAACTAAAATAACTTTTGTAGATGTAGTCATCTTGTTTCCACCTCCAATTTTGAGTTACATTCCAATTTTTTTGACTTCCGAGGTAACTCGAACGCTCATTATTCTTGCATCTCTTAGCATTTAAAACTTATTCCAACATTTACACACAGATATCTAAACTAATACCTTTTCGTGAAAGCTCCTGTGAGGAGGCTACTATCTCTTCCTATTGATCAAGGCACCATGAAAAAGTGAAAAGTTTTTATGTTTTCAGGACAACAACCCCCACATTGCTTGTGCTCAGAACTTCACAGAAAACTCCTTTCTGAAAGGGGGCCAGTACGAGCAAGGGATGAAACTCGTGCTGCGTTCCAGAAGTTGGATGTTGGTGCTAGGAATGACGTTACACCTGAGTTGATGGTGTTCGGGTAACCTAGTCTAAAAACCAAGATAGGTGTCTGCTGTTGTCAGCTGCTTTTAGCTGTTGTTAGCTGCTTTTAGCTATTGTTAGCTATACCAGCTGAAAACAGCACATAATACGGTATTTCACCCATACGAACACCAAAGCACCATGTCCACGGTTAGATATAAGGCAGTACAACATATAACACTTACTTAATTTCACAAAAACAAAACAGAAGTGCTAATAAATTATACGTTATGAGAGCTTTGACTCTTTACTGTTGATGCACTGTGCTACCATCTTGGATTATGACGTTGTTGTCAAGTCGGGGTTGGTGAGGATCGTCTGACTTTCCATGTAGGAAGTCTGACTTCGGGGGGGATTCTAGATGAATTTCCGACCGGGAATTCGGAAAATCCTATTTCTAAGTATAGATGAAATGCAGGATAAGACTCAGAATCGTAAGCTTTCAGGACAAAAATAATGGCAGCTAACGTAATAAAAGCTAATATACGCTGATGGGGCTGTGTAAAAAGTAACACCCACAAGCTTCATCTACTTATTTATTACAGGAAAAGCAGCCAAAATGTAGGGTATATGCTATAAAGCAGTTTTTTAAAATTATTATTTTATTTATTTATTTGTTTTTTAAAACTAACGTCAGTTCAAGTTAAAACGGGAGTTTATTTAAGCTGCAAATTATATAGCACTGCTCATGGGTGTCAAAGACTCACACTGTGATGCATTCAAGAGATACTGTTAATGTTAGTTTGCGTCATTGAGCAACATGTTCCCAACACTACCAGCCTAAATTAATTAAACAATAATACATAAAAAAATCAAATTTACAAGTTTCTCCAGCAGGTCATGTGACACACGACAAAGGTAACCTCGGAAAAAAACTGAGTAAAAGGTGTGTGAAGAGGGAGAGGAATGTTTACAGTGTCTGTACTTACACGAACATGTGTTTGTCTGCTGCAGTGAAGACGCTCAGGTTAGCTTTGTATCTGAGATCAGTATGGAGTCTGTGTGCTGATGTCAGAGCGCAGAGACTAGAGGAGAGGGAACAAGCAGAAAAGAAAGCAAAGAAACGATATATTAAAGGAGATAAAGACACCACCCCCACCTCCAGCTATAACACCTCTGCAGTGCTGGCACACTCCCACCTGTTCTGCAGGAGGACCACTGCTGGAAAACACAAACACACACACACACACACACACACACACACACACACACACACACACACACACACACACACACACACACACACACACACACACACACACACACACACACAGTGACACCTGCAGTCTGGTGCTCTGCAGGTAACACATCACTTTGTTCATGCTCTGCACACTGCAGGTCCACAGCACAAACACTACCTGGTTTTGTGTGCGTGTGTGTGTGTGTATGTGTGTTATCTTTAGGGATTGGTAGCAGTAATGGGCCTCATTAATCATTCAGCAGAGCAATGAATCTGTATAAAATCATTGAGATGCATGGTTAGAGAAAATGCTTCAGCAGCACCTTGGTCCTGAGCTCACAGTGTGTGTCTGTGTCTCACTTTGCTTTTATTAAACTTTCATTGTTAAATGTTTAATGCATCAAGAGCAACAGCAGCAGCAAACACTGCCCACCCAGGGCGTCAGCATACATTAAGACCCCCTCCACCTGCTGGTCATCTGTAAATGCATCTTCATCTTCTGCCCTCATGGCCACGTGGGAGGAGCTGGCAGCGGTCCAGACTTTTCCCCCTCTCAAACAGGAACATGCACACACACACACACACACACACACACACACACACACACACACATGCGTGCCGCCTTTAAGTCCTGTCAGCAGCTGCTTTCATTGATCTCTTTCTGCTGACTGGTGGGGAGGTTTGTGTTGCAGGTGAACTGATCAAGCATCAGAGGCATTTTTAAAAAGCTGCGTTTATACAGAGTCTTCCTGCTCAGAAGATGACACTCATAAACGCGCACCCCTGGGAACTGCCCACTTCAGCCCCAGTCTGACCTGCTGGCCTCTGGTCAGCTCTGTGCAGTTAAGGGTCAGTTCGGGTGGGGGTCTCCCTCATTTAAACCCACTCTCCCACTGTACTCCCTTCTTGTTTCTTCCCAATTATCTCCCAATTTCCTGTTGATACCAGTCCAGATCATACCTGCCAGATTTTTGCAGGTAGTTTTGTAATTAAATTGCTCATTTAAATAACTAAGTGAAGCTTCACACTATTTTGTTTTGTTTTAACAATAACAAATTGTAATAAAAACATAATAGCTACGATATGCCTTAAACTTTTTAGTCCTCATATGTTTTACATGCTCTCCTGTGTGTGCAACTCAGCACTCTTGTATCTGAGGTTGCTGACCGCTTCACTCTGAGACGGTACAAGACTATCAACGTAAATATTATATCTCACGTTTGTTTCCCTTTCACTGAAATGTTCATTATGCAACAAACACTGCTTAAATATAGTTTACATCTTAAACCGACCTGAATAATCCCAAATTGTTCAGTAAAAGTATCAATTCCAGTGTCTGTGAGGCTCAGCAGAAACACAGGACAATCTTCGGTTGTCTGGAAACCTGGCAACTTTGGTCAAATATAGTGATCTAATTCATGAATGAACCATGCAAACTATTCTCGGGACCATTCCCAGGAGAAATGACAATACGGGAGGTGGGCGGGAGATAGGTCTGAAATACGGGAGAGTCCCTGGAAAAACAGGTATGTGTGTCGGCAGGTATGGTCCGGATGGGTGTTCCTAACCCTCCATCAAGAATATTGGTTACAAGGCAATCAACTAAATCAAAAGAAATTAGAATATTTATTTATTAACCCTAGTAAAAAATCATAGTAGATAGGGTTTTCTAGTATACGCCAATTTTCCAATACCTCAGGAAATCTCCTTTTTCAGAATGTTGGCAGGTATGCTGTGGAGAGGTATTGAAGGGATTTAATTGCTTAATTTGTGCAACACCAATTTCAAAAAGGTCAGAGCTTTGTGTGGAAGTGTTAATAACAGATTTTCATGGTTTACAAACCATTAAGACTCTATATGCTTAATAGAAAAAAAATTGTGCAAAGACAACAAACCTCATAATGCAGTACAGCATTAAAAAAAGACAGGACTCTTTAGTGGGAATCACTGCATGGACTCAGGACTGCTTCCACACTTCATTGTCTGTGAAAACAATTTTTTATCGCATGGACAAATGCAGGTTAAAACAGTAACATGCAAAGAGGAAACCTGATATAAACATGATCCAGAAATGAGGAGGACTTCTCTGGCCCTGAAGTTGGACACTCTTTTTGGAAACGATGGACGCTACAATGTCTGTTTAATATGGAGATGGACCACCATGTTATTAGTATACAGTTCAAAGGACAGCATGTGATGGTTTGGGGTATCTGTGTGTGATAGCTGTGTATTACTCAGGTTCAACACATCATTATACAAAGAGAACCACATTTTTCACTGTAGTAGGTTACTATAAAATGAGAATACTAAACATCAGTGTTGATACAGAACATCACCTTGGAACAAAAACAGCCCTCCTGTCTTGTCACTGCTCTCTCTCCCTCTCGCTCTCTTTCTTTCTTTCTCTCTCTCTCTGTGATTAGCCGACATGCAAATTTTCTGAATTTTAAGTGTTTATCTGGTTGTTGTTTGCAGCGGAGGAAGCAGCTCCCTCATTATCACCAAACACACCAACAATGATCAAAGCGGAGCGTCAGCAGGCCGACACTCGCTCAGGGAGGAATCCCGCACCTCTTCAGAGGCCTCTATCTCTTATTTTTAGTGAAATCATTTAACTGTGAGTCCTAACAGAGTCACTGGAGTGTTTCTGAGTCATTCTCTGTCTCTCCAGTGACTCGCCCAGCAGTCCTTTGATTTCTGTTTTCACTTTAAGTGCCGCTGTTTGTCTGAAATAGTGATTTTCATTTAGCGCTCTGCTGCTAATGACCGCATAAAGCTTTATGGGGATTAAAGGTTTTCCATAACTTCTCAAAGATGCTTCGCTGAAACTGAATGAAACTCATTTGATTGCAAGAGGACAAAGCACAAGACAGACCTTTTTATGTCAAGTGTTTTGGCACTGAAATCTTACAAAGTCTCCTTTTCATAAGGAGGTTTTTCAATATTTGAACTCTATCTGCCTTACTGAAGTTTTTTATTGCATCTATCTTATCAAATAAATGTACATGATGAAAAGAGATTTTCATTAGGGAGTGGTCTAACATGTTGTTCTGCTGTATTCAGGATGACACATGGATTTAATGAAGGAGACAGACTGAATGTTTCTTCACTTCATTAAATAAGTTAAATAAATGAGCCATCTGAAGTTTACTGATGTTTGAAATATTTCATGCACCCTCTTAAATTATGATGGCTACAGTTTAAAGCTTCAGTCTGATGACTGATAGTCTCTGCTGCTGAACGGTTGTCAGCACTTGTTGATGAATGATCTCCACAGTCAGTGTTGCTGTGTTCATTATTAAACAGGCAGAGAGTTGATGACTCACACTGGTGGGTTAAACTGAGACACTTGTTTTAGACAGATCTGATCACTGTCTTCACACGTAACTAAACAAGCAAGACATCAAACCAAAGGTTAGACCGTGGTGTGAAAACTTGTTGAATCCCTACTGAGCAAATACTCCTGAAAAATACTAGAAACTTTCAGGAGTTTTGAATTAGACTATAAAATGACTGAATTAGTCCATAAAAGCAAGAGTGTAATAGTGACAATATAATTTGTTTGTATCAATGCTAAGTGTAAACAGGCAGATTTGCAGATCAGTGAAATAGTCCCTCTTCCTCAACCTCAGATGTTTTATTCACCATGTTACTTTCCACTCTTCCAGGTTCACACCAGTCATATTATTTAAACATTATCATCACTGCCCACTTTCTCATTTTCACCAGATATTTCCTTCTGTGTTCACACATTGGCTCGTCCTAACCTCCTGTGGAAACTTTACTACAGAGTTGAGACAGAAAAGACCTATTGAAATTTTAGGCTGTTTGTGTTCACACATGTAGCTGACCATGTTAGACCCACGCTTCAAAATACAGCATTCTCAATACCTGTAATTTTATTGTCTGCACAATGCAGGGCCCTTTTGTCATGTTAGAGGTAACAATAACTTGTTAAGGCTCCTGTAAGAAACTTTTAGATACAAACATTGCAATGTGAAAAAAGTTAGTTTTATCTTTGATGCTCTTGCTTGCTTTAGTACATCATAACAAAAGCCTCAATATGAATTTTAGTTTGTTTCATTAACATAAAAAAAGCTACCCACAGGAGCTTTGGCATGCAAAATGTAACCCTTTTTAATAAAGAAAATGATGACAGCTTTTATCACTCAGCAGCCAAAAACATAAAAAGATGCTCACCATTTCTAAAGATTGCAACATAATCAAACATAAGTCTATAATAAATATTAAAAGTGTAATGAGAATAAGTTCAATTGACAGTGGAATCACCGCCTGGTCTTTTGGATACATGTCCCAGTACCCCTAGCACACTCTATAGACTGTGGCCAGGTTTTCAGTACAACTAGGGCTGCCCTCTTTTTACAGGGTTAAAAGGATAGATCATGATGGTATCATACAATAAAGAGTTAACCTGTTTCATGGCAGGTTATGTTGATTTCAGATTATGTTTAGTTTAAGCAATTTGCTTGATTTTTGAGCTCCAAGAACATACTGTGTGGGGAGCAAGGGAAAAACCAACAAGACATGCCCACCTGCATGACTTCACATGTAAGAAATATAACATAGTAATCATTGTGCTTTCGTGCCGTCCTTCAACATAAACCAACACTAGAGATGTTAGATGTAAAATAACTTGTTTTTATTGCTCTAAATCATTTTCCCATTTTTAGATGTTTCATCTTGATATCACTCCCTGTAACATTGTCAGGACTGCAGCTAAAATATTATATCTAAAACTGTCATACATGCCAACAAATCTCTTTGAGGGGAAAAATGGGAGTTATTATTGTGGGATTTTCTGCACACTGATGGTGGGAAAATAGGCCTATTGACAGTCTGAATTTGTGCATTTACTGCAAACCTTTTTTCATATCCTGCAGTTCTTTCCTCATTTTGAAAACACAGCTGTGTTGATGTGAGTCTGGATTATCTTCATCTTCTTCATATTTCATTCATATAATTTTCTTTGTGCATGAAGAATCTGATGATGTGCAGACAGGAAACTCATTCATAACTGTGACTGGTCATATGAAAACCATTTGTTGAGCCTGCTTCATAGTGAAGGCCCCTGTAGTTAAACAATAAACTACTGAACAGCCTGCAGATATAACTCTGTGTAAAAAGCTTCATGCAGCCTTACCAGCTGAGCAAGGTGACCCCAGAGTTAGTGTTTGGAGGTGAAGTTGGTTGTTTCTCTCTGCAGTGAGATAAACAGTTAAGTTTGAGGAAGTTTCATTATCTCAGTTTCTGTCATCTGTCTGAGGCACAGCAGGGCTGAACAGCTGGTTTGATTCCCTCCTGCCTCTGTGCAGTGGTTGATGTCTCAGGTGTGTGTAAACTCTCCTGTATGGTAGATGTTTTTTGCTGTTGTATTTGCCCACAGCATTGTTTCGAGCTGTGAGCAGCGTCATGAAGAAACTTAAGCTACTGTAGCTGTATGGAAATTGATCACCCGCTTGTTATTTTATGAAAGAAAATGAGTGACAATTGAGAGAGAGGAAGGAAGGACAGTTTCTCTCATGTAATTACATGAAGGGGAAAAAATCTGAAGAATTTCACACTTCTCCAACATTCGAGTGCACACATTTCTCTGAAAAGCTGTGAGGTTCTGTAAATAATTTATAAAAGCATCTGAGGTCAGTGCTCTCTCATCCTGACAACCCTGCGAGCTGTTCCCACTTGCTCTTCCTCCCTCCTCTATACCTGCTTCTCTCCACCAATATCCCCTCTTTTTGTGTCCCTTTTAAGGCTAAAAGAGGAACAAGAATATCACCTTTACAGTCCAATTTCATATTTTAGTATTTTAAGACTTACATTTCTTTCTCCAGAACACTACTTTACAATAAACACAAAAGCAGACTTTTTTGTGAATTTCTCGTTCTGACTGTTGAACCTGTAATGACCATCTCACCTTAACAAATTCGTTGACAATTTTTGAGTGTCACTCCCTTTGTTTCCTGTCATATGTTGTACATTTTTTAAAAAAGTGTGGTCATTGCTGCTCATATGAATGAGTCCTCCACAGCATCAAAGAGTTTTTGCAACCTTTTAATGGTTGGTGCAAAATCATACCAGCATTCACAGAATATTAATCAGTCCCTGCGCGCCAGAGAGGTGTTTTCAGGTAAGCGCAGTTGCAGGGGAACAGTCTTCAGGTAGCTTTTAACTGCACTAAACCCCCTGAAATGAACTGCTTCACCCAGTTGTTATAATGGAACTCGCATGTTTGGCCTTACTCATGGCGCTTATGATGCAGGGTGGGTCTGACATGAACACTGATTTGCTGATGTAAAAAATAACACATACAGATACAAATAGTTCATCAGCATCCATAATGGGCGAGCCCTCTGTGCGCTAACCTAAACCCACTGGAGAGGTCCAAGTGTCTGCAAATAAGATGTTGGCAACATTTGAAGTGCTTCCTCTTTGAATGGCACCGTTATGTTCACCATCAGTCAGCTCTGTAAGTAAAGTGGTACCACAGGAGGTGCTGGCAGCTGGTTCAGATCACCTGCCCACAGTGGGGAGGTATTTTTGCACACTGATGTTCAAGTTCACACTAAAAGGGAGCCATCTTAAACCTCAGCTCACAGAGATCAAAATTTTGTTTTTCTGTAGAACCTCCAATGTTTTAATTTCTTAATCTCCAATCTCAGACACTTCCTTAACTACAATGGGGGGCTCACACCAAGTGTGAGTCAAATCATCTACTTGCTTAATTTGCGCAAATCTAGACGCATAAATGACTAGTATTTACTCGCTTCATTCACGCGTCAAGGGTAATTTCAACAGTTATCCCTGCCAATTCAACCAGGAGGATCAAGTGATAGGCAAAGGTTTTTTACAACTTTCCAGGTAATCCGACCTCCTCACTCACTTGCCTCCAGGCAAGTTCCTTTTTATTCCAGTTATGGTAATTGAAAGAAAAGGTATCATATAATACAGGGCACCCACACACTGACACGAACAATTTGTCCTCCATTTTAGATACCAGTGAACAACCGTCCATTTTCATATGTAACCCAGAAACCATCGTGCAGATTAGTTATTGAGACGTGAATATCCGCTCAAGTTGAGACATTTTCAGCTCCCGCCCAATTCACGTCATTCGCACCGCCAGAGTAGGAGGAGCGTCTAACCGCGTCTTTGCACTGACTTAACGTATAATTCATTCACACAAATGATTTTACTCGCGCTTGGTATGTGGAGACATTTAGGATTATCAAATTCTACTGTAGAGTCATTGATATCTACTTTAAAAATCAAGAAATTTCCATGTCAGTGTGTTTGAACAGGATAAATATGGAGGAAAATTTTTAGTTTTGACTTTTCCAATTGATGAGAAAAATCTGCTTCGTGAGTGACACTGTTGGAAACATGATTTTGACATTCACCGAAATAAAAAGCATAAGAAACAATAAGCAAACACAATCTCAAAAAAACAGTACCACTCTAAAACCAAACAGGGTGAGCCTGTTTGGGTCAGTCCTGATTTGTTTATAAAACTACTTACAATTACGCACAGTGCTGACTTTGTGTCTTTGTCCACATCCCTTATTACATCTGCTAGATGCCAGATGATCTGGTGTAAGTGACATATTTCTACCTTTTTTTTTTTTTTTAAAGATGAAGGCTCTTTGTCTTTTCTGGCAGGACAGCTTGAAGGAGACAGGAAATGTGTGAAGAGAGATAGAACATATTGATGTAGTGTGGTGTCCAAATCATGCTGGGACCAGGAATCACTCCTGCGACTAGTGTGATGAAGACTGTTGCCTCTTTGCATGGGACACCTGAGCTAATCCAGAGCCCCCTGTTTCATTGTCCTTTCATCATCCTGTCACTTTCACTATCCTTCCCAGTCCTTCAGGTCGCTCAGGTGGCAATATTGAATTAAGGACAAAAACTCTTTTTTTTCAAGATACAAAGTGGGTTCACTCAGTTTCAGGTTAGTCTGGTGAGAGTTGTGTTCAGAGGGCCACCATCTCAGTCTGAAAAGATAATCTCAAAGAAGCTTCTTTGCTGCTGCATTATTAGGTGAAGTAGATGAGTAAGGAGCTGTTTTACACCTCTCTTTGTGCGTCAGCTGAAGTGGAGGTTGTGTTAGCTCGGTGTCAAACAGAAGCTGTGAACAGTTGCTCTAACATTAGTGCGTATAATTTTCTCCTCACTGTTAACATGGCCTTCCTGTTCTGAGATCAGTGTGACATCAGTGAGCAGACCGTCCTCTGCTGCTCCTCATTGGCCTACAGTAATAACAGCAGGTGTTTGTCCTCACACCTGGCAGGACAGATGGTCTCCTGCTGTCTGCGTCTCTGCACCCATCTCAGGCCAGTCTATCCACCTGGTCCCTCCTCCACCCTCATCCTCTCTATGTTTGCTCATTATAGTCATTATCACTCAATAGGATCATGGTGTATGATGGTGTGCATCTGCAGCAGTAAAGACTCACTGTGCTGTTTTTTCGTGTGTAGGAGTCGGTGCAGTGAAGCACAGTACCGCACATGCTCAGTAGATGCAGCCTGTTTGTGGAAGGCCTCTGATGACGTCCAGAAAATGACTCAGCACTTTTTAAATAAAGCTTTTGGTTTCTGAGCTGCAGCTCCTGATTGGCTGAAAGCTGCAGAGAGGAGGGGAGTCACAGAGAGGGGGCTGCAGTGGGTTAGTGGCTGAGGTAAATTTATAATATACACCTGTGAAAAATGAACTAAAAATAACCTATAATAACATAAGCTAAGTCTACAGATGCTTAAGTTACAAAGATAATGGGATATTCTCAAAGTATGAAAGTAGTCACAGTTAGAAAAGGGAGAAGTGGTAGGGCTGAAAAAATTGATTATTCTGAATCATAAAAACAAGACATCTGATGACTTCCGATGGGAAAAAAGCAGCTTCTTGTTTTGAAACAAAGGGCTTCATTATTACCCTATTTTTTGGGTGATAAGGCGCACCGGATTATACGGTGCACTGTGAATTAACATGTCTATGTTCACACATTAGGTGCACCCGATTGTCAGGCGCGTTAACTATTGGCTCATTGATTGGTCAATTGTTACTAGCGCATACTCCAGGCTCGGGCTGCCTTACATGAATGCACTTCTTGTTTAGACATAACAGTCAGGCAGTCTTGTAGACTGCTCAGGGGTCCTGTACTGTAATGCTCCAAATATCTATTGAGCGAAGCAGCTTCGTTGCATAACAAAGTAGTACTTACACATTTCGACAGAACAGCACAACAAGTATACATAAGGCACGCTGGATTATAAAGTGCACTGTCAAATTTTGAGAAAATGTAAGGATTTTAAGTGCAACTTATAGTCCAAAAATACAGTATACATTTCTGATTAATTTATTTTTGATTTGCATATAAAGAGTAAACAGTTTTGTCAATAAAATAAAAAAAAAAATATTATTTATTTATTTATTTTAATAATTATATTCTAGTTATTGTTGTTAATAAGTAACTACTCCAAAATTTATTTTTAAAAATGTTAAAATTATATTTTTCAAAGAATAATAATAAAAAACAATAAGAATAACAAGAAGAATTATTTAAAAAAAAAAATTTTTATTTTTGATGTTATTGAAATTAGTTTTATCAAAATGACTTGACCTGTATATTTTTTTTTTTTCTAAATGAATTTAATGATCCATTGTTTTTCTCATGAAAATGATGTTAATGATGTTTTCTTCTTCTTCTTCTTCCTTCTCTTATTATTAATATTATTGTTATTATAATTATAATTATTATCAATAGTATTATTAAATTGAGTTTGTAAGTCACATTTTTGAAGGTCCCAAACCATGAGAGGTATAAAGAGGTAGGAGCAGCACTTATGGAGCTTGTTTTAACAGCTGAGTTTTCGGCTGTGTTTTGAAGTGTCCAGAGATGTAGTGTTGTGTTTTGGTGTGGGAGGAGAGTTCCAGTGGGTGAAAGCTGCCACACTGAAAGCTTTGTCTTCAAAAGTTCTGAGTTTGCTGTGGGGGATGAAGAGCTGACAAATGTCTGAAGAGTGTAGCTTCTGGGGCTGAATGTAGGGGTGGAGGAGGTCTGTCAAGTACTGGGGGGAGCAGGACTATGGAGAGATTTGTTAGTGAGGAGGAGGATTTTGTCATCCATGCAGAATTTGATCAGAAGCCAGAGAAAATAGAAGGGAGTGGGGATGATGTGCTGCTAGGGCTTAGTGCAGGTCAGACTTGCACCTGGACAGCAGAGTTTTGCACATGTTGGAGCCTATCCAAGAAGAGGGAACACCAGAGGAGTTGGTGTTAATCTGAATCTTAACCACATTTTCCACACAGTTTGGATACTAATTTTTCCATGGACCTGAAAGCAGCACAGTGAACATTTTACATCCTGAAGCTAGACGGTCCCCTCTGTTGGACCCTGCAACTCTCAGAAAGTGATCTGAACACGACTAATGGTTCAGGACAGAGTAATAAAGTAAACCCTGCGGTGACAACATCATCTCTGCAGCATCATCTCACTGACCCTGCGGATGTTTAGGAGCAGCACTGTCTGACACCAACCAGGTTGATAGAAGTCAAAGAGGATAACCTGAACAATGGATTTGAAGGATCTATCTGCACTACATCTAGGCTGTTTAATTGTATGACCAGGATTTTACAACACTCTCATACTTGCTGCATATGCGCACACATCACCAAGACTAATATCATTACCAATAAGGCCACTCAAGCACCTGCAGCACAAAATCTACTTACACACCTGCGTTTCACACACAAACTCGCACAACCCACCATATGCACACCAGTATTTTGTTGTATAAATTTTCCCCTAAAGCATAGCAGGTATATCACAGCTCAGTCAGAGCAAACAAGATCAAAACATTAACTCTGATCTTTAACATTAATGGACCACAGAGGCTTCAGCTTGGCCTATTCAATTCTCATCCTGGTACCAAGGAGCAGCAGACATGAGGCTCTGTTTTAATCCAGGATCTTATAAACAGTGCTTGTGGTAATAGTAATGATACAAATGTGTCCACATGGGGTCCATTTAGGTTTACATACAAAAGGGAGGGCAGGCTCTCTGAATGTGACCTGTTGCTGGGCTTGGCTGTTCCTGTGTCTGCAGGTTTTTTAGAGGCTTCTCGCTGTGGAACCAGAAACTTAAATCCTTTCCTGTTTAAGGTGTTGACTGGGTCCTTTATCGGAGATTAGCAAACTTTTGCTTTACAATAAAATCAGAGAAAAAAAAATTTTTTATCTTTGATGTGTGACCAAATGTTTTGCGAATATCCACCTGCTTCACTTCCTGGAGCAGCCTCTGAATCCCCGCCCCAGTCTTCATCATCTTGGGCAGGGATCTCATCCTCAACCCTAAAAGAGCCCCCAACTCACCTGATGATGAGCCTATAGCTGCTGCATTCACGTTAGCTCTGCTGTTGTTCAGATCCAGCTTAGTAGATACAATCTCAGGTGTTAAAAAATGACATCAGAGCATATAGATATAAGGACATATTGTGAGGAGGATAGGAAGATGTTATATAGATGATTATTGTAATAAATGTATTTTTTCACATTTATTTTCATCACCTCGTCTCAGGTAATGAAAACCAAATCCCATCTGTATGTGGATAATAATGCATACATTAAAGATAAAGAGGAGGCACTGAGGTAGAAAATAAACCGATGCTTTTCTTCAGATCAGGAACAGATCCTCAAAATGCAGCTTTGTATGGGTGTGCAGCTGTGTGTGAGTGAATGTGTGTGTGAGTGTGAGTGAATGTGTGTGTGTTATATTTCATTCAGTGAATATTGTCTGTTCTGATCAATGTCTCTGCTGGGACAGTGAGGCAGCCAGGACTTCTCTGATCTACAGCCATGTTTGTGTGCATGTGAATTCAGGTGTGCGAATGTGTGGGTATGCATGCATGTGTGTGTGTTTGCATGCGTGTGTGTGTGTGTGCATGTATGCTGACAGAAGCAGAATGCTATGCTCCTTCTGATGGATGCAGAGCATTAACCTGACGTCTGCAGCCTTATTGTGATGGTGTTTAAAGGTGCAGAAGCGTCCTGCAGAGTCTCAGTCCAAACACGCTCTGCTCGCTCAGAGTCACTCTCCATCTGCAGGAGATTTACTACAGGAGTCACAGCAGTGCATGCTGGGACTTTAGTGAGAGGAAAGTGTTTGGTAAACTGTGATGGGAATTCAATGTCACCTTATTCAAAGAGTGTAACAGCAAAGTTTGCCATGAGCCAAACTTCAGAGTTAACTTTACAAAGTTGTTCAACTACAGATGGAGATGAAGTGACAGAGTGACGGAGATAGTAGAAGAATCTGCTCACGAGGGGGACGACTCTGCAATCTTGATTCAAGCTGTTGTATTTAGAAGTGGTGGCATACGGACATGGCAGCAGAATGTGTGGGTCTTGCAGTTAAAGGATGCACTGCCAGTCTTTCCCACATAGACGATACAAAGACGACCTGACTCAAGGTGGTCGACTGCCAATTTATACTCTTTCTCCTTGTGCACTGTTTTAATAAAATGGAGAGTTTAAATAATTCACAAACCACCAAAATCTGTTTTTGTCAACATTTTATACACATCCCAATTTTTATAGAATTAAGGTTGTGCTTGTCTTCATTCCCACACGACCCCTGAGGTAGCTACAGCAGATTAAAGGATACACAGGGACATGTGCAAATTGGTAAAATTAAGTAACTGAGGCTTCAAGCTAGTATGAAACACATACACACGCACACACACACACGCACACGCACACACACCTCATTAAGAACTATTGCATGTACTCTCTGCTACGGTCCACACATAAAGATTGCTTTATTCTTCTTCTAGTCTTTGCTATATAATCAAATTGTGGTTGTTGGGCTTCTGTGTTGTGCTAATGTCTGTTTCAAGACTGGTCTTTTAGAGTTAACAAATGGTAGTGAACAAAGATAACCCCTGAGAGGGATGATAGGGGTCACCTGTCTCTGGCACAGTTATTTTGAGGGTTGTAGGTGTAAAGTGTGTCAAATAAAGAAAGCAGGATGGATTTAAGCATGTTTTTAGTTAGTACTATGAGAATATCCTCAACAAGCTCTGAGAAGTGTTTGGTTACTGACTGAAAGATTTAGTTCCAGCCGTTGATAAAATTTACAATATTTAGATAGATAGAACTTTTCACAGATGGCAGAAGTACCTGGAATATTAATTTTCTTACTATATTAAATATAAATATTTTAACAGACCTGGGGCCCCTGGGGTATATTCTGTTCCTTTAGGAATAATCTCAGTTTACGAGGACTACTGTCTCTCTGAAAATGTAGTGCACATAAATGGCATCATATGTTCCTATCAGAGTATGCAGTCTAACAGGAAGACAAAAGCTGTGACCACTAAGAGGGAGAACATGTTTCACATTTCAGTTTTATAATGCTGAGCTACACTGTACAAACTGTCTCCAAAAGTGTTAGATTACAGGTATTTCATTTTCTTAAGAGTACAGCACAGCTTCACAGGTTAAAGAGAGGAAAGTTCTTGAAGCCAGTTTTCCTACCTTTAATTTGTACGCTCAAAACTAAAAGCTCTTTTAATTTGTTTCAGAGAAGAAACTGCTAAAAATCTCTCAGATGCTCTGATCTCTCTGCTCCCCACAGCACCAGCCAGGTTTTACATGTACAGCCTCAGGAAAAGCCTCATAACAAGGATACTCAAGGCAATGTAAGCTCAGTGAATATGATCTACAAACCTGCCATTGAGTGCATTTGCATAGACATGAATACAGCCTTCACACGAACACAAGGACACCTGGTTTTTACACCCATGTATGCATGATAAATACCTTTATCCAGGCTTCTGATCACTGCACTTCATTTATGTAGGTATCTATGATGTGCATTTTTTTCACAACACAAACCAGGACAATTTTGAAGTCTAAGAAAAACAACACTATTGTTGCTCCTTGTAGGTGTAGTCCTAATAAATGCCAACATAGTGTTGTAAATATGGCACATCAACCTCATTTCCAGCTTCCACCTGGGATGCATCTTTTTTTCCCCACAGTAAGTCGTAAAATTGCATCGCGCTTGTTGTGTATAGCGGAATCGTATAGTCAAAATTCGCCTCTGAATGTTTTGTAATTTCGCGCTGTATGTCTGCGTCATTCCTGGTGTGTAAGGACCTTAACCTGTACATGGAGTAACACTCACGACTCACTGCATACTCCTCATTACATCATACATGGACTGCAACTGTGTACACTATATGTAGGCTACCAAAGTTACTCGTCACAGCACACAGACTACCTGCCATCAGTTTCACTCAGCAACACGGGCAACACACCTTGTAACTTACTGCTCGTCAGGCTAACATTACACAATGTGGCGAACACCAGGCTGCTAAACATACATCACATTCATAGCACCATTTTCAAGAAAATGATTAAGTACTCAGTCCAGTATGTGTAACAGCAACACATACTGCTCGTAATGAACAGAGTCACTTGCTTATCCAATAGTATCAATGCAACATTGGTGTTGGACCTCAGTCCAATCTCCTCCTTCAGGGCTCTCCATTGAAGAAAAGCAACGCCGATGCAAATCTGCATTTGTCTTCTCTGTTTGTCACCCTCTGTCTTCACCAACAGACCTTCTGCCTAACAAGAAGGCTTTTTCTTTTTAGTCAGATCCACTTCTGAACCTCTTGGTCGCTTCTTCGGGTTCTCCGCCATGTTGCTTCTGGCAGCGCTCCCCTCCCCCCTCCCTTCTCGTTGTCAGGTAAAACTGAGCAGTGCACGTCATTTCCTGTGAGCCAGTGCAGGAATGTCGCCCCCAGACAACAAATACAAAAAGAATAAATACTGAAAAATATCGCAGTGTTAGAGGAGCCAAAATGCTTAATCAGCGTTGTATCATCTCCTCTTGTAATGGCTTGAGTGAAACGGACATTTACAGACACATCGAAGTTACGTACTATAAACTTTAAGTCTATAGACTTAGACTAAATCTAAAGTAGCAGCCAAAACTAACACTGTACTTAAGTTCATGTAAACACACTAGTGTTTAATTCCTCTGGTTTTAATTCACACAAACTGAACACTGCCTGCTCTCACACTTTATCACACCCAATCTGATGACGTAAGACCATAAATACAATCAGTGTTAGAGGAGATCTTCTAACTGAAAACACACACAAACACACACACACACTATTCTACTTTTGTCCTGTGCATCTTCAGACAGCAACATCCAGCTGACCTGGCACACAGTCACATCGCTTTATGTGTCAGACACCATCGTCTGTCACCCACACACACACACACACACACACACACACACACACACACACACACACACACACACACACACACACACACTCTTTCCCACTCCTTTCTCTCTGCTCTTCGTGTCCCCACCTCCCAGACTGCATTGCAGCACCAAGCGTGACTTCTGGTTCAGTTTCAACTTTGTGGCCAGCACGGAAACATGCAACACAAAGATTGAATGTAAGAATGCGTGTCTCTGTTTGTGTGTGTGTGTGTTTGTGTGTCTGTGTGGATGCTTCTGTTTGTGCGTGTGTTTCTGTGCGTGCTTGAGCGGGTCAGTGAGAAACCTTCATATTTCAGATGTAATTTTTAATGTTTGTCTTATTTTTTTTAAACAACATTGATACACCTCTCCCCCTGGAGAGCTGTGGGTTATTGAATCATTGAAAGGCGTTGGATTGATCCTTCCTGGAGGTGAGGGATAAATCATACATGGGTCGACTGGTGGCTGATCAAATTTACTGGCGGGGGCACGTGGTAATAAAGCAGGGTCAGCGGACCGAGCGAGAAATGCTGAGACTTGGAAACGGAGCGATTTATGGGCCTATAACTCAGCGCAGTGCCAGAGAGAAGCAGGAGGAAGGGAAGAAGGATTGCAACAGGGACGAAGGAGGAAGAGGAGGAGGAGAAGAAGGAGGACAATATGCAGTCGCCCTCAGCTAGTAGGAGGTGTCCTGCTGAGTCCCATCCATAAAGGAGGAAAGGTCAGACATTAATGAAAAACAGGCCTGGAAACTCCTATAGCACAAAGCTGTTACTTAATTATGACTGCATTACTTCACCAGCAGGATCTTTGTCAGCTGAATCTTTAAACTGCAGCTGATGAGTTATTACATATGCTGATTCACATACATGAAGATTATATGGCCTGATGTCAAAGCTTTCACTGTCTATCGGTACCATGTGTTATAGTATGATCTTGTACTATATGCTTGTGCATTGTATCATAGTGATCATATTGTGTTGTATACCATATTGTGTCTCATAGTCACATATTTTACTGTATCTAGACACATTGTATTTTATCATATATAATATTGTATTGCATCATATCATATTATCATGTTATAACATGTTGTAACCTACCATATGATATATAAGGCATATCAAATCATATCTCATGTCGTACTGTATCATGTATCATTTCATATCACATTGTGTCATATTGTAGAGTAACTTAATGTAACTTATCATTAACAGATCACATCAGATCATATTGTATCTTATCATATCATTATGTATCTATCTTATTGTTACATATCATATCTTATCATATTGTAACGTAACGTAATGTAACCGAACATAATCTATTGTATCATAACGTAAAATAATTATTGTTCCCTGGTGTATGGTATCATATGTTATGAAGTGTCATATCCTAAGACACATACATATCCCAGTGTGTCATGTCATATTTTTCATGTACTGTCTCATCTATTGGCTTAAATAATATTGTTTTGTATTAGATTATATTTAACATCATTGTGTCATAATGCATATTATTATTTCATCTTATGACATACCCCAGTGTGTTAGGTCCTTCTGTCTTGAATGGTTACACACGTATATTATCTTGTAGTATATAATATCATATCATATGGAATCGTAACAGATTGTATCACCTTGTATTGTATCGTGTTGTGTACTTGTTTGAGAAAACAGACAGTAGACTTAATCTAAATGACAAATAGTGTGTTTGTATCAATCAAATTTTCATGCCTTTTTTCCAAACACACTGTATATTGGAGAAAGGAAAAGATGCCATATTCCTTATTTTCAGTAGTTTGTGACCCTGTCTCCTGTATGGCAGCCTCAGCCATCATGGTGTGAATGGGCAAATGTGACAGTGAGCCGTGTGATAGACTATAAAAGCTCTACAGGTGCGAGTTAATTTACCATTGCTTGTGTCATCCCACTTTGCACTGTATTGTGTGGTATCATAAGGCATCCCATTGTGTCATATAATCATTATAGTTGAGAATATTACTGTGAGCTGAAAGAGTGGAACAGAAATATGTCGTCCTTTCAGAGTGATTTGGTTTTCACAGCACGTTCTTACCTGTTCTCAGAGGGTCTATCCTGTCCGTTATAGCTCATTATAGTACATGGATGAGAGTGTGCCTCTGCTGAAGGCAGAGAGAGGTGGACACAAGGCTGGGCAACACTATAGACACATCATTAAGATGCTCTGAGGTGAGTCTCTTCATATCTGCCTGCTCATGAACACACCACCCACTGTGCCAATGTCAGATGACTCCCTGAGCAGCTCCCCCCCTCCCACATACACGCATTGACATTATTCACACTGACAGAGAACTCCCTCTCTGCTCAGTTAGTCCAGGCAGCGCTGCAAACTGGCTGCTACATGGATTCAAAGAAATTTGCAGTGTGCTGAGCAGAAGTTACATTGGTTTGATTTACAGGTAATGTAGATGCAGGATTAACTTGTGATCCTGTGGTGTAATGATTTGTAGCAGCTTTTAAATCCACTTTGATGACCGACCAGTTTTAAGAGATGAGCATAATAAAGACAGACGTGCAATAAAAAAGACAAATGTTCACTCTTTGTCTGTCTTATCTCTGTCATTAAAGATAATCTACACTCGGAAAAACAAGTTAAAGAAAATGATGTTTATGTGAGCTGGAGTTATCCTCACCGGGGTTGAAACATCTCCTAATCAATCATTCAGAGCTTTATCATGCCCTCATCTCTGATCATGAATCCATTATCTCGTCAGGATGAGCTAACATCGTTTTCTGCTGATCTTCAACACATGGTGACCATGTGTTTCTACTCACTGTAGAAATAACCAGACTCATTCATGCTTTTATAATGTCATCTGACAATAGGATTATAACTAATGACTTATTTTAGCTGTGAAGTCATAGACTATTGAAACCACTAATAAACTTATTAAGGATAAACTGCAAAAGCTCTTAGTGACTTGTCATCTTTACCCTATAAACCCTAAACTTGACATTGTAAATCTAGATTTATGTAAGATGAATGATTTAATTTTATTTGTGTCTCCTGGTTACTATAGTCAATTTATAGTAGCGTTAACTCCTGTGTCCAAAGGAGGAAGACCGAAATGAAAAAGACTGAGGAAGGCATGAGGTATGAGGTAGGGATTGAAAATGTTAACAGACTATATTTAACGTAAAATAGGCGACATCACCCATTTGTGTCTGGAGCGATGCTCTGAAGGCTGTTGACAACAGTCTGCTTCATACTTGAAAACTGACTCAACCATACTCTTAAATCAGCAAGAAGTAAAGAGGTGGAGTTAGGCCGGCCTTTAGCCTCCTTGCTAACCACCACTGTGTTCATTGGCCAGTTAAGTCAGTTGAGCTCCTTTTTATGCAAAACTCTTAACCTGATATTTTCAAAATTTGGTTATAAAAAGTAATTCCCCCTCACTACAGCGTGTGCAAGTAGAGAATTGATCCATACCAATATCTCCTTTTAAACCAGACTGATGTGTATGTGGTTTCCTATACTTTGCTGCCAGCCTCTAGTGTAAACAGAAGGAACTGCAGTTTTTAGCACCTTCATTTCTCAAGGCTGGAGTTTGCTGCTTGGTAAGGAAGTGTTAAGTCGTACCTGTTTGTACTTTCGGTCTGAAAAACAATGTGTCCAACATGAGCAATAATGCCAGTGACTAATTTTTGACTACTGACTCTTGATTTTCAATTTCTGTTGACTTTAACAACATCTTTTGCTCCCCTATCTGATAATCATGGCTCTGAAGCGATAGGGCCATCACAGCTAACATACCGCACATATCAACCATATGGAAGGAGCCAAGCAGATGTCAATGTGATCATCCATTCCCTCTTTATCAATGAAATAAGCAATGTTTGACCCAGCTTTGCAGAAACTTTGGTTTTATATATACACTTCAGTTTAAGTTAAATTTACTGAGTTTTCAAGTCCTCAGATAAGACTGATTTTGTGACACATTGTGTGACTTTAAAGCTTTGATTGTCCTGGCATGTTAGACAGCCTGAGGAGAGTTTGAAAACCTTGCATGAAATTGAGGTGTACACAGAAAAGAGTGTGTGATATTTTCACTGTTAAACACCCTGAACAGACAGAGATAAAGTACATGGCTTTCACAGCAGATACATCCATGCATGCTGCAGAACCACTGTGTTGTACTTTTCTTATTATCCAGGGGCAATCCTACATGACAGACATGACTGCCTGTGCCTCCAGAGACTACAGAGCTAGTCAGCTGCTTACTCAGAGAAAAAAACAAGATTCATCTGAGCACTCAGGGGCCATCGCACAGAGAAATCAAGCTGCACTGCAGTCAGGTGCTGTACACTTTAGAGTCTCCCTTTGTTATCCACTATAGTCTTAGCCTGGTCAGGAATTGACTGGTTGTCTGGTATCAAGCCAAACAATAGCACAGACGCCAAATTGCATAAACTTGGGATCACTCAGGCTGCTTGATGGGTCACCACAGCACTGACAAAAAGACAGATGGTTATTTTATTATAAAATCTTCTCTTTGTCTTATTTCATAATTTCAAGTAGGAAGCCAAACGCAGAAGGCAAGTGAGTGCTTAGGTCAGACGTTTCACCAGTTTCATCATCCTAATAGATGATGAATGAGTCACCAAAGACCGGAGAGGGGAGGTGAAAATGAAAAAAGAAAAAACAAAGACCTATCTATTCCAAAGCTACGCTATCACAGCAGTATCTGCAGGTGTAGATACTATCATCACTGGCAGTGCCACTTCATCTTGCAGCGCTATCATACTGCGAACGTCAGCATGTGAAGTATCAGGGCATAAAGATTGTCACAGCAAGTGGACTTTGGCTGTGTGCAGCAGAGCTTGTTTCATATTCAGGTGGAGTAATTGTAATATGCACTGCTGCTGAGTGCAGTGGTTTACATAAACATTCAGATGAAATAATTGCAGTGGCTGCCTGTGTGCTGTTACTTTCAAAGAAGTAAGATCAAGTTTTTGTTACATGCACTGTGGCTTTGTACAGATGCTTTAACTTTCATCTCAGCGCTCAGGGGTCATCGTGCAGAGGAATCAGGCAGCTCTGCAGTCAGGTACTGTGCTCTGTGGAGTTTCATCTTATTCTTTAGAAATCAGCACAGAAATGTTTTCCTGCAGCCTTTGTTGACAGTGCTTGGATCCGACTGTTCTCTCTGTGCTGCTGTGCAGGGGCATGTCCGGACTTTTTGACCAGGGCTGCACAACTGGAGCACAGACAGGGCTGTGTGCACAAACAGACCATCAGCATCTACTTTTACAGCTATAATTGAAGTGTTATATAGATATTATATTCCTGGGTATAGTTTTAGTGTAGTTATGTGCCATCAGTGTATTAGCCAATCTAATGAACTTAAAGAGTTTTTTTAAGGTCCAGTGATAGGACAAAAAAAGATAACCCAACAAAATTACTACAAAAGGAAACTTTGCAGTGGTACAGCAGTTGTGGAAAACCACATTAATGATCTTAAGTATTTCCTATTATATTAATCAATTGATCACCAGGATAATTGATAGAATACTTGATTCTTAAACCATTTGATGACTGCAGCCCTAAAACTGCACTCAAACTTGGCTTCTTTCAAAATATTTGTGTTTTTTAATGAACGTTAACTTGGTGCAGAATTTTTTTTTTCTGTCATTATCAGTTAAAATTGTTTGCAATAGTTGGCAAATACAGTGCAAAAACTGCAGGCATAAATGCCAATTTAAAAGACATGCAATTTTCTGTTGTCAGAGAAACAGACAAGTGGATAATATTACAGAAACAGAGCATAGTGGCCTTTTTTTTTCATTAAAGTTATATAGATAAATATGAAGGAGCCACGTCCAGAAGAGTTTCACAAGTCAGACTCAGCATGAACTTGGTTTGATCTGCATATAAAACAAACATCTGTTCTTCACAGGTGAGACTGTTAACATTCCAGTCTCATCTGTCGTAAGCTTGTGAAATCAATGATGAACAGCAGAAAATGATCGAGTCATCACATTGTTATTGATACAGATAAAAATAAAATAGGTCCTAGTAGTGTACCTGGAGGAACACCCTTAGAGACGTTCAGAAAAGAAAAGGTGGGCCTTATTGATTAAGCTGAGGTTTTCATCCAAACACTTCATTATAATCTGCATCTGTCCATGCAAGTAGATTCAGCTAATGTAAGGAAGACAACCTGATTCTTATAGATGAATCCCCCCCCCCACTGACCTCTGACTGACCAAGGGCGAATCCTTCCTTGGTTGCGTGACAAGACAGTGACGGGGCTGTGACTAAGTGCTGCGGCGACGGCGGGGGGACAGCAGTGGTGATGATGACAGTGATGATGTGGATGTCAGCGCCGCTCTGACATGTCAACGCTGTCCTCATTATGAAACTCTGGATTCTGAGCAGACCGTATGGCTGCTCCTCACTGGACTCCTGACGGGACAGATCAATGGGCAGAGCACACAGGAGTTCAGTCAAACAGTCACAGACAGTTTCGTCTCCTGAATATGGCGTGAGTGTGTATGTGAGTGTGTGTGTGAGGGAGAGAGAGACTGTGACAGAGACAAAGTTCCTGTGAGTATACATTCATCATGATCAGGGACTGTTTAAAGGCTGTCAGCTCTCTGTGGTCCCCCCTGTTCTCCTTTATACCCTCTGCTTTGACTGTAAGGCTTTTATAACTCACTCCTGTGTTCTCCTCTGTGCCCTCAACTCTGAATGTCAGGCTTTTAGAACTAACTTTACACAAAAAGTGGATATCTTTTGAAGGGAGAAAGAGGAGGAGTTTGAGGAATGGAAATGCTGAACGGCTGAATGTGGGAATTTAACTCAACAGAGAGAGCAGGGGAGGCGAGGAAGAGAGGGAGGCTCAGGGGGGTGAAGGGCAGTTCATCCACAGGGGTGACTGAGAGACATCCCTGATATCTCCAAGCTCCTGCTCCCCCTTCCCTTCCTGCCCAGTGTTACTCGGACACTCTGTCACATACATGTTGCTGGACTTTGACCAAACTATGATCAATGAGTCACAGACATGTCAGAGTCTGTTAGGGCTGCAGTCTGATTCATTACGCATACTCTTTTTTTTCTACACAGCATGCTGGATATGATTATCTAATAACCACATTTTTATAAACCCTAATGTGAGCTTGAACAGATCCTAAGTAAACTGGACTACTTAATCTATATCATATTTGTGTGTGCTGTGAGGGGTGTTAAGACGATTTAACTCTCTCTGATCTGCTTGAAAGACGATATCCACCCAGGAAGCAAGCTGAGTGCGGGAGGAAGTACCACACATACAGCCATAGTAAGAGCATAAAGTTAAATGGACATTAGAAATAAAGAACCAACCTGTTGATTTGTGGAAACAATCAGGGGTAGACTGATTATTGGCTTTGGCTGATTATCTGTATAGGTCTTTTATTTCCCAAATGGCCAACAAAATTAATACATTAACTGCTGTTTCTTCCCCTCTGGGTAGTTCTTTATTGCACCACTTTGTCTCACCTAATGTCCTGTGCACAACATTGGCTGATTGGCTAGATGTCACCTGACCATTCGATGCAACTGTACTGCAAGTGTAACCGTGAGCTCCTGTGTATGATGCAGAACTTTTACATATTGATTAAAATTGTTCGAAAGGCTTTTAGGTGAAGTTTTGTGTTTTTTGACAGGAAGTTTTTCATTGCATATTGGTTCCAAATATCCAATATCGGTCCTGTGAACTACTTTTAATCAGTATTGGTATCAGTTTTAGTATAAACCCTGAAAAAACAATAATAGTTGAAACAATTCTAGTGTCTATTTGGTGTGTCTTGCACAACATATTGCAATCTCACTGTCATAGAGGATATTGTGCAGATAATGTTACCCCAGTGGAAGTACCAGGTAGCCAAGCAGCTAGTAAGGTTTAGCTCAATTTGTGAATGTTTGTCATCATGTGTGAGAATTCTCATATTTTAATCACCATCTGTTAAAACTTTAAAAGTCTTTTGATGTGAGCCATCACCCAGGAGGTTTATCACTGAAGGACATGACCGTATCTACAATGGCTACTTTTTCTTTCTCAATGCAAAACAGAAATGCTCTTGTTTTTAATCTCCTATCAGAAATATCTGATCTCACATCAGTTCATATCTTCATCAGACCTCCGAGTGAAGTGATCACCATGCATCATGAGCCTGCATATCTTCAGCTTGCAAATATTGTTCTGATTCGAGACATCAGAGGGTCTGTTGGGGTGGACACTCAGTTATGCTAAGCAGCTTTTTAGTGCATGGTTTCATATTATCAGTGACACATAGACCTGATTCTGGTTAACACTGTGGTATCACGACAGATAACAGCATAGATAGAGTGTCGACCTGCAGAACAGGCACAGAGCAATATTGTTTGAATTACAGATGATTACAACCTGAAGCTAAAAAAAAAAAAACGGATCAAAAGAACATCCCAAAAATCTGATCAAATTTCATTTTGAGTCTGAGTAAATCACCATGCAAATGGTGTATCACTCAGTCTACCTCAGTAGACTTCAGATGAGGAAGACTGCTGACCTGACAGTTGTCCAGGAGACGATCATTGACATCCTCCATGAAGAGGGTAACTCAATGAAGGTCATCGCTGCAAAGGCTGTTCACAGAGTGCAGTATGGAAGCAGATTACTGGAAAGTTGACTGGAGGGGAAACGTGTGGGAGGAAAAGGTGCAGGAGTAACAGCCCTGAGAGCATTGTTGAGAAGTTGGTTCAAGAACTTTGGGCAGCATGGAGAGTCACCTCAGACATCTTCAAGGACAGAGACTACAACAATATTGATCTGAATATCAAGCCACTCCTGAACTGGAGTCAACATCAGAAGTGTCTTATACCTGGCCTCAAGAGGAGAAGAAATGTACAGTAGACCAAAGTCCTCTTTGCAGATTAAAATACATTTTGAATTTCATTTGGAAAGTCCGGTGTGAAGTTCCTGCAGTCTGTAAATAAAAAGACAGTGAAAGAATAAAAACAGTATAAATCTGGCACTACAGTCATTCAAGTACTTCATTTTTTCAATATTCGAGCGGTTAAGATTAAACTTTTGGGTATAGCTGCAGCATTTCCTCTCAGTTCAGACTTGTGAGGAGCAGAGGAGCCTCAGTGTCTCTGCTGGGAGCGTCTGCTTAGGCTCTGAAAGCATCCTGGTCAGCTCATTAAGTCTCTGCGGTGGATGTTTGAGCCGTTCAGGGTGTTTGGGTCGCGGTCTGACCTGAAGAGAGGCCAGAGGCCATTGCTCATCTCTACACGCTCACTGACGCCTGCTGAGGGGGGCGGAGCTTTTTCAGTTGCAGAGACATGGACATGACGGTTTTAGATCAGATATATAAGAGGATTTATAGATGTTTGATTAGATACACAGATCAGACCATATGAATCATGGGAGTCCTGTTCAGACGGCAGCATTCTGGACAGCCTCTGATACACATGGACTGTGTCAGACTGGTGACCTTTGACCCCGGAGGCTGTTTTTTTTTTTTTGTCAGACTGACAAATGGCCCAGCCTCATACTGCTGATCCTGCACAGTGTACTGTTGATATTAACTCATGTTGACGCACACACACACACACACACACACACACACACACACACACACACACACACACACACACACACACACACACACACACACACACACACACACACACACACTCTCTGTTCGTGTGAGTTCAGGGAGCGTCTGCAGCTGAATAAAAAAAAAAGAAAGACGGTGATGCGTTCACTGCCCCTCCTCTCTGCTGATGGATTGTGTTTCTGGGACTCCTCTGGTTTGTTTGTTCTCTCCTCCCTCTGATCTCCTTATTTTAAGTCCTGACTCTCATTTAACTTTTATAATTTATCTGTTTTCCTCTCGCCTTTAATATTCTGCTGCTTCAGCTTAAATCAACCGTTTGTTTGATCCAAGTTTTTTTTGATTGGAGTTAACTCTGCACACTATAAATAACACACTCCTTTCTCATCTAAAGTGACACAGACTCACTTTTACATAGCTCTGTCTCATCTATGCTCACATGTCCTCTTCATCCTTGTCCGTCCTCCTCCTCTTCCTCTCCTCTGAGAGCTGCAGAGAGCTGGTCACCCTGAAGCCAAGCCGGGACGTCTTTCTTCCTGCTGCTGAAGGAAAATCCATTTACTTTAGACTCTAAAGTGTTGTCTGCAGCTAAAAGGCCTGATGCATTGATTACAGTCCAAGTACTATAATACTCTAAGTGCTTCAATAGACCCGCCCCTCTTCCAGCCCCAGAGTTTAATGAAAACAGATCAGGTATGCATTTAATCACAGGAGGAAGTGAGGACAGAATCGAGGACAGGGGGGGATTAAGTTGAGAGGAGAAGGTGGAACTAATGAGGATCTTAGGACTGAAACAGTAAACAGTTAATGACACTTCATTTTTATACTATCCTTCATTTTTCTGCTGTCGCTTTCATCTCTGAATAATGCGTCCCACATGGCTCAGTTTCAGGTTATCTGCTCCGATTGGCTCTTTGGCTGGATCCTCTGAGCTATAGTGAGAGGTGTGTTGGTAGTAAAAGTGACTCACAAAGTCAAGCTTTTATCTCATTGGGGTTCATGCAGAGGTGGAAAAACTTCACAGATTCTTTACTGCGGTACAGCTCCAGTTCCAAAAATGCTGGGACACGGTGCAGAATGCAAATTGAAAACAGACTGATCATTTGTAAATCATTTAAACCCTATATTTGACTGAAAAATACAACATGTCTAATGTGGAAACTAAAGGAGTTTAGTTGATGTAAAAAAAAATATGCTTAATCGTCATTTGGAGACCAACACATTTTAAAGCAGTCAGGACAGGGACATGTTTACAATTTGTTGCAGCACCTCTCCTTTGGACAACACTTTGGTTTGACCAGTTTCTGGATTATGAGAACTCAAATATTGTCTCATTCTTGCCTGATATAGGATCTCAGCTGCCAGACAGTTCTGGCCCCTCTTTGTTGTGTTTTTCAGTTTCATGATGCTCCAAATGTTTTCACTGGGTGACAAGCCAGGACTGTAGGCAATTCAGTGTAGCACCTGGACTCTTCTACCATACTTTTGTAATACATGTTGAATGCAATTTGGTATCTTTTTGCTGGAATATGCAAAGCCTTCCCTGAAAAATGTATTTTCTTGATGGCAGCATATGTTGCTTCAAAACCTGTAAACATATTTTTGTCAGCAATGGCGCCTTCCCAGATGTTCAAGTTAACTACGTCACGGGCACTTATACATCTCAGCACCATCACAGATGCTGGCCTTTGGAGCTGTGTGCAGACGATAAATCAGGTGGTCTGTCAATGCTACACACTGGAGGATTTAGCACCAATGGTTTCCAAAAGGGATGACACATTTTAGCATTTGTCAGACCTAAATCTACCTTTGATGGGCTCAGGCTCAGAGAAGTCACCTGCACTTCTGGTTGGTATGATTCGTTTCTTCTTTGCATGGTGCATTAATCTGCATCAACAATATGACAGCATACCTTGTTAAAGGTCTATTGAAGGTATTTTTTGGGGCCTGTGTAGTTATTTCCACTACAGAATCTTGGTCATCCAGTATGTTTTTGGCCTTGTCCATTTTGTACACAGATATTATAGATGAGGAAATCCCCATCTAGGCAGTTTTTTAGCAGCTGGGGAACATTATTCTGAAACTGTAGATTTATGTGCTATTCAATCTCTTACAGAGTGTTGAACTTTTTCCCATCTTTACATCTGAGAGACTTGTCCTGTCTGAATTTCCCTTTGTAGACCGAGTGGTGTTAATAAAATGTTGTAAAGAAGAGATGCTTGTGTAAATGCAGGTTTGCTAAAGTAGTATCCCTTGTGCTACAGTGTTACAGTTTATAGACCAGGCTGTGAAATGTCCTCGTATTGTCAAAGTGTCCCTCTGAAGGACATCTCTAGCAGCTGTGTGTGCTAAGCTTAAGCTCAGCTCATATTTGGACAAGAATAAACTGAAATCATTTTACCTTCCAACTGAGGAACAACAGAGTGGGAAAAAATGAACAGTCGTTGTGGTCAAATGTGTGAATTAGCTTTCTCCGCTCTGAATCTGCTGCTTGTTGTCGGCCATGCTACTTCAACGTCATCCATATGGCTTCATGTTCTCCATTCATTCATTTCACAGATCTTCTCCACACTTCAGCTTCTCTCTCTCTCTCTCTGTTTGTCTTCACACGTCTTTTACCTTGGGTTATATCTGTCCTCTGTCACATGACCTGATGGACACTTCAAGGAATCAGATTAACTATGTGTTATGGGTCCTCAGGATTTAATTCATCTTTATGTTAGGAGGGCATTGGATTATGATGTGTTATAAGAATAATCAATAATTTCTTGATAAGCGTTCAAGTAAAAGTAACAATTTTATCTTGGAAATAAAGAAATTCTTAGTTTGGATTTTTGTTTCCAGATTTCGACCCAGAAGTGAGACGCAGTGAGAAGATGTAACACCATGTCTCCTCTCTCGATGATAATATTGTTTCTCTTCGGTGTTATCCACACTGTGTGAATGAGCTGAAGCTCTCTGAGAGGTGAGAGTGGAGCGAGGTACAGGAAGTGACAGGAGGAGGAGGGGGGGGGGGGATAGTTCAACCATTCATCTGGTTTCAATCTCTCTTCCTCTCCTGCCTCCTGCTGGAACACCAGAACAGACCCTCCGTACATGTCTATGTGTGCACGCGTGCGTGCGTGTGTGTCTTTTAGAGGAAGACTGTGTGCAACAGGGTGGAGATTCTTCCTATGTGCCAATTTACAGCATGTGTTGAATGTGCCTCCATGTGTTGGATTTGCATGTGATCCAGTTTTATACAGTGATGAAGAATGTCAGAGTCAGGCAGTAAGATGAGATCATTCCCAAGACTGAAGGAATCCTCCAGGTTCTGCAGGGCTGTTTCTTTTGGAAACTCTGTCATGGTTTGCCTTTAAAAATGTAGAATCTGCACTCAGGGTTTTTGGATTCAATGTGCTGCAAATACAGGAACTTGTTCAAATAAAAAAAAAAGTAAAAGTCTAAAACAAACACAAGAGTAGAAACTGTAGATAAAAAAAATCAAGCTGCAAAACAGCTTCACTGACAGCAAATGTCCTGCAGATACACAAACATTGCACGGTCAAATAAAAACCACAAAAGCAGAAAACAACTAAAAAAAACAGAGTTGCAAATACAGACTTTTTTAATGCAGTACTGCAGGGGTGCTGAATAGCATAGCTGTAATATTGAGGGGACAAAGAGGAGTCATGGAATTAGACCCAAATGATTAAACACTACTGGAACAAAGGCTGTCCTGAAACCTTGTCCTCATTGTGCCAAAAAATAAATTTATAATGATGTATGAGTGCAGCTACAACAAAGACATGGTTTCTAATAGACAGTATGCTTTGCTAAAGTACACACCACTAAGTTTAGCTCAGGTCAGCTATGGATCTAAGACTTTAGTTATCAGACTCAGGGCGGCTTCATATGTTGCTTGTAGGAGTTAAAATACAGGGAGTAATCTTACACTGTCTGTGATTTACAGACAAGTCCTTTCTGGACTCGAACTCCAGGACTATGGTACCCTATTTACTGATTTCAACAGAGATGGCTCTCTGCAGTTTATGTTAATAGTACAGGGGGATTAATGGAAACCCGATGCAGAGGATCTTTAAGTAAAAGTTCTACAAAGAGGAACACTTTTTTAAAGTTCTCTGTCCTTCATACTTTGCCAACATGGCTTTATTTCTGAACAGTTTTTAAAAATGCCTGTCACAGCGTTAAGCGAACTAACTCCATACCTGACCAGGCTAATGCTCTTATGAGAAAAAGAAGATAATTGTCTGAGTCTCACTCGATTGAAGACACTGTTCAAAGTTTACAGAAATAAAACAACAAAGCCTCAGTCAACTCAATAACCCGTCCATTCACCAATTTGTATGACGTTTTTATCGATCCAGGGTGCCGTGATCCAGCACATTGGAACTCAGATGAGACTATTTATAATAAGTATAGTTACTCTTTAGACCCCTCTTAGATCTGCATTCAGGATCAGCTCACAGTGACTCTCTGAGTCTCAGATCTGCTTGATGCTAAGTCTCCTCACAGCAGCAGTGTCTCTGTTTTCAGCACAGCGGGTCCTATTTAGTTGTGTGTAGTGTTCACTTACACTTCAGGCTGATTTCTGTAAAGGAAACACTTAGGCGGTTTGTCGGTGAGCATGCAGTAGGTGTGGGGGCCTCAGGGAGACCCCTCCCACCCTGCAGAGTCCAGTTCCTGTCCTGCTGTCTCCTCAGTGTGAAGAGGACGAGGTCCAGACCACCGCACCCCTAATCCATCTGCTGAGATAAGGATGCCAGGAAGAATGTGTGTGTGTGTGTGTGTGTGTGTGTGTGTGTGTGTGTGTGTGTGTGTGTGTGTGTGTGTGTGTGTGTGTGTGTGTGTATGCATATGTGGGTGTGGGGGTTGAATTCCTGAACTTTTGCGCACATAACCGAAACATGTTTTCACTTACACTAATACTCACATTTTAGATAAGCATTTGGTTTTGAGTGTGATGTGTGTATGGTGTGTGTAGGTGTGTAGGGGGGTTGGTCTGGTGGATGTGTGGGTGTAGATGGGGGGTTGAAGCAGCGTTATACTCAGTATTAAAGAATGTGTGTGAAGCTGCAGCCGCTGTAATGAAAAGTAAACATGTGAAGGAGTGTGTGAGCTCAGCTCACGTCTGCAGCGGGCTAAAGAGGAATAATTCAGCAGCCTCTGCTTCATGGCTGTGAAGAACGAACAACATGTCTTCAATTCTGCCAACTGCGAGGTGTGAAGCCAAAAACCATATTGCACTGATGCGGCTAAAGCATAAGGAGCGACTGCTGCTGCTGCTGCTGCACCAGGGAGGAAGCTTTGTTATTAACAAAGAAACTTATATCACTTCTGTCCTGACTCAACTTCAGAATAAACTCATAAAAACAGTCCCCTCTCCCTCCTCCAGGTCATCCTCTGTATGTGGACAGACTTAAGCTCCATCAGGATTAAAACACAGCTCTTCACAACAGAGGGTGGAGGTGCAGGCGACTTCTCCCCACAATCAGATGGAAAAATAGAGTAAACTGCATGGAGCCACAGTAGTGTTCATTTTGTCAACCAAACTTTTGACAATTAGCAAAATCTCTGCTCATGAATATATAACACAGTTCCCCCTGTGCTGTTTGTTTTTCTTTTTGAAACGATCCTTTATCTGCAGCAAGTGTGGGGGGACAAATTCTCATTGGCTCTTTTCATCCAGTTCATCATCACTGGAGGATTTTTCACTCAGTCCATGTTCATAAAAAGTCAATTTACAGTTTCTCAGAGAAAGCCAAAACCAGCTAGCTATTGCCTACCTTATCAAAAGCCTAACAGAGCGACTGCTGGCAGCTAGTGTCACGAAAAAATGAGCTTCATTACAACCTGTGGTCTTTATGTCAGGTGGGAATAAAAGGAACGACCTGTGCACACGTTTTTAAGAAAAGACGGAGCGTGTTGAAGGAAAAGAAAAGTGAATTTTAAAGGATACCTGAAAGATAAAGCAGCCTTTAGTGTCTGCCAAGCTTCACAAGAATAATGAATAATAATTGAATGATATGAACATACAATAACTATCCAAATTCAACATTCACAAGACGGCTGTGTGGAATCAAGTCTGTATTAATCGTCGTGTCTTTACTGTACATATTCAACTCTGAAATAAAGAGTCCAGCAAACTTTAACAGGGTTCACTTAAATGTTACCTTACACAGTGAAGGCATTTGAGTTCTTGAAATGTAACTCAATATTTCTTTTTGGCAGGACACCCAAAATTCTGCTAAATCATATAATGATAAGCATCATTTTGAATCATAACAAGACACACTGGAAACACGTATTCAATATATTTTTCTTTAAAGAGTAAATTTTTAAAACACTGGAACAATCCTTTAGTCAGTTAGCCAGCAGTTAGTCTGTAGTTTAACAGTTTGTTGCACTATAATAACCAAACAGTGTTTGTCATGGCAACTCTGGTGAACACCTCAGGAGTTACTCTTGAGAAATCTGCCTGTTTGTTGCCCCCCTATCTGCCCTCAAATATATGACTATAATCTATATCTATCTTTCTGGTTGAGCCGAATTGGATTAGAATTTTCCAGTCGACATGTTTACATGGCGCTTTTTTATTCCGATCAGGCATTTATTCGGATTATTTGTTCCCATGTAAATGCAGCTACTGATGATCGGTCATTAGGTTCTCTCAACAGTGGATTGGTCTGATTCCTACTCTGTCATCAGGCAGATCTATCTCCACAAGCTTAATGCTGATTTGGTGACTGACTGGACCAATCAGCATCATTTGAGGAGAAAGAAAGTGTAGTCAGTGAAGCTAAGATGCCTCTATATACTTACCAAATTCAGCTGTGTCACATTTTGTCTTAGCAGTCTTTTCAATAAAACTAAAACTCAGTTGTGTTGTAATAGTGTATCAATGTTGTCTTAACATGCATGATTTTGACATGATGAGGTAGAAAAGTTACCCTACAAACTTTTTTTTTTCTCTGTGGAAGGTTTTGTCCTCCTCAATCACCGTTCATGGGACGGGTGTCAGATACCTCCAGTTTCTTAAATATGTGACGCAGTCAAACTGATGTATCATCTAGTGCAGACTGAAAGCACTGCTGCTTTGCTGTAATACTGCAACAGTATTACATTCAGAGTAAATGCTGACTGAGGGGCTCTGGACTCACTTAGCGCTTTGGACTTTATGATCAATAATAAGTAACAGGATACATGGTGGGATACATACTGTGGGAAGAATGTCTTCAAGAAGAAATTATGTTAAAGTTCGATCAGAAAAGCTGCAGTAAATCTTTTTTTAATGTGTTTGTTTGAACACCAGCAGCATTGACAGGTTGTTAATGTCAGAGAGAGGAGAGGGACAGATCCCACACATGTCCAGCAGTCTCAGAGTGATTCAGTCAGCCATGTTTTTCTCCACCTCCTCACACCCACAGCTGAATCACCTCACTCTCAAGTTTCAGACTTCTGTCAGATCTTACAGATCAAACTCTCTGGGGCTGTTCATGATGGGACGTAGGAGTCCGCCCTGAGTGATTAACCGCCAAAATCTGTTGGGGAAGGTGGCTTTAATTAACATGTTTTTTTCTGTCTTTCTCACATCAACTTTTTCCTACACATTTTGACTTTTGCTTTTACATGGAACTCAGTGTTCTGTTTTTACCCATGACCCCCATAGACTGATCAAAGCATGGACATCAGCCCTAAATCTGAGCAATAAAAGTCATAAAGCTTTGTTAAAAGGGAAACTTTTCTCACAAAGTACAACCCAATAAAAAAAGTTGGGGGGTTGTGTAAAATTTTGATCTAATTTGATGGTGTATTTAATTGATAACAAAGCAAAGATGACATAATGAATAGAAAAAAAAAAGACATCCTTGTTATGAATCGAACAAAGGCCAGGATTCAAATATGCAGAGGCAAATGCCCAAATGTATTGACAATAAACAATAGATCAAAGTAGAAAATCGCAGTTTCCGGGAAAAGGCACGGTCAGCTCGGACTGCCACTAAAAAACACAAAACCAGGGTTAGGAGATAGTCACTGCAGCAAGGCAAAATAGCTGGTGAAAAAACAAAGTTCAAATGACAGTGCCACGTGGGGCAAGTAACAACTAAGAATGTAAAAAGACAAAGTGCAACAGAAATAGTAAACTAAAAAAATCGTCTCAACTGGAGGAAAAAACTCGAACACAAAATCACCTTTGCTCAAGGGAATAAACTCTCTGGAAAGTAACAAAAGAACTCACAAACGTACACTGAGCGGCAGGCTGGATACACGGGCGGGAGAGCAGGGAGCTCGACGTGGCAAGACACGTGTTGCATGACTGGGAAATCATCCGGCACTGAATCGACAGAGGAGCTGGCATATAAAGCCAGGTAATTGACACCAACGAGAATCAGGTGCGTGCAATCAGTCCAGGCCAGCCCCGCCTCTCGTCGTGCCTCCAGCGCTGCAGAGAGAGAGAGAGAGAGAGAGGGAGAACACACACAGAGGAGAGGAACACAGGAACCCCAACTGCTGCATAAACTCAAAATCCTCACAATCCTTTCACAATCAGTCGTACATTTCACTGTAAAAAGACAAAAGAATTAGGTTTTTGTCTGAGTGCACTATTTTCACATGTATAGGAGAAGAAATATTAGATATCAGTCTGTCCACAGGGGGCACCAGAATCAACACAATCCACGTGTTCCTCACAGAAGCTTTAAATTAGTGATGGGACCTACAGCGCTTTTGACCGAGCCAGGTCATTTGGCTCCCAAACAACTCTTTATTTTACCACTTATACATTTTCTAATTCAGCCAAATTTAGTGTTGTTTGGCTTATGATATGTATGTTTGTGTACACATACCTCTTGAATAATTCAATACATTCTTTGTACTGAAGTATTCACAAGTAAAAGTTACATTTTCTAATGAATTGCTGTAGCCAATTGTTTTCATTGCATTTACAGACCCTTGTAATTCTCTGAAACCACTCAAAGAATGCACTGACTTGCTTGTAGAACCACAAAGCAGATAGAAATCCCGTCATTCTGCCTTGCAGTTTTTTTATTCGGTCTGTGAGGGGAAAAAAAGGAAAAAACAACATCTCACCGACAGGAGCCGACTCCCATTGTTCACGTTAAAGAGCCTCTTTGAACCAGTTCGTTTGTGACCGACACATCACTACTTTAAATAGGCCCCAAAGTGTTGCAGAGGTTGTTGTCTGCTATGACTCTCTGCTCAGGATGGAAACATGCTGTGCTCTGGCTGACACTGTGTCATTGAGCTCAGTGTTCAAGCATGGCCTGACACTGTGTTGGCCTTATTTAGAGATGAGCTGTAGCCGTCATGAGCTTCCTGTGATGCTGTGATGATTACAGCTCTGTCTACATCAGCCACACCAACCGGACACTGTAGTTTTCATCCATTTTTCAAACAATGATGAGTGGGTGGATCACTGTGGAATTAAAAGTGTTAATCACGATTACCTGACTGATATGCCTGCAGCACTGTAAATATGCAACACTGCTCTTTGGGCTTAGGCCAGTCACAGCTGCTTCTGTCTGTGTGTCATGACATTGGCCTACATTTATGGAGGAGTATTTTTTAGACTGCGTACCTGCAGCAGTACATCTACAGTGTACGTTTAATGCAATTGTATAAGTTTACATCATGTTTAATATCACCAGTTAGTGGTAACATAAAAAAAAACATGTAAGAATACAGAGCATGTGTGGCTGTATATTTCTAACAAACAACAACAGGCTCAGTCCAGACAAAATAACCTAAAATAACAACGCTCAAAGCTGAACACTTGATGTCTTTGAGTTTGTCTCACTGTGACAGGTGGACAGACCAGCTCACACAAAGTGTTTTCTTCTCCTGTGCAGCATCTTTTAGCCTCCACGTGATGGGGAAAGTTCAGGTTTCTGTTGCTCACAAGGAGACACAGATAAAGCATTAAACCGGGCAGGTTCCCCTCTCTCAGGACAGGACTTTAGCAGTCTGCAGACATGAAGGATGGTTCACCGTGAGCGCTTGCCCCCCCCTGCTCCACCGCAAGTGTTTGGGGCTGCAGAGCAGTGCCTGCACGCTCCACAGAGCAGCTAATGTGCAGACAGACAGGTACAGCAGCAGGGTGGAGACACGCCACAAAACATACATATTAATAATACTGTCTGCAGACATCTCTGTAGGTTTACTCAGCTCCATCTTTAAAAACAAAGTCAACAGGAGAGTCAGATTTGATCCATGTCCTCTGGTTATTGATCAGTACTTTTAGAAAGCTTTGCATGTGCTCTGCAGGAGTTAGCTGTCTGCTTCAGGGTGTGTCTGGTTTTCATGTTTGTGTCATGTGATGACATTTCTTTTTGGTGCAGTGTGCCGGGACACTCTGCATTGTGCAGGAGGGGGTGGAGGGAAGGGCAGGTTGTTGTCATGATGCTAATGTTTCCCTGTCCACTGAGAATTAAATGCACCTGGCAGGCTTTGCTACTCGAGTGAAAGCTGTTGAACACTGTCAGGGTTTATAGCTATAAAAGAAAAAAAATCTTTCATAGATGTTCATGTTTCATTAGACTCTGTAGAAAAAGCTTTTTATCTGATAGATCTAAAAGATGTAAAACTCCTTCACAGTGTTTAACCTGAAAAAAAAAAAAAATCATCAGCTCTGTTTTGGTCATCGACCTTCATCAAGCAAACAGTTTGTGAGGAAGGGCAGAGCATCTTCAAAAGGGTGAGGCTACAAGCCTGCTGCAGATTACCATCATAGTAACAGGTGTGAGTAGGGACAAGGATCAATACCTGTGTCCATTAAAGACCTGGTTCTGCATTTTTCAAGACCTGAAAATCAATAATGTTTGAGCTTATCGAGTCTGCTATCAAGTCTCAAGTGTCCCATGAAGAAACATTATACTGTGAGTTGAATCATGTAATGTTAATAAATCAATACCGCATGCACATTCAAAGACTGTCTGATAAAGTTTTTAAAAGAAGAAGAAGAAGAAAAAGGAGAAGAACTTTATTGATCCCTAAAGGGAAATTCAAAGCAGGTAACACGAAGAAGAAATCTGGTGGTCGTTGCTTGACTGGATGTATGAAGTGGTCCAAAGTGTGGCTACATTTTACCAAAGCTAAAGATAGAGATGAAGCAAATGAGATTTATGTTGCAAAGTAATATAAAGTTGGGAACACCCCCCCACAGATGAGCACATCAGCAGTGTGTGTAAAATCAAGCCAAAATGCAGAACCTTTGACTGTCTGTGACTTAAGACAACTCTGTCAACTCGATCTGCTGCTGCGGAGCTGCCATCCTCCTCCTCCCTGACACCCTGACTTAAGATATGTAAAATCAAAATCCAATGTTGAAATCATAGCTTAAATGAGGATAGCTCACGAACCAACAGATTTCTATCAAATTTCCCATCTGTATAAAGTTCTTCTTATCTTGTATTATCTTATTTTAACCAAGGTGACATGCGATTAGGTTATGAGGTGTTCAATGTCAGGCTGTCAAAACAGAAATTTAGAGAAAGTAAATAAGACCTTATAACGACATAATCAAATGTCATGTCCAGGACAAATAAACACTGAATTATTGAGTGAAAAGCCTCTTAAATATAACTATATAAAGGAAAACAATAACAGAAAAGACTCAGCAGTGATATTGATTAGAACTCGAATCACTTGGGAGTCTCAATAACGGTACCAGGATCAATAAAAATCAACAATCCCCATCCCTAGATGTGCATAAAACTACCCACTGTCTAAGAGTACACACAAGTGGTCTACCTATATCATTTTAAATGGCCAATAATACCAGAGATCAGGTCGGCAGGTGGCTGATATATGATACTGATATAGTTGAATTTTTTGGGGTTTAATGAAATTAAGTAAATCATGATAAAATATGACAATAGTTTAACAACAACAAATGACCAAGAAGTCATGATTGATTTTATTATTGAATTGAACTCACAATCCAGTATAAATAGTTTTCTTAGCCAGTAATGTTCTCGATGGGATTTAATGTTAATTTATGAAATAAAAAACAAAACAAACAAACAAAAAACAAAACAAAAACAAACAACAAAAAACATGGGGTTATGCTGTCGGTCTCAGTAAATGACTGAAATCAAGGCAATATTAAACTGTGTTATTCTTCACACCATAGTAAAACTATGTTAAACACCAGCCATTGACTGAGGGGGTGGTGAAGTGATGATTTTTTTTTTCAAATACAGAGAAATACAACTTGATCAAATAAGATAAACTACATGTTGATCATTGAGCCTGTTACCTGATTTTCACTGTGTTTTATCTGTCTGTGAAGGCAGACTAGGGTCTTTATGTAACACAGAATATTACAGAGAGGGACGGGAGACATGGCCAGAGAGGACTGAGGTCATTAGCTGGATCTGAGTCTTGATCACACAGCTGGACCTCATCCAATCACCTCGACTGGACTAATGGACTGGAGCATAAAGCAGAACAGCTGATGGATGGATGTGAAGGACTATATTTTCCCAGCAGCTCTTGCTGTAAATGTTTGAGTATGAATATGATGTGAGCAGATCATAAACAATCAGCGCCCAGCTGTTAAGAGATCCAGCTAAGGGGCCCTCAGCTTTTCTTCTTGGTCTCATACAATCTGCAGTCCCATTCATGAAATTAAATAAAGCACACACACACACACACACACACACACACACACACACACACACACACACACACACACACACACACACACACACACACACACACACACACACACACGTACAAGGAAAATGGCAGTACTTTCCTTCTGCAAAATGTAAATTAGGAAACATACAGTAATTGATATAATGTATAGTGTGTGAATGGGTACATTGAGCAGTTCACCTAGATAATGATAAATGGACGATAACTACTCCACAAGCTGCTCACCCCCGCCCACATTGACTTCTTCTACTTCAGCCGTTTTCGTTTTTATCACCCAGCCCTAGTCAGTGTTTTTACATGATCTTTGATATGAGCAGCATTTATAAAATATTCCACTCTAGAAACCAGACTTATATATTTAGGTTCAGTTCACACAAATGTATATATTTCTGGAAAAGAGGTTTTTTTTTTTAAACATGAACCGGTTTAAGGTCTCTGAAAATGAAAGTTTGCCCAATTTATCTGCCCCTGAAAACGGTTTCTGTTTGAAAGAATGAACAACATGCAATCATCGTTGACTGTTTTCTATTGAATTCATTTCTATGTAAACAGCCACACAAATAAACTAAGATTTTCAAAATAAAGTAGAAAGACCCACCAGCCTTAGAAACACTGTGTACTTGAACTAAACTCAAAATAGAAAAAATGTCAAAATTAAATAAAAATGACACAAATGAAAAATTCAGAACAGTCATAACCTCGGTCAAACCACACGCACGTCAGACCTTCTCAGAGGGTTTTGTGGACTTCAAGTCCTGATGGTGTCGCTATAATGAGGATTGAAAGATTGAATCCTTGTTTAATATATAACTCGTCAGTTGTTAGTGCTAAAACTCTCACTCAATGAGGTTCAGAATAAACACTTATCCTATTGCACATTTCAGTCTGACTGCTGTCACCTTCAGACTGTCCTCCTCAAACCATCCACACACATTTTTTATTCATGACAACGTGAGCCTGTCTTTACCGCAAATGTCTCAGCTGTCACACCGGCAAACCCTGTCCACCTCTCTCTCCTGATACAAGAACCACAGAGGGAGACGAAGCCGGGCCAAATTAATCTATATTCAGCTCTGTTTATCCCCTCTGACTCCCGCTATGAAAGCAAACTCATCAGCTGTGGATTTGACATGCTCTTTGTTGGTGAACGGCTGTCAGATGTTTGGGGGGAGAGACATTTCGGGGGGGGCTGACATTTTTAGATTGATGATCGTTTTTTTAGACCCTCTTTCCATAAGCAATCGAATAAGCATTTTTCACATTTTCCTCAAGTTCTTTTACACATGTCCCTCACAAAAGAAAAAAGCTGCACATTGAGCCGTCCCAGAGGTGTTCAGTAGTGTTGGAGCACTTTCAGGAACAGTTTGTTGATGACCTCACTCAGCACTCAGGCAAAAGTAACCCAGCATGTTTCCTGTCCTGCAGTGATACAAAGGTGGAGTTAAGGTTGGGCCATTTTTGGGTGTGCAGTGTATTTTATTCTGCTGCTGCTCTTGTAGAAAGAGCTCAATGTTTTACAATTTTAATCATAGACTTCAGAAGCCACCTTCAAAGCTGTCAGAGTTTTATAAAGGAGCTCTGCTGCCTCAAAATGATTTTTAAACACAACTTTTTACCAACTAATTTCTGCATCCGAAAAAACAAACAAACACAGAATACTCTCAATCAAAATATAAGTAAATTTTAAAAGGAAACTTAAGCTTTCTAAACTTTAATGACCACTCTCAGCCAGAGATTGTGCCACTGTTTTTAGGGCTGGGCGATATGTCCTCAAATCAATATCACGATCCACAAGCTGCTCACCCCCTCCCACATGAACTTCGTCTACTTCAGCCACCGCTCCAGCCGCTACAACTTTTGAACCATCCTCCATCTGCTCACCTGTCTTTCCCTCTTTGTTACAAACTGGATGGGGTGGAGTCACGTCTTCAACGTAGGACAGCATCTTAAAGGGACATGAGACCATAGCCTACCTACACACATCCAAAATCAATTTTTATTTATTTATTTTTTGACACCGAATTGACTGACATGAGCAAAATGACGTTGGTTATTGTCTTAAATTTCTGTACTGATAAATTTTCAGTTCATCGCCCAGCCCTACTGTTTTCGAATGTATTTGTTAAAGGCTGACCCTCTCACAGACATGGATAATGTTTCAGATATTGATGAATACAGAGGGGACAGAGAGTGTAAAAAGGATAATATATCTGAAAGGGACAGGATGAAATATGGCCTTATAGTTTCCAGATCTGAAACACTCAGTGACTTCAGTTACCAGCACTTTATCTTAAATTTGATATGAACCAGCATGTTCATATGGAGGCTTCCTAAGAGAAAACTGACAGACTCTATAAAGCTGAATCTTTATCTAAGAGCTATGTGACATGATCACACACATTCAGTCTCCATTTGTGTTACACCAAAGTGCAAAATTAGCCACTACCACATCACAATAAGACCCCATCTCTGACCGAACCAGACCTACTGCAGTAGAGACATCTGCTAAGACTAAGTAAAGTCTTACCTTTGACATAAACATGAACTATCATTTACATTTCTGCAAAGACATATTATCTTATTGGAGTAAATTTCTTTAAACTTTCCCTAAAATTAAAATAATAGTAAACACACCGGCACTAAAGGTATACACTGCTGTAATACACACCTGAAATATCAGTATACACACCTGTGCATGTAGCAAACACACTGGCATTTACAGTCTACACAGCAGAGGACACACTGACTGTATCTAGCACACACTCACATGTACAAACACACACACACTCAGAGTTTTTTTTTTGGCTCTGGTCACTGTTGAGTCCATGCAGTGGGACATCGTCAGAGCCCACACAGCTGATGAGCGTCCAAAGAGCGGATGAATAAATAAAAGAGGGAACAATGCTCTGGCTCTGGCTCTCTCTCTGTCTCTGGGTAAATCCTCTCCACACTGCAGAGCCAGTATCACTGTGTGCAGCTGTGCTTGATAATCTGACACCCCCTTTGGATCCCATGTATCCCCTTTGTGCTATGTGTGTGTGTGTGTATGTGAGAGAGAGAGAGAGAGAGAGAGAGGTTGTGATTATTGACAGAAGGTGAAAATGTCCCGTTGACATTCACAGTTACCCGTTTGTTGTGCTTCCTTTGATTTCCGTGATTTGACTGCTTCTTTCAATCAGACACTTCTGCTTTCACAGAATCACTCCTCATTTAAAGGCAGTTTTACCACCCCGTAAACCATCCAGTCCTTTTCTAAAACATGTTGTTCTGTTATTCTAACATTATTCTGTCATTATGGTTTAATAAGTACACAAAGGTTTTGGCATGTCTTCAGTTCACTGCTTCAGCCAGCAGTCATGATACAGACTTAAGTGACTCCAACATGTGAGATCAAACTTTTTAAAAGCTAAAATCCTTCAGTCTGAATGTCTCAGAGGTCAGATAGTGAGACCAGGTTGTTCCACTGCTGTGGCGCCATCAGACGTGTAACAGAGGTGTTAAAGAGGTGAGATGGGATCACTGTGAACTGGTGGAGCAGGCAGGGTATAACAGGGCTGTCAAAGTCGTCCAGTCAGATTATTATTATTAGAGTATAAGTTGGAATACTTGCTTCTAAAATTGCTGAAGTACTAAAACTACTCAATTTAGATCTTTAAACACACCTGGCTGCCATGGATGTGGTGTGTTAGGTAAGTCTGTTAGTTTTATGATTGGTTGGCTGGCGTGTTTGTTTGTTGGCTGACGTGATGGTTGGTTCATTAGTTGGTGTCTTTGTGTGTCTGTTAGTTGACGTGTGATTAGGGTTGCAAAGGGGCGGGACATTTCAGGTAAATTTCCAGAAACTTTCCATGGGAATTTAAGCTGGGGAATTTTGGAAATATTCCAAATAGGAAACTTTCCATTGGAATTATGGGAATTCATGGAAAGTAACTGGAAGTCTTGGGTAATTTAAACAAACTGTATCATATCCAAACATAAATGTAAATATTTTTCAAAATAATGATTGTGAACGTGGCATTTTTTTGTAGAATAAAATTACAAAAAAAGCTTGTAAAAACACCAACGCAATCGAATGAACAGAAACATAGTTGGCTAACCAACTGGAATAGTCTTCAAAATATTTGACAATTGATGTATAAATTATTGTATGATTACTGAAAACCATCTTGCAGGAGTCAGAAGGAACAGCACCACATTTGAGGTAGCTACCACCACCATAATAAGCTACACTCTGAAATAGTCAATGAAATTAAAAATAGTTTACATTAAGCACCTATTTTTATTTGATTTTTGCAAGTTTAATATTAATACTATTACAGATCAAATATATTTACCCCATAATATTATCAAAACTTACTTGACTTTATGTAGTCCGTTGGCTCAAATGTCTTGTGCTCTGGGCTCAAAAGTGTGGCCTTCAGGGTTCAAGAAATCATCTATGTGTGTGATGGAGGAATGCACAGTTCATGTAGGGGGTGTGGCCTCAATTGCCCTGCAGTACGAAGTGTGCTGTGTGCATGTTAATTAGGAGTGTACTTCCATTAAATCTTGTTGTTTTGAAAATTTATTATAAAATATATTGTACTACAATATTTTTTCCCCAGCTATATTTAAGTTCTCTGTTGAGAGTCAACCTTCAATTTTGTACATTTTAGATTTATTCCTGTTAATCCCTGTTTATTCCCATTAATTGCCATTAATTCCCATGGAAAGATTCCAACTTTGAAATTTCCTGGAATTTTGCAACCCTACCTGTGATGCACTAAAAAGTAACTCTGAACCCCTTGTGTCTTCACAGTTCTGCTCGGTGTGCTGCCAACATGTGCCCAGACAGAGATGAAGAGGGTTGTTGGAGACAACGCTACACTGCCCTGCCACCATCAGTTCTGGGCGGGGGATGACCCCACGCTGGACATCGAGTGGCTGTTTCTGAAGCCCACCAACAGGCAGAGAGTGGTGAGTGAGTCTCAGTTATAGAGAGTAAAGATGCAGGTCTGTGATCTTCATTAGAGATGTATGAGTGTAACAGGGAAAAGTCAAAACAATAATGTTAAGACAATATTATCAGTACAAAGAGCTAGATCTATCTGATGCTTCAGTATGGTGTATATTAGGCATGTGATGTGATCATATAACATAACATTAATTGAGAGATGCAAAACATCATCAGTTATATGATGATATATCTTTTGTCAATACCGTGTACCCCTAGTAAATAGTACTGCACAATTCAATAGTTATTGATCATATAAATAATTGGCTTGATGAATTAAGAGCATGAGGGTCTTTAATGCAGGGCTGCACGTTTTATTGTGTAGTGTGTAGTTGTTCACAGAGAGAAGAAAAAGGCTCCATCACATCTCGATCCCACCCCCTCACCCATCTCACTTCTCCACCAGGTCATCACCTACTTTGCTGGACGGGTTTTCGACCCCAACGAAGCGGAGCGAGGTCGGGTCGCCTTTGCTGGAGAGTACTTAAAGGGCGATGCGTCCCTGCTGATCAGTGACCTGACTCTGACCGACTCAGGAGAGTACAGCTGCAAAGTCAAGAACGGTGCACAGTACCACTGGAGCACCATCAGCCTCATTGTTCTGGGTAAGACAGTGAAAACACCACACAGCTGGAAACCCCTCTGTTTCACATGGACTGGGGAAAAAAAACAAAACAAAGTTCAGTCTCATGATCTGGTTCACCTCCCATCTTGTGCTGCCAAGTGCTGTGAATATAGGAGTTTAACGCCGCAGGGTTCCTGTCTGCCAAGGTAATAGATCTGAAATGTAGCAGCAGAGAGCAGATCTTAAGGTGTTTGTTCACATCTCATGTCTGTGCTTGTTAATATGAAATGCTTTTTTTTTCACAAAGATCAGAGTCCTGCACTTCAAAATTCTGTTTGAAGGCTGCTTTCCTTCATCAGCTGACCTTTTCAGATACACTCAAAGAGGCAGTCCACTGACAGAGTTTTTATGCTGGCAGCGCTTGTTTTCTCTGTGAGCCAGTGTTGTTCAGCTTCTTCAGCACAAAAATCACTCTTGGCTTCATTTATTTATTGTCACTGTTCCCACAACTCTGTCAATTAAAAAGTTACTCAAGTGTCACTTCTCTCTCGCCAACTAATCAAAATCAAAAAAGAGTAGAGCTAAAGTGTCAGCCTTTTAACGGCTGGTTTATCATCTGCAACCAGACTCCTCTTTTCTGTTTTTACGGCTCCACGAGGAGTTTTTGGTGTTTATAAAATAGACTGAAATTGAGATGGGCAAACAAGAGCATCAGTGAGAAGACGGACCATCTTTATACTGTAATTATTAATGACTGAAACTGGTGTGAGGGCAATGGTGTCAGTAGAGCTGCTAAAGAACATTTTCCACATAACATATCCACAAAAAACAATCATAATCAACTGTCAAAAGTCGAGTGTTTTTGTTCGAACTGCTTTGTCAACAGGGGGCACCAAAATTGGCACAAACCCAAAGTTTGATTGTTTGTGCAGTTTCCTTCTTATATATACATGGATACAAGTACAGCGTACAAAGTTTCAGACATATGAAGGTTCATCCTCATTATACCAACTTTACCATAGCCTTCATTTTCAAACACCACTATGTCTCTTGGGGCTACAGGGAGAAGTGGTAAAAACCTCACCTTACAAAATGGTATAGCTCTTCACTACCTTAATTAATCATTAAAAGTTATTAATGACATTACAAAAACAGATGCAATGACTTTGTACAGAAATGTAAATGCTGACAATTTCATTTACATATTGGGATCAGAGATTTTCCACAGAAATTTATCAATATGCAGAACTAAGTTCAAAGTAAAGATGTTGATGGGTTTCTTTGGTCAGTTGAGCAGCCTTTCCTGAAGTCTCTGTTTTCAGTGGCCTAAATCTGTGTCTATGTGGGAACAGGAGGCCAAAGCACAGAGCTAAACTGTGTCCAAAAATATCCACATACGTGTGTCATGTCCTTTCTTTTGTGTGTGTGTCTGTGTGTGTGTTTGCAGTGAAGCCGTCGAAGCCGCGCTGCTGGATGGAGGGCAAACTGTTGGAGGGCGGTGATGTTCGGATGAGCTGTAAGTCAGCTGACGGCTCTGACCCCATCCTCTATAAATGGGAGAGGCTGCTGGACAAGGGCAAGTATGTGGGCAAGCTGCCTCCTCTGGCTCTGATAGGTGAGTCCATTTATCCTCCTCTTTGTCTCTCAAACCAACATGTCTGAGGTCATCTTCTATCTGCCTCCTCTCTTACCTCTGACATATTGAAGTTCATGTACTTGTACCATGAGCTTCAAATGTGTTTTTAAATGATAGATTATGGTATTGAGTCTTGTCAATGGAGTACTTCTCTATAAGTGTGTCAATGTAAAACTTAAAATACACAGAGTCCACAGTGATTTCATTACATTCCTCTGATTCTAAAAAGGTTAGGATAGGTAAACATATTAATTGATTACAGGCTTCAATCATTTACAAATGCTTTGTACCCTTTATTTAAATGTAAACAGTGTGAAGACAACATAGTTAATGTTGAAACCTCAAAAAATAAGTTTTTAATGAAAAAATATATGGCAGCAAATGTTGGGACAGGGACAGAAAACTCCTGAAAATGTTCTACAGTGAAAAAAAAAAGTGTCTGGAGCATCTCCCAAAGATTAATTTGCACTAAGTTATAAAAAGGACAGTATAGAAAGAGCACCCCAGAGAGGCTGAGTCTCCTTGAAGTACAGACGGAAAAGTAACACAACTCTGTGAGAAACTAGGTGAGAGAATATTTTAACAATTTCAGAATAATGTTACTGAAAGTAAAATTGTAAATAATCTGTGGATTTAATCTTCTACAGATTAAAGATTTAAAAAATATGTTGAAACCCCTGTACAGAAAAGACAAGGCCCAGAACCAAGAATAAATGAGCGTGATTTTCAGGACCTCAGGAAGCACTGCTTTAAAAAAAAGACTTGGCTCTGTAGTGGAAATCACTGCATTGGCTCAAATTCTCCTCAAAGATCCACTGTGTGTGACCTCAGTTCATTGCAACATCAACAAATACAGATTAAAACTGTATCAGGATGCAGATTTATATAAGCTTGAATTCATGGCTGTCTTTTTGCAACAAGAACTCTTCAAGAATCAGGAACTTGAGTGAGTTTTGGTTTTGTGTAAAATCAAGCAAAGCACAGAGCTTTTGTATTTACGAATGGCTTCTTTGTAAATTTCTGTTCAGCCACAGCTCTAAAGACTGACTCAAAGCTAATAAAGTCTGTTTGAAAACCTTGATGAACGACAGAATCTCAGTCTTACATAGTATTTTGTCTCTGCTGAAACTTTCAGATCTTAAAAACCCAGAGATTGTGACGCTGAGGAACCTGACCAAGGAAAGCACAGGAGTCTACAAGTGCACAGCCAGCAATGATGTGGGCGAGGAGAGCTGCACAGTGGAGGTCAAGATGCACTGTGAGTGGAAAACTTTGACTAACTAATGGAAACCTGTTCACTTCAGCTTTCTCTCAGTATGAAACCTTAAGAATGATTGCTCTCTCTCTCTCTCTCTCTCTCTCTCTCTCTCTCTCTCTCTCTCTCTCTCTCTCACACACACACACACACACACACACACACACACACACACACACACACACACACACACACACTGCCTGAGTGGTAATCGCTGTGGCTATTGTGTGACTGTAAACTCTGTATGATATTAACATGGCTGAGAGTCCAGACAGACAAAACACAGTATGAAGTCTCCTTATTTAAACATGAACCTCTCTAAGGCAGTGGTGAAGTCATGCCCTTGATGTATGAAGACTTCATTTCTCAAGCAGGCGGCTTGGGTTCAATTCTAGCCTGCAGCGTCTGCAACTAATAGCCCTTTTTACATTGGTCCTTCGTGGCAGGACTTTTACGTCACACCTTCAGTACAGAAAGGTGTGTTATGGTGGGTTGAAGTCATCCTGCTGCTGTGCCTGAGGTGTCAAAGACATACCAGGATGAGTTAGGATCACTTTCAAGCGTTGGAGCCAGCAGGGCTGACCAGGGATATGGTGACTAACTTACCACAGCTGCAGTCATCAACTAGGGTAGAAAAAATTTGCTTGAGTCTGCCATTATTTGTATTGTATCGCAGGAAATGCAGAGCAGTTTTCTTTGAGTCTGCAGAGCCAGATAAAACACCGTACGCTGCACTCATGATGATGCCGCCGTCGTCTCTACCATCCCCTTATATTTGGTTCTGCAAGAGTATAATGCAGTGTAAAATTATACCCCAGGAAATCAACTACATTATTGCTCTGTAGTGGAATCACAGCAAAGAGGCAGTGAGACTATTGGAAATAAGCAAACTGTAAAAAGTGTCCAGTAACCTCTTAATTTACCTCTGTTAAAAAGTGGCGCTCCTTTCTTAATGAGTGCAGCGACTGTGGAGGTAGTAACACCTCTGGCTCTCACATACTGCCGTTTCAGGGCGGGATATTTACACCCTGTTGTGTCTCGTCTGCAGTGTGTAACACTCAGAGGCGTAATGGTGGGGTAAGTTCACTCCACCTCTGATCCTCTCTCAGAGGTAACAGTGGGGGTGTAATGGGGGAAAGCTGCTGGTAATGTTCGAGTCAGCACTGGCAGGACAGGACAGCATGATGTGTATGTTGCTCTCCTGCTGTGTGTTATAAAGTAGTCCCTCCTGTCTGTGCATCCACATTGTTATATCATGTGTAATCACAGCTTGGGGCGCCAAACTGATGTTGTTCCCGGTACAATTGGTGATTTAGTTTTTGATTTGATTCTGCAACTTTTTTTTTTTTTTACTTTGGTTGGACTTGCTGCATTTCACAAAGTTACTATTCATTCAAAATAATTTCTTCTTTATATTCAAAATGAATGTTTCTTTAGAGTTTCATGGGGATGTTTTGATCATGCAAATTTCTTGTAAGTTTTTCTTATCAATTTAAAAAGAAGAAGGCTTAGAAAGTAAACTCTAATGGTATTTTTTTCCTTTGTCCAGCACTGAGGATGTCAATATGAGCAGTGATTCAAGACAATAACTGAAAGAACTTTGTTTTTGTTTTGTGTTTGCAGGAAAACTTTTTAGTTGTTTTATTAATGAAGCTGTAGCCACCTCCAATTTTGGGTAGTTGTTGTGCAGGGTGATGTAAGAGTGGAGAAACCAAAGTAGTTGTTTGGAATCATACTGTGTGATTTGTTTTGGCTCTCTTGAGACAGCCCAGTCTGACTTTGTTCAGGTTATGAAGTATTGATCGATGCTTTTCTGCAACTCTAAAGTCAGACACAACAAGTAGACATTAAGTTGGATTAAATTCCACCATAATCAATTATCAAGTATTTTCTATGTGAGCAGACCATCACAGACCTGTAAAGTTGGATTCACAGAGTCAGAAATGCTAGTTTTGTTTTATTTTTAACAAAAGTGAACATAGGTAATGATTGTAGTTAATGCAGGTTTTTGTGTGTATGCTGTCTTGGAACGTGTGTGTAGATGTGAGGGGGATGGGTGTGGTTGCAGGAGCAGTGGTGGGTGTGTCCTTCGGCGTCCTCCTCATCATCCTCATCATCTGGCTGGTGTTTCGCAAAAAGGAAATGAAGAAATATGAAGAGGAAGAAACTCCGAATGAGATCAGGTAACATGATGAAGTGAAGCGTCCCACTTCAGTACTAATGAAACTTGTGATCAGGACACCGGCCTCGGCCCTACAGGGAGATATAAGCAAAATTGTCCATGCCCCAGTGTTTTCTTCAATATGTTTCTAAATTAGCAGATATTTTTCAAAAATCATAAAAATATTTCATTTTTTAACCCTTAATGTCACTACAGTGAAGTAATTAATTTCAAAAAGTTTTAACAATTTAGAAACCATCAAGTTATGTTTCCTCAACACAAAATCTTAACACATTTGACTTTTGAAATGTATGTGTAGTGCAGTAACTCAGAACATTATTAGAGCCCTGGAAGAACACCTCACATAAAAAAAAAATAAAATAGAGCCATAATTTATGTAGTTATATAGTTTTATTGGTCCACTAACATTAGGTTTCACTGGATCTATTCTAGCACAATCTCTTTCCTTCTCTTGTTCACATATTTGTGGGTGTTTGCACAGCTTGGGGTGTCTTAATTGAAATTGAGGAGCCAGTTTGTTAAATGTACCAGGATTGAGTGATTGTGCCCCCAAAAGTTCCTGGATCCTTTAATAGTGCTACCCCACAAGCAGGGACTTTTTAAGGTGCATGTCACTTATGCAGACCAAAATTTAGACCGTGGTTCCCGCTACTGAAGCGCGCAGAGCACGACAAAGGTTCTTTGTTCCTGGGTAAATACCCTTCTCCAGCAAGCACCCAAAGTGGGTCTGGATTTATCTGCAGTGTCTTTGATTCTGTTGGAAACACAGATTTAATATGACATTAAGATAAGTTTTTAAAATGAACTGTGTGTCCTTTTCAGGGAGGATGCTGAGGCTCCCAAAGCCAAACTGATGAAGCCCAACTCCCTCTCCTCGTCCCGCTCTGGCAGCTCTCGCTCAGGCACCTCCTCCACCCAGTCCATGGTGCACAACATGGCGCCCCGGGGCCAGCGACCCTGTATCCCTGCAGTGGCAGCTCTCAAAGAAAACTGCCCAACCTCCACCTTCCCTCAGTCTCCACCTGGCTACAATCAGGTTGTTCCCAAGACTCCTGAACCCCGCTGCACCCCCACCTCCACCTCTACCTCCAACTCCAAGTCCAGCACGCCCCCTAAACTGAGTCCTGGGAACCTGGCCCGCATGGGGGCCACTCCTGTCATGATCCCAGCCCAAACCAAGGCCTTCCAGACTGTGTAGGAACAAGTACACAGGAGGAGGCCGCCTCAGGAAAGTGCAACCAGATAAAGATCCAGTTCTATTATGGAAATCTATTCTCACCAATCACAGGCCGCTGGAGACTAACAGCAGTTCAACTCTCACAGAGTCCCTGCTTTATACTAACACTGTAGGAACAAGCTTTACCTGCTGGTGTTCATGGACACGCTGTCACCTGAGCAACACCTGGACCGAGGTCGTGTTCTGTGGACTGAGATTCAGCAGAGAGGACTGCATGGAGCAGGAGGGGATGGAGGAGGTGAAGTGGACAGAGAGAGAGAGAGAGAGATGAGAGGGGATGAATAGAGCACGTCCACGACCATATGTTTTTAACAACCTGAAACACCTTCTTACACACAACACAAGGTTAGAACACCCTGCACCTGTGTGTGACTGAACTGGAGACTGTAGTTATACTGTATGTTGTTAGAGTACTAGACAGGATGAATGGCTCTGATTGTATAAACAGACTTCTCACACCCATACTGTCACTCTGTAACATATGTCTCTGATTCCTCTGTGCCCACAGAAGCTCTTATATATACGAGCACAGCTTTGTTATGTTCTTCAGCCATCTTCAGGAGTGTTATACTGAACTCAAACAGGACAGGTTCAATGTGTCAATGCCTGATGGTTTAGGGCCTGTGTCCACTAGCAGCATTTCTAGCGCTGGAAGCACCTGCAGCCTCAGTGTCAGAGTGATTTTCACCAGGGTTTATTGTTGCTGAGTCACAAAAGTTTTCTTGTGATGTTTTGAAATGTTCCTTTTGATGAATATTGGTTATCCCTGATTATCTGGCCAGTTTTTGATACAGTTGATTGGTTGACTCCAGTGCCCTACCTCGGAAAAGGACATAAAGAGGTTCAGCCAAGGAGGGAGGTGCCAATCCACCAACAGCATTTAAGGTCGATGAAGCCAGTGGAGAGAGAGCAGCACAGGCGTGATTCGGCCTCTCTTTTCCTTGGCAGTGAGGAGATGAGTGGCAGCATTTCGATCAAGCTACAGGTGCTGAATAGATGATTCTTTAAGCCCACATACAAAGAGTTACAATATTCAGGAAAAGATGCAGTAAAAGCACATTTAACTCACTCTAAATCATCAGGTGGGAAACTGGCTTTTACTTCAGCTTTAAATCTCAACTGAGAGTAGCTGGACTCTACCACAGAGGATATTTGCTGGTTCATTGTTCCAATTCCCGGGTCGGGCAGGGTTTGTATGTTCCTCCCATGCATGCGTGGGTTCTCTCCAGGCAATCCGGCTTCCTCCCACAGACCAAAACATGCTCATTAGGTTATTTGGCGACTCTAAATTGTCCTTAGACTGTATAAGTGTGAACGTGACTGGTTTTCTGTCTCTCTATGTGGCCCTACAGTGGACTGGCTACTGATTCAGGGTGTACCCCGCCTCTCTCCCAATTACAGCTGGAATAAGCTCCAGCCCACCCGCGACCCCATAAGTGGTATAGAAAATGGATGGTTGGATATTTTGTCAAGTTTACAAACGTGGTTTAAGTATACATCGCAGTCAAGAGTGTTCGGGGTGTCTAAACACACTGACCTCTGTTTTCTTCTCATTTAGGCTGAAAAAGTTAAAGGCTTGACCATAACTCAGTGTGTGTTGGACACTTCAGTAATGGCTGCACTAAGATCCTTCTCAAATTTAAAGTAAAGTGTTTTTGCAAATGTCAAAATAGTGAAATAAGACATTATGCTTTTGGACAAGAAACAGAACTCAGAAAATATGATGGGGCCCAAAACAGACCCTTGGGGGACACCTTAAGTCAGAGGGTCTGTCTTAATAAGTGGATTTGAAACCATCTGAGAGCTGCATCCTTACTTCCAGCAACACTTTCTGAGAGAATTTGTGATCAAGAGCATTTTTTATCCTCTCAACTGTTGTTGACAGGTTTAATATCAGAAGTCCTGCCCTGTTGAGTTTGTTTGATTGATGAGGGGAAGCAACAATGGCAGAAGCAAAAGTTTTCTGTGACTTGGACTCTATTCAACTGAGGATGCTGTGAGTGCAGCAACTAATAAATCTGACACTGAGGGTGTTTTTGCACGGAGCGCTGAAAATGCTGACCTGCACTGGTTTGATGTAAATAATAGAAAATTAACATAACCAGCTCAGAAAACATTCTTGGTCAACATGGAGGTGAATTCAGAGCGTGACAGATACTGTCGTAGTGGAGTTTTCATTTTCCAGTAAAGGAGTGCTCATATTTTGTAGATTGTTACAGGGTTTAGCAGAGGCCCGACAGAGAAAGTGCCACATTATGATGGTTTACATGTGTTCAATTCCTTTAACTGTGCTTTTCTTTCATTCGCCTTTTAAATCAGTAATGAAAAACTGTATGAATGTGATGCTAAACTATGTTTTTTTTCTCAGCTATACATTTAAATGTTTGTTTTGATTAAAATGTATTTTATTTACTCTAAAAATAATTCTCAACACTGTAGAGCAGATTTAATGACCCCTCTGTATGCTTTAAAATCACAGCATGCTCAGTGTGATGATCAGACATACATTTCCACAGACGTTACTAAACCTGCATCGGTTCCTGTCGTTGTTACACTGACAGTATGTTCCAGTAGGTCTGGGGGAGAGGCCGATCTGCACCTGCACTGCTACACTTCTAAGTTAACAATCAATAATATGCAACATTAAATGACACTTTCAGTATTAATTAGCTGAGTTTGCAGGAATTAAGAAGAGATGTCAAGATAGAAACTTAATATTAAACTGTGAAAACAGAACATAAAACAATAACACCCATTTACAATTTCAGAATAAAACAATCTGGTAAACGATAAGAAATTAGAATTGTTACTATTATAAGAAATAGTTAAGATAAATTTATGCGTAAAAAAAACAAAAAAACATTTTCATTTCAAACATTTTCTGGGGCCTATAATGACTATTACATGTTCCATGAAAATTGAGCTCAGACTTTCCCAGGGTTCATACAACATCACCGGACTTCATCAGAAAATCAGTGAGTGAGAGGACAGCATGCAGGAAATGATGTGGACACATAATCTGTTTGGGGGTTCCATATGTGCCAAAATGATGCAGCATGTGCACCGTTCAGTTGGACCGGACCGGTTTTGTCCTCCTCTTTCACTCCATGTCAATGTTATTCAGTTTATATGTCATCAGCACAAGTTTCTGTGGAGTATCCACCGAGTGTGTCATACATGTTGTCAGCTCTGTCTTTGTGAAAGTCAGGTTTGGATTGACTAAAAAAGTTGAAGCATTAAAAACAACCCCAGTCTAACAGATACATTGAATCCTGGGCATGCAGTTAAAGGACCAATCAGCAACCATCTATAAAGCTCATAGAAACAACAAAGTGACATAAGGACAAGGTTGGAAGTGGACTCATGTCACCTCATGAATAGTGTCCCAAATTACCAGCTCGCACATTTTTCTGCACTTAGGCAATTCCCAGTCCCTGTGAGCCAACATGCAAAAGTATTGGATACAAACCAGCCAAAGCAAAGAGCCTTGTTCTCACTACAAATAGCTGGACTTTGCAGGCAGCAGAGAGTTACCTCACTGTGACAGATTAGTATATGTTGAACTGAGAAATGAAAAAACCCTGTACTCCTAATCTGTCCCCTTTGATAAACTCATATGAGAGCTCATTTAGCAGGAGATTGGACGAAATGTGTCACTTCTAATAACCTTTCTATTAAAAACAAATAAAATACTTTTATTTAGTCCATGTCAAATAGGAATGAGTAGGAAAATATTTTTTTTTCTTAAAGTAAAGTGAAAGAAAGAGATTTGAAATTAACAAAAGAGCTCATTTGATAAAGACCAAACCAAAAACTTTGACTGATAAACCAAATGTTTTCGCCCATGACCGTACAGATTCAATGATATTTCTTACATTCAGATGCATTTCAAACTCTTTGGATACTTTTATCAGGTGCAGCATGAGGTACATTTGTAATTTTATCCAGATGAACATGTTTGCGCATGGCAAGCACACATATTTGAAAATAGAAAAAAAGGAGAAATTAATTTGGATAACAGAAGACCTCTATATGCTTCACGCTGCAATTCAGTGTCATTTCTCCTCTTTTCTGCTAACATAAGCTGGCATCAACATCAGGACTTTGCTAACCAAACAATAAGACTGCTGTGACGTGGTAGGGGGATGAAAGCAAGGCTGTAAGCAACAGGGTAACTAATTACTGTCATTTGATGTTAATTACTGACATATTAATGTTAAATGACACATTACACATCAAAGTATCTAGGCTTGTGAGATGCAGTGTATAACAGCAGCCAAGCTAGCATCTGCGTAAATGCAAGGTAGCAGGAAGAATGTGATATGTAATTTCAATGATGAGGGTATTCAGCCAGTGAAATAGCAGACTGGATTGTAAAGAGTTATATGATAATATGGATATTGATTGATTTGAAAACTTTATTGATGAAAATGTTAAATTGGTTTTGACTGTAATCATTTTGAAAAAAGCACAGAGAGAGCAGATGTGTTGTATTTGTGACACATTAAAATTGAGTGAGTCCAAATAAATGATTTTAAATACGGGTGGGGCTTGTCCCAGTATAAACAATGGTTCAAACGTAATGTTGCATCCTTATGTCAGACTTGTACACGTTTCATGTTTCAGTTCAATGTAATAGAAGAGAACAGCAGACAGAACCTTTTGACTGGACAGCTGTGCAGGAATGATAGTCAGGATTTGTTTGATCTTCTCTCTCAGCTCCTTTTATTTTTGACAAAACTCCAACAGCAGTATATGAGGAAAACTCCTAAATTCTTAAAACCACCCCTGGATTTCCCCTCATGCCTCTAAAGTGATCATAGAGAGCCACTCCGACATGCCCACTGAGCTGCGATGCAGAAACACTCACAGGGATTGATCAGGAATGCCTCCTTGTTTCAATGTGTCAGTATCAAACACACAGGAAGGCCCTGTAGCTGAGTCTTCATTTCACTGTTTACCTGTCCTTCCATTCATCACATCCACTCCAACTACAAACGCCATCATCCTGGCCATGGTGCCCCTGGAGCTCAGACCTGCTCACAGTCAAACCTGCAGAGATGTATGGGGTGAAATCCCCCCGTAAAGCTGAGGAATGATGATAATATGCATGTTACAGATACTAAACTATAGGAAGAGTTTTGTTCTTTATTGCCTCAAAGCTTATATTACACAGAAATTATACTTCTATAGATTAAATATAAAGGTCATATATAAATCAAACTGTAAAGTCATAAATCTTTGATATTTTTTGTTTCATTTATTTTTTTCTGTTAATGATATGCATTAAATACAAAGTACTTTGTACTCTCTGTCTCTTCTTTATGTAAATATAAAAAAGTCTTCACTTCAAAGTATGGCAACAACATGGTGCCAAGAGAGGCTGTTTGCTTTCTCTCTCATGATCTCAGTGTAATGCTTTTATTTTGAAGGAAGGTGTGAATATTGCCCTTTGCTTGAGTGATTCATGTATATTTGTACAGAAAATGAGAAACATGTTTTTTTCTTTGCTCTTTTTTTAAAATATAACTTTGGATGGAGAAACACACACAAAGCCTCTGTGGTCATTTCTATTACAAATACAGTATATCAGTGCTTGACAGTTGGTGTATGAACAGTAATTAAGTGGGTTTTTCAGGTACTTGCACTTTTTTAATATTTGAATGAGTATTTTCCTTTCATCAGTTACTGGAATAAAAAGAAGATATAAGAATCCCCAAAACAACCAGCTTTTTGGCCAATATTTCTACCTGAAGGGTAAGTTGACCTTAAATATGACAGAGGCCAGGTAAATATATTTGTAACAAACTCACAAGGAAAAAAATAAAAATAAAAAAAAAACCCTCAAATGTAGAAATTTAGTTGCAGATTCATTCATCTCAGATCAATAACTCACACAAAACACACACTTTTTTTTCGACCAAAATAAGGTGTATGTTGCGAGCCACAGCCTGATTTTCATGGTACAAGCCATCCTGGACTGTCCCAGCTGCCTGTTAAAAAAATGAGAAAAAATGGAAGGGAATGTATTGAACAATTCAACTCTGGATAGATGTTGTGTCAACAAAATCCTCTCATATAACATTGGCCTCTTATTGGGTATATTTCAACTTTCAGTTTTGACACTGGAAAATACTTAAAAAGCAAATGCTCAGAACCTCGTACTTTAGCATGAACAACTGGTCCAAACTGGGTCAAAAACCACCTGAACTTCCCACAAGAAAATTTTGGTTTGGAGCCCTCTTTGGACAAGACCCCTTTGCTTATTTTGGTTTCTACATGCTCACTTTGACAAAAAATATTTGACTAAAATTTTCCCTGTTACTTCTTTGTGAGCTACAAAGACCATTTAAATCATCAGCAAAAATAAAACTGCTCCCAACATGGGAGACAAGACTGGTTTGCCTCGCATCATGTTGTAGTCTCACCCTGTCAGGACTCTATTTTGCATAGCCACCAGCTTACTATAGCTTACACCATCATGCACTTGGTTGGCACTAAGAATTAATCTAAAGATAATAGTATTGATTTAAAAATTATCTATATATTGCTACATAATTAGTTTTGAGGGATGGTAGCATTCCCATGGTGACAGTATTCTTAACAGCAAACTTATAGGTTAAACTTTACATTTAGTCTTCATGGTTAAGATTCAATATTATTCGGCGCTGCCATTTAAAATCACATTGAACTTCAAATTTTCATCCACAGTTGAGTCTAAACTTTAGCACCCACAAAGTTTTCTACAAGATTCCATTGGAAATGAATGTGGTTCATGTTAATAGACAAACGCAGTGATGGTGTAGCTGGGCTGTAGAAAATTAACATCCATGTTAAAGGGAGGCCTGCACACTTCCTCCAACTTAAAGAAAATATGTTCAACCAGCTGAGAGTATATCCTATTAAATACAGGAATGTTTGAATAAAACACATACCAAACTACAACTTAGCATTTCGCAGCATAGTATTTAAGCCATCTACTTGTTCTTGTAATTCATGCACAAATGTTATTGTTAAGACAATGTTGCCCTCCAGTGGTGACAAGCTGCTATTGCAAGAAGCAGGAAAGTTTTATCGGAACTGAAATAAAGTTTTAAAAAAATCCAGAGCAAGTTTATTGACAGATACAGACACAGACAGTTATGGTTAAAAAAAAATAATAATAACAAATTCAAAAATATGTTTAAAGCAGACTGCAACACGACACAGTGACTGTTTATACAAATGAACCAGATAAGATCTGATACATCAGCTCAAGGTTTACATTTCTGAATATATCTCAGTTTGATATAAAAACAGCTTAAAGGCCCATTAGTTCAAGCTCAGCTCTGCAGAGGGTTAAAGTGCTCATCATGTTCAGACTTTTTTTTTTTTGTTATCTTTAAGTCAGTGAAATCTGATGCAGTGGTGATGTTGCAGTGCTGAGCTGAGAGGCTGTTTGCAGCTTGATGATCATACAACCCTGAATTAAAATAATCAGGCTCCATGTGATGTTGATCTGAAAAGATTTAGATGGTTGAAACTGTTTGAACCCTTTGCTAAATCAAAACACATGTAAAAAAAAAAAAAAAAAAAGAAAAAGAAAAAAAAAACATTTTCCTTTGAACTGTCTGTAATCTTTCACATTTCATTTTACTTGGTATGAAAAGATGATTACTTTGGAAAATTCGTTTTTTAAATGAAATGTAAGTTAATCACTGAGCTTGTAAATTTCCCCTCTTTACTCATTTCTCCATCCAAACATTCTCGGTCTACCCGGGCCAATTCAGACGGACAACATAAATTTTAATTAAATTCATCTTAACAAGGAGTAAGCCTGGCCTCTCTTGAAATGTGATTGGCTAGCCTCAAACAAATGCAAAATGCTGCACAGTGCTCTACTCATGGTTAAATAAACTGGAATCAGATTGAATCATTTCTTCTCGGCTAATATTTGCTTTAAGCAGATAAAATTAACTCAGGTTGATCTGAAGTTGTCATAAACTTTCCTTGCCTCTCAACCCGGCACAGTTCCTCGTTTTCATTTAGTGCACCACTGTTTTTCTTCAGCCTCAAACTGAGGTTTGCCAGCTGATGTATACAAGGCTTAATTCTCTCATTTTCTTCTGCTTCTGTAATGACATGTTAAGACCCAGAGCTGTAGATATAACATCACTGAGACAATTAAAAGATGGAGCAGAGAAAGGGATTAAGTATTTACAAAGACATGGGAGCTTATTCACACACACACGCACACACACACACACACACACACACACACACACACACACACACACACACACACACACACACACACACACACACACACACACCAGCAGCCTAACTTACAGATAAAGCAGCTCTGAGTAGACAGCCTATGACAAATGTAGTTAGTGTGTGTAAGCGTGCAGTGTGTCCCTGCGGGCCCCCTGATGACGCCACAACAATTTTTCTGCAAGTGTGCAGGATTTGAGCAGGTGCCGACCTGAGGGAGGAGAGGAAGGAAGAAGAAATGGGTCACTCGGGGGATGCAAAGTGTACGGATGAAGGAGGGGGACCAGGGAGGAGGTGATAGGTGCTGGAGTAGCTTGAGGGAGGGATAATAAAGGAAGAGAGCAGAGAGGAAAAAGAAAAAGAAGATGGAGACTCTTCTGCTGAGAGTTTCAGAACCAGGAGAAGAGGATGCTTGCATTTGGTCCAGTGTTAGTCTCTTCTCCATCGAAAGGTCTGTGGGACACTGACCTCCAGCTTACAAGAGGTACATGATGGTGGTCCAGAGTGGGGTGGGTGTGAAGCAGGGCTGTGGGCTGCGGGTGTCCTCTCTCAGAAGGAAGCTGGCCTTTCACCGGGTCAGGTGAGTATTTGCACTTTACCTCTGCTCACATCCACTGATAGAAAGATTAACTTTTGATTATTGATATTTAGAAGAGTTTGAATGATCTGTGTTTGTAGTGTTTCCTCAGAGTTGTTCAGTAGTAGTTTGTAATCCTTATATTTAGACACACCAGACAAAGGCAGAGAAAGCATGAAGAGCACCGACTGCAGCTCAGAGTAAGAAATGTAATGATGCACATTGTGTTGGACTGAATGTATACTGTTTATTTTCCTCTTTGTGTTAGTTTAGTAAATGTTCATTGTACCTGAAACATAATACTCTCAATCAATTTAATTTGGTTTTAGTCTTGATTTCTTTCAAAATGCTTAGACTAGATGTTTACTGAGTGTAACTTTGTTCAGGCTATTTCCATTAATCTTAGGTAAGAATAAAAGATAAGCTTTATATTCCATGATTTCTCTGTAATGTAAAAACCCTCCTCTCACCTCCCGCGGAGCTGAAAGCAGCACAGCTGAGGTGAGAAATAGTCATCAGTATGTTCCTGCTGATGAAGCACTGAGTTGAAATTAGGCTGTTTTTGCTCCTCTGAGACACTAAGGTGAAAATGTTTTAGCTTTACCAACAATACTGTGTTTTTGTTGAGTTGGGATATTTTCTTCAGTTCAGGTGCACATTCACTTTCAGCTGCTAGAGCATCTGCACTGAACTACCTGAAACCTGACTCTGGCAAAGGCCAGGAGCCCTTTTAATACCAGTTAAAGGAGCAATATTGACACCCATTAAACATTTTAGAGGCCTGATGTTTGGGCCAAGTCATCCCACCTCTGTCAGTGACATGAGATGCAAACAAAAGTATTGCCTTGCTTTATTCACATGAATTTGAAGGACTGAATGTGCAAATGGCTTTTGGATATTTTGGATATGATCAAAATGCATAAATATGAATTTCAGTCTATTTTAGAAAGTAAAAAAATAAAACGTCTTAAAAAGAACTTGAAAAATATTGCATCCTATCCCTCAGGTAACTACAAGCTGTCACCATTAGTTTGTCCTTCATTATACAGATGAATGAACCCACGTTGAACAGGGAATCTCCATGCTGATTGGCTATCTTAGTGTGAATGATTTGCTTAAATTCAGATTATTCATATCTTGCAAATATGCAAGTAAAGCACACAGAGAGTGTAACACAAAAAAGGTGTCATGAATTCTCATCATTTATAATTTGCTCGATTGGCACAATTTGCACCACCTCATTTATGACTTTCCTGTTTCCTGATAAGAACTCATATCTAATTGTGTCTTTACATTGACCTTATATCAAACTCATTCAAATCAAATCATTGTATTCCTGCCTGGTGTGAACACAACATTAGAGGTGATGGGGGCATCATGGTGGTGAGTCAGGTCACTATGAGCAGGAGGGGTGGAACAGAGCTGTGTGTGTGTACATGTGGAGTATGTGTGTGTATGTGAAGCTTCAGGTGTATATTTACCTCTGATGCAATGTGAGATCACAAGCTGTGACACCAATGTTACACCTTTGTCAGATCAATTCAGAAGTACAAAGGCAGGAGGACAGCCTAGCCTCAAAACCACACAGATTGACAATATAAAAAAAGGCTGAGGAGTCATCTGAGGCAAACACCCAGCAAAAGTGTCATGTTTGTTTTTTACCCTACATACATAAAGTTTTAATGTCCAACACCCATGCTGTGTAAAAAAAACAAAACAAAAAAACAAAAAAAAAAAATAGTGTACGCTGGTCTCAGAATTGTATGTGTTTTGGCTCAAATGTGGTGTGTTGCCATCTTGAGAAAGTACAATGCATTGGTGCCTGTGATCAAAAACCACTGAGGTCTAAAGTAAATAGCAGAACTTCCCTGATATTCAGAGGGTGCAACAGAGAGGCAGTGAGATAGCATAAAAGTTCATAACTTGTATTTCAGATGTCTTTTGTTAAAAAAGAGGGACTCACAGCAGTGCTCCCCCTTATTACCAAATATCAGTGTTTGTGCTGTTACAGAAAAAAAGTGTGCTTAGGGATGTAAGTATAACAACCTTCTCTCTTTGTATCATTACTGTGCACTGAATGGGGCTAAAGACAGGGATGACCACACGATACGATACAATACGGTACGATACAATACACTTTTATTGTCCCCTTAGGGAAATTTGTCTTGAACTCCAATAGCTGCACAGATAAAGCTGCCAACTGATAAAACAAAGTACTAGATTTAACAAAGACACAGTCACACAACCCATGCACACTGCACATACCCATATTGCACATACCCATATTGCACAAGAATCCCACGGAAATGGTCAAAAAAAACACACTAACAATAGACAACAATGACAAGAACAAGACACAGCAAGGTGAGACAAGGTGAATAAGATCAAAAAGAAAATGATACGATAACAAGATAACACCATTATTGTACAATCCGGCTTTATTTTAGGAAACATTATCTAAAAACCTAATTGAGATGGGCACTACTGTCTCTTGTTGCACCTCTTCTGCTCGGCTCTAAATTTGCTACATGCTTGCTCTTGAATACATGCAGAAACAGAAATGTATTACATAAACAGTGATGCATATGTCTGATGGTGCACCTGGCTTTGAAAGAAAATGAGAGGAGACACGCTGATGGGTTCGATTCCAAAATACAATACAATGAACACTCAAAGGACTGAATCCAACCTTTGTGCACTCTGCACCTCTCACTGCGGCTCAGTTAGCAAAATGTGGTCAATTATTCTTGCCCATGTGCTACAGACTGATCATTATAGGGCCCTTAATACTGCACAGATGAGGCAGTGATATGTCTCATTATAATGATAAAAGCTGCTTTTAATACTCTATACACAGCCTCACATTTACTGTCAGTATAATGATGATGGAGTTGTAAATGGCCTGATGTTCAGAGTAAATATACAACATACTTCAAAACAGGCAATTTTTTCATGAAAGCACTGAAGCAGGTCAATAGATGTTTAATGACACTGACTAAATAGTGTAGCGTTACAATAAAAGAGGGAAGCAGAGGATCAGATATCTTCTCCAGGGCAGAAAAGAAGCTATAGAAAATAGATATAGTGGAAATAATGCAGGGGGATTAGGGGCTAAGACACTGTGGGTTGGCTGAGAGGTAATGCACGTCAGCAACCGTTTCATTCATGATGCTCGTGATGTAGTGAAAAGAGGGAGTCACCTCATGCATAAGATGGCATAACCCTGATTCAACACACTGTGCTGTAGATGTATGAGTGTGTTGGGGGGGGGCTTTGCAGCAGCAGCGGCAGTGAATCATCCTGCAGAAAAATTAAGGGGGGAACCAGAGAGAGGCTTGCAGCACTGGCCTCTGCTGCTGTCTGTTTGAGACCAACCCCTCCCCTCATGGACTCTTTCAATTCCTCCCCCTCCTCCTTCTCCTCTCTGCCTCCTCATCTCCTCCTCTTCCTCTGCTGCTGCTGTCTGAATGAGAGGATGAATGAAGCAGGTAGAGTCTGATGCTATGGACCCAGCGCTTCCATGGCGGCCAGGTTGGTGTGTGTCTCTGTGCTGTGGTTGTGTGTTTGTGTGTCACTGGTAGAGGATGTGTCTCCTGCTCTGTTTCAGGTCCTTTTGTGTGCGCTGCACCAGATGCTGAATGCTGGGTCAGAGAGAGAGAGAGAGAGAGAGAGAGAGAGAGAGAGAGAGAGATAAAGAGCAGCCTGCATGCAGCAGAATCAGTGAGAGAGAGAGCTGACTCTGATACTATGTTCTTCACACTCGTCTGTTGGATGAGTTGTGAAAATCTTATCTCCTCATCTGTCTCACAGATACAAGCTGACAATGGGGATGGAGAGTCTAATCGAAGCCTTTTAAGAATTAGAATGTGAAGTTAAGACTTATTTAACTGAGCTGTCACAGTTAGTGGACTGTATAATACTTCATGTGATTTCTGCCTGGTGTGTTCAGTGACATACCTGCAGATGTGATGATGTGGATGGTGCAGAGAGGCTGACCTCTGCAGCAGCGCAGGCAGCGGGGCATGCAGCTCCGCTCTGTAATGTAGCGGTGAGACTGGTAAAGATTTTGGTCCAGAGTTGAGACGTAACAGATTGATCTGATGATGGGGTTCTTGTGAATTGTAAATAAACACAGAGTCAATTTAAGCCAATTTTCGCTCTGGATTACAAGGATTGTTTCCATCGGCACCCATCATAGAACAAAATACTGATCTTTCTTTAACATCTCTGAATTATATGTGTATACCCATTAAGACAGTGAACCTCAGAGTCTTTATGGCTGCACTCATCACTAGTTTCACTCCGTATGTTTACATGTGGTTATAGCCCAATTAGGGGATCGAGTCCTTGTCCTAGTTTACAAGCACGCGACAAGAATTAAATCATTTACTGCAGCATGTCTGTCTCTGCTATTGTGGGTGGTGACATGATGACTCCTTATAGCTTGTTACCAGCAAGTACCATCAAGGCATGTCTATCTGCAGAATGTTTATGTGAGCTCCCATACAGTGCACCAAAATATTAAGTTTTGAGCTAAGGAAAATAAAAGTACTCACACAATGCAAGTGATCTGGTTCACACAAGTTCTTGTATTGTGGGAACTTGTTCGATCTCTCCACCTTGTTCCTTCACTATCCACTGTCCTCAAATCCATCGGTAAAGACTAAAAAGAGCCCCCCAAAATACATTTAAAATGATTAATTGTTCCCTACTATCTAAATGTTGTCATTATAAGGAACATTATGAATTATCTTGCATGAACAAGTGTGCATACTATCTTGTGCAGAAGTTGTTAATTTCTAAGGGAAAAGTTAACAACTAACACAAGTTCAAACCTATTGGGAGCAATTTTAGTATCTTTTGTGCACAAGATTATTTTCATGCTAGATTTTTTTTTTAAGGTAAGTTACCTTATGTTAGCATCGTGTGTGCACAAAATACTGCTATTGTGCACACGAGATAAGGGAACTGGGTGCATATGAGTATATCTTGTGCACAATATACTAAACTTGTGTGCATATTTCACATACGATATAAGGTCTTGTGTGTGCAAGTTATTAACTTGTCAGCACAAGATTTTGACACTGGATTGTGTTGACAAGATAATTAAGATTTTATACAGTACAAATTAATTTATTCATTTATCTTGTGAGATAAGTGATCTTGTTCACACAGAGTGATAACTTCTTACTGTTACATGATTTTGATATGCGCACAAATGTAAATCATGTGAAGAAAAAATTCCAAAATGTTACTTTTTGTTGACTTTGGTGGCTCAGTAATTTTGGATATACTAAATCTGATACAGAATTTAGCCAAAGCTTTAGCAATGGTTTGTGCAATATTATTATAGGATTTGCCTCAGGTCAGCATATTACAGTGTGTAACAGATCACCTGCTGGTCCTGCAGACCTGCACAATCTAAAATGACATGTTTTAATGTTTCACTACCAGCAGGAACAGGATGTTGGGCTGCTTGCACCTTAACCTGGTTTGATGACTCAAAACCTGAAAAACGTTGTGGATATTACAGGAAACCACATCAGTCTTGTTTCAAGGCAGTCATACATTTTAGAGTCACATAGATGTCCACATCACATTTCTCATGTCCTAAGTCCAACACCTGCTGCCTGCAATCAGAATTTGAAACCTACTGGATGAGTTTCTCTCTGGCTGATGTCAGGAGCATCAACACTTTAGTTAATCTCTTTAAGCAACTATTACCACCACCAAGTGTGGATGACCTATATTCAGACATAACAGAAGAAAACTAACTGGACAAACTAACTTCTCCTCCAGCACTGCCACACACCTGGACCGGAGCACTCCTGCCTGCTCACCTGTCCTGAGGAAGCGCTCCCGCTCTTCCACCCCCCAGCTGAGCCCTGAGGCAGACAGCAGCATGGTGGAGAAGAGCTCCTCTGATCAGGGCTCAGACCGCTCCCCGAACACCCCCGAACCACCACAGACGATTCAGCATCAACGCACCTGTTCACAGTCTGGCCATCCCCCCAACATCAGCACCAGAGGAGGAGGCAAGAACTCTAAGGTGAGCTGGAAACAATTCATTTCTTTGCATGTGAGCGTATGAAGTTAAAAATGTACAAATCTGCAGTCTGGCATGATGGACATTGAGGCTAAGATACTGCAGCATACAAAATGAGGCCTTATTTGCTCCATACAGTAAGATTTAAACATGTTCAAAAAATTCAAACAAACAAACATACAGAGAAAAGCTTAAAGACCTCAAATGTGATTTTTCATCTGAAGAAGTACAGAAAACTGTCAACTGTGATCAGTCAACTGAAGTCCTCCAAAAGCCCACTGGGAGGATACGCATTTCTAAAACCGTTACCAAATTTTAACGACATGATCTTGACCCAAAAATTAAAAATGAACTGTTTTGAAAGTAAAACAAAGAAAGCAATCAGTGCACTGTAAAAGTGAATATGGGGCCCTAATGACAAAAGTGAAGAAACAAGTATCACAGCTTTTTGGAGTTAAGAAGCCCAACTTCAAATTTGGCAGCTACTGTATGAATGTGCATTTGGTTCATCTTTATTATATGTCAAAATAATTATGTCTAATTAGTATGTCTAATTAGTCTAACCAGGGCCTTATTAAATGTCAAAACAAAGGTTGCTGTCTTATTAGCCCAATTTTATTACAGAAAATTGATAAATGCTCGTCCAGTGGGCCTGAGTTTATCATAAGTCAAAGTATAAAATCAGAACCAAATTGACCACATTTCTTTTACATTTCAAAACCATGAAGTTAGAGTCAAGTTGGTCCAACTTTGCCATTCATTTTAGCGTACATACTCTATTTTTATTTAATTGTTTTGTGGGGTTCAAAGGTCCATAAAAACTTTGAAAGCAAGAACAAGAACTTTGAAAAGTTTAGAAAGTTACAGGTCATCAGGTCAGTCAGTCTCTGCAGTGAGCTGTTGGGATTATTACATGATGCAGGATTTATTACAAACTGCTATTCTCTTAATGAGTGTTTACATAACTTCTTTGGGGGTACAGTGACATGATCACCAGTAGCTGAGTTGTTTTTGGGTAGGCTAGAACAGACACGTTGGCTCAGGTTGTCTGATGTAGCCAATGCATGAGCCTGAATCCTAGACCTAAAACACACTGATTAAGAGTTCATAGACCAGAATCATCTTTAAACTGATTTAAAAGTTCACCTCTTTTTTTCCTGCTGTTTTTCTCTTTATGATCAGCTGGTTGAGCTTCAACAGTGTTAATACTTGACAGTGTTTCTCTCAGTTGTTTTACTCTCTGTTCTGCTCCTCTGTCTGCTTCCCTCCATGATGATGTGACAACAGAAGAGTCAGAGCTGGTACAATGTAAGTCCACCTGTTTGATTACACTAAAAATGTCTGTTTAGTGTTTTTAGGATGATCATGTAAAAGTTACATTTACATGCTGCTTGGGTTGTGTGAACTAAAGGTGATTATCATGAATGCACTAGACTGTTTTGAAGACTTTATTAAATGTTTCACCGGTCCAGACAGCCAGAGGGTGCTGTTCTTACAGGGGAAACAGAGTCATGGACCTTGTAGTGTTTGACAGAGGGTGAATGTGACCTGATGGTTTCACTCCTCTCCCCAGAGAAGTGAGCACTTTTTTTTTTTTGGTAAACCAAGGGAAGTAAAACTGCTTTCAGGACAGGATACATGCACTATTAAGTTTACATGCAACAAAATGAATAAATGAAGAGGACTGACTGATTATTGGGGGGGGGGAAAGAAAGAACAAGAAGTCTTGTTACTATTGAAGGTAAATAATGTACCTTCTATAAAGTCAGTCTGTTTTTGTAACAAAGTCCCACTCTGGGCTATATATATATATACTTTGTGCTGGTACACACACACACACACACACACACACACACACACACACACACACACACACACACACACACACTTACTTCTTGTCTTTGTATCCTCTGCAGGTCCTCAGTCCAACTTACAAACAGAGAAACGAGGACTTCAGGAAGCTGTTCAAGCAGCTGCCTGACACTGAGCGCCTCATTGTAGGTGAGTCTGAACCACATTGACATCTTTAACTGCATTCATGATTATATTTATCATCAGTGAGAAAATAGAAGATAACAATCCATCGAGTTTTGAGTTATTGATAAGTATACACTCAAACACAAGCAATGTTTAACAGTTTGTATGCCTCTGTATGTTCAGTAGCTCTAACTGAAACACTACTACTTTCTTTATGTGTTAAATAAATGATCAAAGGGATGAAAGTATTTTGTCTTCTTCATTTTGTCTTCATAAATATATATATATATTTTTTGTCTCAAAAATGCTTAGCTTAGTTTAAGCATAGTTTTTATCTATTTCAGCATCAGTTTGAATTTATCCCTGACTTTTACTGCCCCTGTCAAGCAAACACAGGCAGCTTGAAAACACAGTTTGGCTGCAGTATGTGCTGTCATCTGCTCATGTAAATGAGCCAAAAACACCACAAAATTTCCACCCTACACATTTTTTTCACAACATTACTTCATCTGCATACCTTTTTTATTTTTGTGTTTTGTAATTTTTTAATTTTAATTTTTTATTTTTTTTTGCAGTATAATACAGTGAAGCATTAGGGCCACATTAAGAAAAGAAAAAAAAAATAGACCTTGGAATTACTTACGAGAATAAAGTCGTAGTGAAATAATTCCTTTAAAAAAATAAATTAAATGAAGTCTTAAAGCTGCTTTTGTGAAGTAGGAAATGGCTTGAACTGGTCAACTGCAGAGTTATCAGTGGGTCATTCAGAGAGCTTTTGTGGTTTCTCAAGAAACAATCCAACTGATGATTAACATTTGGGATTCAGAGAGAGTCAAGCTCCGATGAGCACCGCATCTATCTCTGATGCCCAACACTGGCAGCAACCTACATCTGCAGAGGCACCAACACCTTATGGCATATAGATTCTTATGACAAACTTGAGCCATTTGCTATTGCTGTTGCTATAAATGGCTGCATTGAAGGATTTAGCCTCTGCACAGCCATTTCCAGCCATTTCCCCCTCCTCAAAAACAGCGATTCCCTACAAGTGCGTCTGGTTCTTTCTCCGGAAAAGATGCATTTCTAGCATATGTCCTGATACTTATGACAATGTAATGCTGAAACATAGTAACTGAAGTTCAATTCATCTTAATTCTACATGACGCTCATTAAAACAACTAACAACAGGTTAGAATAGCTATCAGCTACGTCTTTATTCCCCCAAGAAATTATTTAACTACGACTCTATTCTCGTAAGTAATTCCAAGGTCTAAAATGTGTTCATTTCTTAATGTGGCCCTAATGCTCCATATGCTTTAATATTTACGATGCATAATTTTTTGTTATCTTTTAGAACCTTCGCTTACACTCTAAAAACTCCTGGCATGCTGCTGTGGCCAGTCCAAAGATAACACCATGGGCTCTATTTTCGTTCGCGCCGGTGAGGCGGCGGAGGGCGGCAAGCCCCACGCAGTTGTATTTTCCTCTGGCGGAGCCCGGCGTAAGGCGAGTTTGGTATTTTCGTGGACTGAGTCGCACGGAGGCGAGCCGAGATCCGCCAAGCTGGGCGTGGTGGCGTGGCAGGGGGAGGTGTTGACAGAATCAGCTGGCGCAGTGACATTTTCGTGCTCGCCACCGGCGTGTAACGTGCGCTGAAAGCTCGCCGATTCAAACCTGGTCAGCTTTCAGCGCAAGGCGGAACGCAGCTGGTCTAGTAGTATTTTGGTAGACCGGCGGCGTATCGACATACGTCACTGATGCCTCACCGGCAGGTTTCCACAGCGTCAGGCACATTTCAGTGCAATAAATAATCATCAACAACTATTAATCTGAGTCAGCACATACATTTAGATCTATATCGATATATTCTGATCTATATCTGATCTGATGAGCGCGTTTGGCACGCGTTTGGGCACACAACCTGACCGAATCAACACAGCTGAAACTGCATCAAATTAAATTAAATATCTAGTAAATAAACACACATGATGAAGTTAACAAGATATGTAATGTGTCTCCCTCCTTTTCTTTCTTCCTCTTATTTCTCGCACAGCTCGACCTGGACACGTCTCCGTGTCCTCTGTCCGTCTTGCTTGCTGCTGCGGCTGAACAGATGATTTGTTTCAGTGCTCAGATGCGTGATCTACTTTAAGCCGACATACGGATATTATAATATTCAGTTTTGTGGGCCAAATTTATTTTATATGCCAACATCTATGAAAGAAAGAGCCAGGCCACGGAGCGCGATGCGTCATTTACGCACAGATGGTTCCGATTTTAATGCCATTTTTGGAGTTTATGTTGTGATCTGTGCGCTAAACCCACCTTTGTCACGTGAGTTTTGAATATGTGCAACTTTATGTGAGTGTCTTTATTTGTGGAAAAGGGTGTTTGTCTTACCAGTGGGTCCAACATTACACACACCAAATCCATCTGTGCTCAGATGAAAGCGTGTGGAGGACACTTGTTGAGCAGCTGCCCTCTGTCGCCATCTTGTGGCATTACTGTCTTAAGACATCTCTTGATCTCTTTGACTACTTCATGAAAATAGTAATACGCCTCGCCGGTGGCGGATTTAAAGGCAAGGAGAGGAGCTTATGTGATTGGTGAAAACAGGTCTCGGCTGTGTTAAATCTACTACACACCCTCTCTCCTCCCCGTCTACGACTTATGCTGCTGGGAGGAGCTGAGTTAGGGAGGGGGGATACTTACGCCGGGCTGCGCGGCTCACCAAAATACCAAAATGTGCTTGGGAACGCCTTGTCAGTGCGGCGGATCTGATTGACGCTGCGCTTGTGGCAGATCTCCGGCGAGGCACCAAAATAGAGCCCCATGACTTTCCTCACAGCATCTTTGAGCTTGAATGCAACATATCAGTGATCTGTTTCCCGACCAGATCTTAATCTCTTGACCTTTGACCTTAACATATTTGCAGAGTATTCATGTGCCCTGCAGAGGGACATCCTGCTGCAGGGGCGCCTCTACCTCTCAGAAAACTGGATCTGTTTCTACAGCAACATCTTCAGATGGGAAACTCTGGTGAGGACACTGATCCTGCCACTTCTTTAACTTTTACTGTATGATCATATTGTTTTTGACCCTGGCCTGTTAAAAAAAAGGGTCGGGTTCCTGTGCTTATTGTTAATGTAGACAAAATTTGAGGTTTTGTTAATAATTTAAAGCCTATATGTTAGAAAAAAAGCTTTAAAACACGTTTAAAACATTAGGAAACATGAGGAGTGGTTTCTAGAGTTCAGAAGGAGAATTTTGTCTAAATTTTACTCCTACAAGAGCAAACTAGACCATCTGCATGAAGACAATTTTGATGTAGCTCTATTTGGAACCCTTGGGATCCTATTAATTTTTTCTTTTTTTACTGACTTTTGTTCAGGACAAAATTAGATAAGGGAAAAGAGTCATAACTTCGACCACATGGAGTGCCTAAATCAACACAAACGAACAATTTTGTCACAGAAGCTTGAAGTAATTAAATATCTCTGTGTCAAATGAATGCTAATTTTTGTTTGTTGTTATCTAGCTGGCCGTCAGACTGAAGGATATCTGCTCCATGACCAAAGAGAAGACAGCTCGCCTCATCCCTAACGCCATCCAGCTGTGCACGGACAATGAAAAGGTAGGAGCCTCAATCCTCGCAGCAGATGACCAGTGAAAACATCTCATAGCTGTGGATGAGCAGGATCCTCAAAAACGGTGAAACTTTTTGTAAGAAACTTAACAAAACGATGTGATATGATGAGAAAGAATGAGATGAGATAATATGATTCGATGCAATATGCAAGGATAACAGGCTGGTTAACTACAGTACCTTTCTAACACTGCATTTGTACTTCAGCTCATGTAAAAGCAAAGTCAACTGATATAACAGATTTTGAGTCTTGGTGATGTGATATTAATAAACAACAGTTTGATGATTTGAATTTAAGAATAGATTTTATTCAGGCATGTCGAGTCCACAGACTCTGGTCCACTAATGATAAGCTCATAGATTCAACAGGCTGCTCTCTTCTATGACTCATTCAGCACTTCTTCACCTCCTTTGGAGCGAGGGATCGGACCTACATGATGATGTTCAGGCTTTGGCAGAACGCTCTGCTTGACAAGGTGAGACCACCCCCCGTCTAGTCTTTCAACATACTGTTCAGAATCATACTTAAAGAGGGTGCTATAATCATTACATTTATTTAGATTAAATATGAAATATGAAGTGAGAGCTGCTCCTGTAACTGCTGCAGCTTCAGACTCACAATGAAAGAGATGAACAATCTGCTGCTGTCTTTTTTAACTTAATTTCTGTTTTTTCTAGTCCGTCGCCTCATTTCTCTGTTATATAACAAGCACAGTCATGACAGAGCCTCCCAATTATAGTGGATTTAAAAGACAGATCTGTTCTGCGCCACCAGACCTGTTTCATTCATCCAAGCTGTTACTGAGCTGTTGTCATCTGTTGTTAAGGTTACTGTTTATTTCTGTTTACTCGTGTCCTCGCAGCCATTATGTCCCAAAGAGCTGTGGCACTTTGTCCATCAGTGTTATGGTAATGAGCTCGGCTTGACAAGTGATGATGAGGACTATGTCCCTCCTGATGAAGACTTCAACACCATGGGGTGAGTTTGAAATACAACCACAAAATTCCCACTCATAGTGCTTCCATCTTTCATTTCATGACACTTTTCCCGGCCATTTCACAAGGTGTAAGTACAGTGAGAGGGTTGTTAGAGCAGACAGGGTGTGCTGGACCCTGATGCAAAGTAGGGGGATCTTGTCTCACCCTATCAGGGATGAAACTGGACTTTAAAAATACATCTAAAACCATTAGTCTAACCAAAATCGTACTAAATTGATCTTCTCATTGTCAGACTTACACATATAGAAAAATCCCAGAAGCCAGCATTTAAAATGTAATCTGATCACTAGATGTAGCCTGAGATTCCCATTTCTACATGTGATACTTTAAAGTCCAAATCAATGCCACAGTGAGTAAAAAAAAACGCTTTACACAGAAGATGCTACCCCCCTCCCATTACAGCCATACTCATACATATGTACAGCCCTGTGCGGGCAGTGTGCAGCAGACAGGTAACCTTGACCTACAGCTGCTGTCCCGCTCTGTGGTGTAGGTTCTGTGAGGAGCTACCTGTGGAAGAAAACAACAAGCACCCCAGTGACGCCAAGGACAGCGAGGCCAGGTCTGAGATCAGCCCCACCCTTCCCCACAGTGCCCTTCCCAACAACAACGTGCCCCAAGAGCTGCCCAGTACTGACTGCTCAGTCCCAGTGAGTGTTTAACATGAATGAAAAACAGAATTAACATGGTTATGTATTTAAAATTGTATGTTTGAGTGATCATTTTATTCAAGGGTGTTTTAAATGAAGGGGTTTGGAGAAACGTTGATGCCACTGAAGTAATATAATCATTAACTGAAACAAACTAACAAAAAAAGACATTGAAAGGTGGGACAACTTACCTTTTTTTAATCATTAAAAAGCCAGATGCATCTCAGGTACATGCTCACTTATCTGACAGTAACCTTTATAAACAACTCCAGTCTGGTCTCCAATCATAGACGGTACATACTGTGGACAATTTGGTTCCACCTTCCATCATACACGAATTTGAAGCTGAACTGCTCTCAGTATTTCCAGTATTTTCTCCACTTTCTGGAACCACCACTTGCCCAGTAGCATTGTACGCACTCAGTGGGGAGTAGCTGTGATGACACTCTGCTAAAACAGAGTGTCCCCCAGATGAGCTACTCAATCTTTATACACCCATAGGCTGTATCAAGTGTCAATCAAAGAAAACATGAATCCCCTAATAACTTTTAGAAATGGATCTGTACATAAAAAAGAGGACTTGAGCACAAATCAGTCTTACAATAACTACATCAATCAATCAATCAACTTTATTTGTATAGCACATTTAAAATAACCACAAGGGTAGCCAAAGTGCTGTACAGTGACATAAAAACAAATAAAACAATCAAAAAACAAGATAACGCAAGCAGAAATACAGTAATGCAAAAGAATAAATAAGTGTATAAATAAGGAGGCTCACAGTAAGTGCTAAAATGATAAAAAACAAATTAACACTACAATGTACTAAAAGCCAATGAGTAAAAGTGCGTTTTTAAAAGGGATTTAAAAACAGGAAATGAGGAGGCCTGTCTAATTTTCAAGGGCAACTCATTCCAGAGCTTAGGGGCAGCAGCAGCAAACGCTCTGTCCCCTCTGAGCTTCAGCCTAGTACTGGGGACCGTCAGTAAAAGCTGATCAGCTGATCTTAGGGGTCGGGGTGGGCAATAAGGCTGGAGCATCTCCGAAATATAGGGTGGAGCAAGGTTGTTCAGGCCCTTAAAAACAAATACTAAAAGCTTAAAATGAATTCTGTACTGAACAGGGAGCCAGTGTAAGGATGCCAGGATGGGGGTGATGTGCTCACGCCTGCGGGTCTGTGTCAGGAGACGTGCAGCAGAGTTCTGCACAAGCTGCAGGCGGGCAAGGGAAGCCTGGCTGATCCCTACGTACAAGGAGTTGCAGTAATCAAGACGGGTAGTTATAAAAGCATGGATTAATTTTTCCAGGTCAGGTCTTGATAAAATGGGCTTCACCTTCGCTATTTGACGTAGCTGATAAAAACTTTTTTGTACCACTCCGCTGATCTGCTTCTCAAATTTAAAATCCGGGTCAAATTTAACTCCCAGATTAGTGATGACCTCTTTTAGGTAGGGTGAGAGGGAGCCTAGGTCGATGTTGGGGGGTGGCCGCCACTTGGTCCAAACAACATTACCTCAGTCTTGTTCTCATTTAGACTGAGGAAGTTAAAAGAAAGCCAGGCTTTAATGTCCTTAAGGCAGTCAGTGAGTTGGTGGACTGAGTTGGAGTTGTTCTGTGCTAGTGGAAGATAGATCTGACAATCATCAGCATAAAAATGAAAGGAGATGCCATGTTTCCTAAAAACAGAACCAAGGGGGAGTAAATAAAAGGCAAATAAAAGAGGGCCAAGGATTGAGCCCTGAGGGACCCCATGTGGAAGAGGAGCTGTTGAGGATGCAGAGTTGTCAATTTGAACACAGAAACTTCTGTCCCTTAAATAAGACCGGAACCAGTCCAGGGCAACACCCTTAATGCCCACACAGTGCTCCAGGCGAGAGATTAAAATGCTGTGGTCAACAGTGTCAAATGCAGCAGACAGATCTAGGAGCACAAGGACAACAAACTTTCCAGAGTCTGTTGTCATTAGAATATCGTTTGAAACCTTTAAAAGTGCTGACTCTGTGCTGTGGAGAGCTTTAAAACCAGACTGGAACAACTCTGTGATACCATTGTCTTCCAAGAATGGTAACAACTGGTTGTAGACAACCTTCTCTAGAATCTTGGACAGATATGGAAGATTTGAGATGGGCCTGAAATTGGCACAGAGGGATGGGTCAAGGCCAGTTTTTTTGAGTAGAGGTCGTACCACAGCATGTTTAAAATCCCTAGGTACTGTACCAGATGAGAGGCTACAATTTACAATATTACGGACATTTGGTCCAATAGTAGCAAGTACCTCTTTAAACAAGCGAGGGGGGATGGCATCAGCAGGGGAACCAGAAGGCTTCATATGGCTGACTATGTCCTTTAAAATAGAGAGGGACACAGACTCAAATTTAGAGAAGACAGATGAGGGGTGCAGAGGGGCTGAAGGGTCATACGATGGCTGAGAGATACAGGCTCTGGTTGACATAATTTTATCACTGAAGAAGTGGAGGAATTTTTCACAGATTTCAGTGGAGGCATCAAAACCAAGAGACTTGGGAGCCTCAAGGACAGTGTTTATGGTTTTGAACAGAGCTCTGGGGTTGTTGCAGTTAAAAGCAATCAATTCAGAGAAATATTTATTCTTCTCAGCTTTCACAATCCTCTGGTAATTCCTCAGACTATCTTTAAGGATGCCAAGATACACTTGCAGACTGTCCTTTTTCCACCTGCGCTCTGCCCTCCTGCACTCACGCCTGGCTGCACGAGTGACGTCGTTCAACCAGGGCTCGGGTGTAGGTTTAGTGCGCCGGGTCTTCAGAGGAGCGATCGTGTCCAGTGTTTGTAAACAGGTGGAGTGAAATCTCAGTACCAGTTCCTCAGTATCCAAACACACAGGGGCTGCAGAGTCATCCTCGCAGAGACCAACGTAGGTAGAGGAGAACAGAGCAGGCGAGGAAGAGTTAAACATGCGACGCGGTTTAGGTGGAACGCGCAATTTAACCGGACACTGAGTGGGGATGTCAAATAAAATCGGCATATGATCCGAGAAAACAGCGTCACAAATGACAAGGTTAGACACACACAGACCATGCGAGAGCACCAAATCTAGTGTGTGCCCGAGATTATGTGTAGAACCGGACACAGACTGCACGAAGTTAAAAGAGTCAATGAGATTTAAAAAGCTCCTGGAGACCGGCTCTTCAGGGCAACAAGTGTGGATATTAAAATCACCAACAATAAGGACACGGTCGTATTTCGGCAGAATTTCGGCCAGAAATTCAGAAAAGTCACTTATAAAATCCTTATTGTACTTGGGTGGTCGATAGATGACGGCGCACAGGACAACATGAGAGCAGCCCAGTTCAAACAAGCACATTTCGAAACTTGTGAATGAGAATTTCAGGCAGATCTGCCGGCATTTAAAGTCGCTTTTAAAAATAACTGCTATTCCACCTCCTTTTCGACCAGACGACCGCGGGGAATTAAAATAGCAGCAATCCGGCGGGCAGAGTTCAATAAGAGGACTGGACTCACCGGTACTCAGCCATGTTTCCGTCACACAGAGAAAATCCAATCCACGGGACATGAAGAAATCCTTCAGGATAAAAGTTTTGTTTGCCAGTGATCTGGCATTGACTAGACCGAACCTGGCAGAGATCGGCACATCCGAGGCATCAGCTGATCGCGGAGCCCGACACAGGGCCCGTAGATGGCGGGGATTCACCCCACGCCGGCGGGGACGAGGAGAGCAGGGGCCGCGGGGACGGACCATCCCATCGGATCCGACGACAGGTACCAGCCAGGAGTCGACAGGGTGCAGCGATCGCAGATGAGGAAAGAGACCAGATCCCACTCCATTTCTCCTCAGGGAAACCACGGAAGATCGAGCCAAAAGAGATTTAACTTTCACCTGCTGTCCGCTGCGTTTGCCACGGCGGCGCCGGCGTTTACGCCGGGGAAATGGAGCGAAAGTGCAGCGAAGGTGAGCAGGTATACCGCAGGGGTGAAACGGCTTAAACGTCGTGTGACCACAGTGATCAGGATCTACTTTCACCAAATCCTTAGCAGAGGGGCGAAGATCCAGCAGTGTTTGGTGGTCATACACATACAGTGAGCTTACTTTACTGATAACGAAAGACACAAACAGCACAAACAGGAACAGCGCTGACAGCGAGAGACGGCAGGCCACACACACCGGCGGCCACACACACCGGCGCCATCTTGGAAAACCCTACATGTCAACATCACAAGCAGGGGGGAGAACAATTTATATTCTGTGTAATAAATTTCTAAAGTTTGTCCACAGCTCCTTAAGGATTGCTGGGGGAGGAGGGATTTATGACCTATACTGCAGCCCATCAACAGAGGGTGCTGTTCACATGAAGGCTTCACCCAGCAAGGAGGCAGAAAGAGTCCAATCTCTATACAGTAAAAAGGAGCAGAACATGTAGTGCTGCTGGGTGTGGCAAAAGGAGTATCCCTCAGGTGCTCATCAGTCTGGGGGATCCTGGAAAAGCAAACAAAAAGAGAGCTGAGGCACTCATGAGTGTTATACTAAAAAGCCTTTATTGTGACATGGCTAATCTATTAAAAACATGCCAACGTGTTTCGGCCAAACAGGCCTTTGTCAGGGCAAAATGTTTTAGTATAACCCTCATGAGTGCCTCAGCTCTCTTTTTGTTTGCTTTTCCATTCTATATACAATCAGTGTTTCCAGCCCCTCCATAGCACAGAAACACTGACACATCCTTAAACTGGTTAAAGTGATATCTGCTTCCTCTAAGTCATATCTATCATAAATTTGACATTCATTTTACTGCTATACAGATGACACCCAGCTTTACCTGTCCATCAAACCTACTGCCTCCCCTTCACTCTCTTCACTGTCTGATTGCCTACAGACATCAAATACCAGGTCTCCTGCAACTTTCTCAAATCAAACAACCTAAAAACTGAGGTTCTCCATGTTGGTACCAAATCAGTTATGACAAAAACATAGTTTTCAGTTTTTCCTCACAATCAACAATTTCTCATTTTATGTTTAAGATTCTGGGTGTGATCCTTAACAGCACAGTATCATTATGAAGCACATCAATGTCATTCAGTCTGCAGTTTTCCACCTATGCAACAGTAATTACCTCCACCCGTCCTTCACACCCAACAGTAACACCATTCTTGTTCACATTGATTGGCTGTCAATCTGGTGCCAAAGTTTCCTTGAGTTCTTTACGCTTTTATCAGCTAGTTCCTTTGGTATTTTTGAGTTGTTAACAAGATTGGATCGAGTTGTGGTTCAGGACTGTCAAGCTTGAGCTTAAGTGTTGATTTGTTAATCTGGTGTTGTTCAGTTGTTGTTCAGGGTTATAGAGCTGTTGCTAAATCAATGTTTGGTTGTTAAAGTTTTGTCCAGCTGTAGGATTTTCAAGCTGTTGCTCAGTGTTGAGTTGATGCTTGGGATGTGTCAAGTTATTTTCATGGTTGTATTTGAATATCTCAGCCTCTGACTGAATATTGATCGTGAACCTTTTGAACTCCTGCCTCTTCATGAAGGTCAAATATTTACTTAACCTCAGTATGATTGGTTATTCTTGACCCTGCAGTATGACCTTCCCCATGTGGAGGATGTATCCAGTCTCCTTCCTGATGCTGAGCTCCTGACTCCCCCTGTACCCGACAACCACAGCAGCCGCAGCAGCAGCCGTGCCCCCTCACCATCGCCTGACCTCAAACTTGACCTCAAAGATTGCAAAGAGCCACCCAGAGAGTTCAGTGACTCCTCTGAGACGCAGGATGAAGGTGTTTTATACTAACCCACACACAAAAAGACATTTTACAGGTGGTGAAGAAAATGAAATTGTTTTTTCAAACTAACCTTTGGAGTTTGTTCACACAGGTGAAGTGCAGCCGTTCCACCAGGACCTAAATGGCAGGCAGTACATCAACAGGGTGTATGAGTTTGGTGTGGACCAGATGTACAACCTGATTTTTACCGAGTCAGACTTCATGAGGGACTTTCAGGAGCAGAGGAGGTTCTCAGGTAAACCCCTCCTGTCTTCTCTCTTCTTTGTTTATGGGGCACAATGTCAAAGAACACCAGGAAATAAGAGCACACCCACTCAAAAGCTTTTCGCATCATAACACCCACAGTGGTACCTCATAGATTTTCCACTGGTCTTGCTATATGTCCATGAGTGTTTTTGGATATAAAATCTTATCTGGTTGTTCTTTAAGAATTGCTTTTGTAATTCATAAAAATACACTACTTCTAATTCAGGCTTGTTTTATTACCTGCTAAAAACTCCTCACAGGAGCTTTAAATACTGTAGCAAAGTACTATTGCTTTGTTACATGACACCTTTGTACTGTAGAAACAAGTCAGTTTTCATATCAGTGCTTATTCTAGTTCTGTTTGCATGCATCGGTTCATTATCAAATGTTGATCTACTAATCAATGAAACCAGAGAATTCAATGTTAATGGCACAGGTCACATCCCTGTGCTTATATAACTGACTCACAAACAGAGAGAACATTCAGTGCTGCAAAATATATATCGACCAAAAACTGCTCAGAGTCCCTGTTAATGTCATGTTTTCTCTCCAGATGTGGTGCCCCAGCCCTGGAGGAAAGAGCAGGATGGTAACCAGACCAGAGAGATCATGTACACCATCACCTTGAATAACCCTCTGGCTCCAAAGACGGCCACAGTGACCGAGACTCAGGTCTGTTTGTCACCGTCCATATCACTGTGGCACTTCCTGCAGCCGTCTGTGTGTTAGTCTGACAGCGTGTGTGTGTGTGTGTGTGTGTGTGTGTGTGTGTGTGTGTGTGTGTGTGTGTGTGTGTGATGTCCTGTTTCAGACCCTATACAAGGACAGTCAGGAGAAGAAATGCTACGTCATCGATGCAGAGGTGATCGCCCACGATGTGCCCTACCACGACTACTTCTACACACTCAACCGCTACATGCTCACCAGAGTGGCCAAGAACAGGTGTCGGCTCAGGTGGGCAGAGCTATGTTTCATATTAATGTTTGTTTCATTATGAAGGAAAGTGAAAAGTGATTTTTATCCAGATAACTGAGTGAACTCCATCTCCACATTAAAATGATTAAGAAACTATCTATATTTGTTTTTATCAACACTTTCATACAGCCTTCCAACTGTTTCGGAGCCAGTCTGGGGTGAAGTTTTGAATACTTTTTCAGCATCTATTGTCAGTTTTGTTTTTTCTAGATGGTCTTTGAGCACAAAAGTAAGGGCTGTCTGGGGAGAAGCTTGTTAATATGAGCAAAAGGACTCCATTGATCAGAATGAGAAAAAATGGCTGCAGATGTAGGAAAACTATCTTGAAAACTTTAAGCAAACTGTAATACTTACTTTACGCCAAGGCCGTTGTATCATCTTGAAACAGGTCTTTTTTGGACTTGCCATGTCAGTGTAGCTTCAATGAAGGGTAATGAGATATTCTGACGAGAAATGAGACAAAATAACTTGTAAGATTTGAGTTTTTTGCAGAGTAGACATAATCATTCAGTTTGTAAGTTTAAAGCAGTCGTTTTGTTGAGTAACTGATGGGTTTGTTGTAGCAGTTAGTCAGGTAGTAAGACTGTGACCTCAGTTTTACCTCTGCCTGTTTCAGATTGACAGGAAGTTTTTCAGGGTCAGCGTCTTTGAAATTGTGACTCCCATCAAATGAGAAAACAGATAGGTTTAGACAGAATACAATACACCTCAGTGTCTGGTGTGTGTGTGTGTGTGTGTGTGGGTCTGTGTGTGTTGCAGAGTGTCTACAGAGCTGCGGTACAGGAAGCAGCCATGGGGTCTGGTGCGGAGCTTCATAGAGAGAAACTCCTGGAGTGGTCTGGACGAGTACTTCAGGCACTTAGGTCAGTAACACACATCTCTGACCGTGAGCTGCATCCTCAGAGTTCCTGTCATCTTGTCATTCATGTAGAAGAAGATTTGACTAACCCAAACTGACAGGATCAACACTTTGCTTTTTTATTGGACATGGAGAGCTACAGGAGCTTTTGGCCCAGGAGGAGGTTTTGTCTCTGGTGCAAGACTTTTCTGTCTGACTCTCTTCCCCCCTCACTTTGTCTGTTTCATCCCCGGAGTTCCAGTCCTTCTCACAGTCACCATGAATCTTCTGTTTATCTTGTAATCCTTGTGCAGAGGTGGAGCTCAATAAACTGGATGTGGTGTTGGTGGAGTCATGTTCACACAGGATTGAGTCTCAAGAAAGAGGAGGCAGCCGGAGGAAGAGGAGGCAGCTGGTGGTCCATCACCTGAGGGCGACTGGGAGCCTGGAGCAGGCTTTGAGCTCTATTTCCAGACCTGAAGACGAAGAGGAGAACAACATCAAACATGTGGCAGGTCAGCTGAGCACAACCTCAGCTTTTTACAGAAGAGGAATCATGGGAAATGTAGTTTCTGTAACAGTATGTCTGTCTTTGATTGTCCTGCAGGCTCCACGCAGACCAGACACACAGGTGATGCTCCAGGAGGATTTGCCCTGTACAATTTCTCCAAACTGCTGGTTCTTGTCAGCCTGGTGTGAGTTATTCTGTCACCTGTGTGTCATAAATGTCTAACCTGCAAACTTATCAGAAAACCAAGTTTACATACTGTCTGTCACATCAGTCTATCAATCAAAACAAAAACATTACACAAAGTCTGCACTGGCTATCTGCTTATTTTTTGTTCCATGTTTTATCTGCCTCACTCTCTTTTTGTCAATAAGAAGCTGTTCCAATTAGCGCCCCCTACAGGCTCATAGTACTTTTATTTTAGAGTCAGAATTTGCAATAGTATAGGGAACAGCCTTGGCTTCTCTTCTTGTAGCAAATATTCATCTGTGAGTGTTAAATGTTACCGTAAAAAGACAACAGCGAGGGATTTTGTCAATAAACACTTTCAGAAGGATGACAAACTCATCAACAATATAAGCCTTACCTTTATGTCCACAGGGGGGCGCCAGGGATAACACAAAAAGCAAGTTCCTCATTTGAGCTTTAAGATGGTAGAATTAATAATTGCCTTAATTTAATTTCCAAATCAAGACATTAATAAAAAATACCTTAAATTTAATATGGTTTGATTTTTTTTTTTTTTTTGTGAAAGGTATTTGAATTTTACTTCCAAGAGTGAAAATGAGATAAATCATTTAAGCCCAAATTTTAATAGAAACTTTTGCACATACCTTGTTTAACTTTAACCTTTTTTTTTTTTGTCCCTCTCTGCATCCAGGATCTCCATCAGGTACGTGGTCTTGGTTGTTAAACATCATCAGTTGACTCAGGAGGAGTAGCTCTGATGTACACTGTGTGTTTTCTCTGTCCCTCCATCTGCAGCCTCATAATGCTGGTGTTTCTGAACATCATGTTGTTCTACAAGCTGTGGATGCTGGAGTTCACTATGCAGAGCCTTGTTACCTCGCAGGGACTCAGACCACAGGACAGGTAACAGGGAGTGTGTTTGCTCCTCTTTTAAAACCACAGAAGAAGAACAGGACACTAGACTTGGTTTCCTTATTTTCTTCAGATCTTTATTTGTTAAACCACAGGACAGTTTTCCACTTTGCCTGAGTCCATCTTTGACAGGTTCAGGTCCAGAAAAGTCTTAAGTGTCCCTGGATCACAGTTATACATGGTTTCCTCTTTGTGTAGTTCAGTTTTGACCATGCATTTGTTCACAGGAAATAGATTTTGGAAGCAATTTTGAGCCAATGCGGTGAATTCTACCACAGAGTCAGGTCTGTTGTTGCTTCAGTGAGGATCAGAGAACCCCAGTATTTTTATTTTATTTTTTTGTCCTTGTTTCCTTGCGTAGAGATTTTTGACTTTTGAAACATGCAGCTGGCATCAAATTTAAACTGAACATATTTCATAAAATCATCTTCACTTTTAAACATTTACGTTTTCTTTGCACAATTTTCAATGATATGTAACATTAAAATGGTTTACAAACTGTCAGATACTGTTTTCTTCACCATTTTACACATGTCTCTCAACTCTTACGGAACTGGGTTGTATAATCCAGGATTAAAATGTTTAAGGGGAGAGTGCTTTTCCAGATGCAAGTACACAATGTGAAGGAATCACACAGGATGGGAGGAGGATGGAAAAAAGATTTTCCTGGATTAGCCGCTGGTTTATAGGGATCTACAGATCTTCAGGTCTTACACAACAACTTCCAAAAAGTATGATAAAACATTCAATAATCCAAAGATGTAAAAGAGACAAGCAGAGTCTGTTTTGATGTAAGAGAATGACTCTAAATCGTAAACAAATACAGCAGGTCCAGGCTTGTTTCTGTCTCGCTCTATACCCTCTCTGTTGTGGAGCTGATTTCGGTTGTCATCACTCTGTTCACTTTCAAGGGGAATTTCCACCTTAATGCCTCATCTCTATATATCATTTGAGTATATTGTGTTTTTAAACAGCATCTGAGTCCTCAAATATGCACACCTGAACCAAACAGTGCCCCAGCATGGCCCAATTCAATCTGTGTCTTCAAAATGGGCACACACTAAGAGTAAAACTGGGATCACAACCTTAAGATCTATTACAATTATACACAAAAAGTTCATCTTTAAGCAGGAAAACTGAGCATGTGAATAAATGTTTCTTAAATATGTGTTTGGGTATCATTAGCTCAGTCTGCTCAGTGACTCTGAGGTGAGAGGTGGCAGACGGCTGTGTCAGGTTTCAGGATAGTGTCATTGCTAATGGTCTGTGCTTTCAGAGACTGGTACCTTTCACACTCTGAGTGATTACTGTGTCTCATCAGCAGAAATCCTCAGACCCAGCTCGAATGGGTACAGTTCCTAGACTCCCACCAGCGTTACCATGACGATGATCTCCAGAGGTGGAGAGAGATGATCCAGTCATCAGTGCTGCTACTGGATAAGGTAAGACAAACATCAGAAATACAAATTTTGTTTTCTATTGGTTTCTTCCCAAGTTATTAATGACATAGAAAAACCTAAATAGTCTCATTAAATACACCGATACTCTTAAATAATTCATGGAAATATTGTTAGGTCTCTGTCAGAGGCCCTTCTTACTCCTACGAAAAGCAAATGGTGTAGACCCTTCCACTTGCAAGTTGTCAGGATGATTCTGACAGCATCTGTAGAGTTAAAGGGATATTCCGGTGTAAAATTAAGTTAGGGTCAAACACACGAGTTAGACACCTCCTTGAGAGATGAATATTGCTGACGGCTTGCTTCTTCAGTTATACCAACTTCAGCAACGACTGCATGATAGCAATACACAGCGGTCTATGTCTCCACACTCCATGTTAAATTTACGCCGGAATATCCCTTTAATTAAGTAATAGCATCATGTCTTCCCTGGTAAAGCCAAACTGGGGGTTTCAAAAATGAAAATATAGGTGAAAGGTGAATGAAAGTGAAAGCAGAGGTGTTATTATGCTTTATTCATGGTTATGAAATAAATGTTGTGTTCAAATGTTGGATGTCAGTTCTACACTTGAGTAAAGTTTCAGTTTTCAGATTTTAAAGTTCAAGTAATCCACAGGGACTACAGGGAGCTCTGAACTGCTTGTTCAAAGAGTCACGCAGGATTTCAATGAGATCAATATGATACTTGCTCAAATTGTGACATCACCTGACACACAGTCACACTTTCATGATTTCATTTGACAAGTTTAACTGTCATTGTAAAGGATGTACATTTTAACATTTCAGGGAAAACTTTCACCCAACTGTCTGTAGCTAAGATTGTGTCCAGATAGTTATTAATCTCTCTCTCACCCAGCTGAGAGCCTCTCTGCTCCACCTTCACAAGAGCATTGGCATCAGGGACTACAACTCCAAGCCAGACAGGAGAAGAAAGCAGCAGTCCTGATCACTCCATGGTGTTCAATAATCCTCCTATGACTGAGCCTGTGGAGACACGGTGACCCTCTGGGGGCAGAGCTGGACTCGTGACCTCACAGCTGACACCACAGAGCTTCAGCTGAGACGCTGTCACCCAAAGACACAAACAACAAACCATCAGCTCCATTACCTACATCAAGCCACATCAAGAACCAGGAGGCACAGACACCGAGGCTGTTTCATCTAACCTGTAGTCTAAAAGGGACTGAGCATACAGCATGCATTGTGGGAAACTTAGTTGGCTGAAGACAGGCTGGGCTGCTGTGTCTGTTGTTTCCTGTAGAGATGTGAAGGGATGATCCAGGATCAGGATCACACACAGGATCAGGAGCTGGTCCTCACGGAGGAGCTATGGTGTTTGAACAAGCTGAAGAGTAAGATTACTAGAGATGTAACGATACACAAAACCAGGCCAACCATACCATTTTGTCACAGCTGCTTTCCAGGGGAGTCAGCACCAGAGTTCAAGTTCAACTTTCAACTTTTAGAAAAGAAACTGTCTTATAGAAATGCTCTTTGTGATGCTTTTATTTTGCCTTTTTTACTGCACTGTTGCATTACTTGGTTAATTTATTTCCTGTTCTGAATAAAAATGTGCTCTTTTTTTTCTAAGGGTACAACAATTTCAGCTAAAAGAAGGATCTACAATAAAGTGTTGGATGTATTGGTACTCATTGTGGAGAAAAGGGCTCTTATTTTGTTGTAACACTGTCTGTTATCTGCAGGTGTAAGGACACTTCTGGACACACGCACATAAACTGTTGGTCAGATCTTTGTCAGGCTGCCATGACATTGTCTATGTGAGGGAAACACCGGTGATGCATCATCAACTGCAAAATCTTCACTGACAGTCTCTTTGTCTTTACATCTCTATTCAGCAACAGATTATGAACTCTAGGAATTACAGGTGTTGTGACTTCACTCATTGGTTTCTGAGGTAGAGTTTTGAGTTATTTAAAAATTTGTTCAGATCACTTATGGAGTTGAGAATATGGTAAAAAGGCTATTTTCCCCAAAACCTACAAATAACTCCTCTGATGTCTCAATTTACAAGTCAAATTTATGGAGTAAAACATAATAAAACAATAATTCTTCAAAGTGAAGGATGAAAAACTGGGGAACTGGGAGTTACACAGTGCTCAGCATAAATGAGTACACCCCTTCAGAGTTGTCAGAAAACCTTTAGTTTCCTTTCAAAATCAACATTTTCTATGTCAGACTTTACATTAAACTACTCCCCCCAAAATCAGGATGCAAAAATGAATACACCCCAATCAAAGTTCTGGGAAGCTAAATTTTAGTTACCATATCGCCCTTATTTTCATCTTATGGTAAATAAAATGTTGTGTTAAACTCAGCTTTGTCAAAACTTTGGAAATTGTACTTTTGCTCATCTCGATATGGTGATTAATACATTACTTTTAATAGGAGGTGTACTGACTTATGCTAGGCACTGTAAATGGCATCCCTCTGGATTTTCTGATGTTTCTTATGAAGCAGTTTTATACATTATAAACATTCATGTCTTCTTCACATTGTCATTATTTCCTCTATGCTGAAATTAATGTTTTTTTTCCATTTCAGTTCATTTTGTGATTGGCGCAGTAGTCCAGCCATGAAAGGAGTTTATTCATTCACCGGCACTGATCAGGTCACAATGCAGTCCGTTCACAGCAGTTCCCTGTGAGTCACATATGACTATGACAGTGAGGTAGGAAAATATATCAGATGTTTTTTTTTTAATCCAGCTATAGTCTGTCTGTGGTCTCAGTGCTTTGATTGATCAAGTTTCACAGTTTCTCTAATGGTTGTCACCTGATGACAGATTAACATCTGTTAAACCTCTGAAACAGATACCTTTTAAGGAACAGATATCAACACTCAGACACTCTGTTCTCACATTATCCTAAACGATGACTAGTAGACTGAAGAGGAGGTATGATACCACTGATCTGCTGGCTGCATGAGAAACCCTGTGATATTACTCACTGGGTTTTAATTGCTTTAACTTTTCAGGTGTTCATTTCTGAGGTTGTGTTTCTGTAGCACTTTTGACCTTTAATAGAAAGGGCAGCTAATGAGAGACAGAAAATATGGAAGGCAAAGGGTAACATGCAGTAGAGGGCTGTTACTGGGAGTTGAACCAGCAGCCTCAACACTGTGGGCAGAAGTCCTAGCTTAACCGGCATCCTTAACCACTAGGTCTTAAGACTTCATACATTAGAGTTTTTTTTTTATTTTATTTCTTTTTACCAGAGAAAACCTAACCTCACTAAACCTGTGCACTTTAACTTTTTGCGTTAAAACTCTCCTTTTAATCCTGAAATCAGACAATGAAAGATTTCAGTCCCAAAGCATTTTTAAATCATGTTAACACGGATCAGTTATTTAAGTTAAGCCTCCACTACATGGAATATTTCTAACGGTGGAATCATCAATATCTTACCTGCATGAATTTGCCTCTTAAAACACCTTCAGTAACAATGTATCCCAACAAACAAATTGTGCAGCACAAAGAGAGGTCTGTGCATCGAATGAGAAGACACAAAAAAACCATCGCCTGCATACACAGTTTACACAACGGATTGTATTTCAGAAATCCAGCAGAAACAGTTTGTGATGGCAGAGGATGAATTACATGAAGAACAAAAGTGACTCTGTAGTGGAAATCACTGCACGAGCTCTAAAGACACATAAAGACTTACACATGCATAAATCATGTTCAAAGCAAGTTGTGTTCAGATGTCGAGCAAAACAATTTGTACTTGGGCATCTAAAACAGTCATGACTCTGTAGTGGAAATCATTGCATGGGCTCAAAAATGTGAACTTCATATATTTTTCTCCACAAAGAACTAAACCCATGAGTTCAGATCGTTCTTCCAGTCAGAAGCTGTCTTTAATTTTCTACAGAGAAGCCTTAAAACTCTGTTGCAATCAGAGTGTTTACCAGCTGTTACCTCAAGCCACTTAAGCTGCTTTTGTTGACTGAATCATGGTGGTCTACTTTCATGCAACCGCCATTAAAAAACCACTATGGATCGCTTAGCTGTCATTTTAGTGCTTATTGTCAGTAACATCAAACTTATTGTAAACATACAGAGGATTGACTTGAATGTGAACAGTCTAAGAAGTTGGGTTGGTTTGACCTGCAATGAGGTCACAGTCAAATCTGCTTCACTCTCACAACAAACTCCAACATGAGCCTGAGCTGTTTGCTCTGATTAGACTCAGCGCTTTATTCTCCTGTGTGTGTTTGTCTTTGGAAACATCTTTGTACTCAATGATTTAACTCATTTTTACAGATGGGGTATTTTGGGGACATTATTGTGTTAAATTTTGGTACATGTGTTTAATGAGGGCGCAAACCACACTGGCAGTGGATTAGAACAGAACTGACAAAGACAATCTGGTCTGAGTTAGAGCTGAGCGATGAATAAATGAAATGAATGTGTTATGGGAAACAAGTGTGTGTGTGTCATTTGTTGCAGATGTTCTTATTCACACAGTTTATTGTTTTTATATAAACTCCACCCTCATGGAAAGACAGTCACTATCAGCAGCTCATCCTTTTCCCACCTTGTGCTCATGCTCTGTGTGTTCAGCTGGAGTTTCAGTCTTCTGGCATGAAATGTAACGGTGTTAAACGTGTTAGCAAATATGGACTCATACACACTGACAGCTGCACGGCACACACACTGTGTGCCTGTTAGCAAATTCCCAGCATCTCTGCAGTGACCACATTAAAATAAATATAAAATCTTGGCAGGATGTTCACTGTCAAATGAAATATTGATCGCTCCACACAGAGCTGACTGCTGATGAGGGCCTATTTAGAAATGTTCATGGAAAAAAATTCGACATGGATTTTGTTGCCTTATCTAATACAATTACAGAACATATCTCTCAGTCAAGATGGGAAATATAACACTCTGTCAGGGTGTTACACAGATTTGTGGCTCTGCAGTTTTTAATGGGTCATTGACGCACTGAATGGATGTCATAGAAAATGAGCTATGATGGTGGAGCACCATCGTTTATCTTTTTATGAAGGCCAGAATTCCTGATGACTCCCCAGAGCAGGACTGAGTAAAAGTCACACGCTGAATTTTAGACACTTTCCTATTTCTCTCAACAGATCTGTAAAAGTATCTCAGCGAAAAGGGTGAGTTTGAATTTACTGCATTTTAAGAAGAAAAAAAAAACAAAACATAATTTTGATTTGGTTTAAGAAAATGATTTAGTGTTCTGAAGACAAATGTCCCTCTTCATGCTGATTGAAGTCCAGCTCAGTCAGTGTCAGACATATTAGGACTAATACCATATTTTCTTCACTGTGAGAAAGTAAAATCACAAAGTACAGAACTAAGACATGCACACACATAAGAGCTGAATTCAACCACAAACTCATTCCTGTTACTCATTTTTATTTCTGTTACTGAATGATTTGTTCAGACCTTAATTTATCTACTCATAGAATGAAATATATGTTCCCCTTTTTTAGGATTTTGCTTCACCTTAAATGAAAAAGAACAACAACCTTTGTGCAAATACCATGAAACCAATAGGCCTGTCACTAATCTGACCATGTAAACACCATTTATTTTAAATAATTGCTTTTTAAAAGAGAAAACCAAGACAACAGCTGATGTGATCTCAAAGGAGCTCTCTGTCATCAAGTGTACTGACTCCTTTTTAGTGCACTGTAACATGCAGGAACTAGCTAGCACAAGACATTGTGGTATCTTGGCTTGGCTAGACAAGAAACTGCGGTATTCCGCGAAAGAAGCTTCACAAACATGCTGTAGCTACAGTGACCTCTGGTGGTGAATTGAAGTAGGCTACATTTAACCCCCAATTTCCACCGCATCCAGAACGGCTACGAAAAGGCTGTATCCGCCGATCGTAGCTGATCGTAACCATTCAAGTTAATGTGTCAATTTCCACCGGTTTCTCTCCGTTCCGCTGCAAATCGATGGACTCCGCAGCTGATCGCAAAAGTTCTAATTTTTCCGGACGCCGGAGCATGCCGGATAAATTCAGCACGGATTAACCCGTGCTGGAAAGGGAGTTGGGCACAGACACAAAATAAAACATCCGGCTTCTTTTAAAAATAAAACACTCAGTGTTTCAGGTGGATCGTATTTCACACCATGCAAACAGGCGGGGACGAACAAGTGAAAGGTTTTTAGACAGCAATTCACCACAATGACACCATAGATGAGACGATGATGATTTGATAAGTCTCAAAGTAAATTTCCTCCCCTGGAAGGACACAATCTACTACTTATATGGTTAGCCAATGTGGCTGGAGACAACTTGTTAAAATACTTCAGGATTAGCATGGCGTTGCTACATCAAGGTTTCACAATCACACTCACAATAGTTTATTTGAGATGACATCATGGGAGCGCCCTCAGGATTTGTAAACAAGATAGCAGAGTCTGCTGTTGGAAGGTCTGTTGAATCAGGTACGGTGTAAATGAACTGGATGATGTGGGCCTATTTTCATTCAAACAAGACTGAACACAGACACACATCATTGGAGAGAAAGGCAGGCTACACGTCCTTCCCCTGCCACTCACTCTATTGTTGCAAATGTCCCTATAAAAACCTAATGAACTGAGCTGTTCCTGACTGGGTCTGATGACACCAAGCTTGGCAGATGGAGTTCATTTTTGAAAAACTGCAGTGAGCCAAAGGAAAATAATTCGTGGAGAACAGGTAAGAAGGACTGCCGCTATGAGAGAGCCTATTTGATAAAACTGCATGTTGGTTGAGCAAACATTTTAAGATAGTACTTTAGTGTTTTACAGGCAGATGTATTACCAGCACAGGGAGCTGTTCCCCCTCTTCACCAGTGGGTGGTGCGCTGAGCTCATGACAGTCTACTGAGTCCCCAAACTCTACAAGTTAAATTAGTTGTTAAATGTTTAAATTGAGTGTTCAACGTGTACAGCGTGAGTGTTTTCGCGCACGCTCGGGGTCTGTAAGTCTGTGCGCGCCCACCCCTCTGTGAAACACTGCAGGAGGTTCCTTTCTGTCGTTTTTAGTCACATATTTAGTTCATCCAGATAAGAGCAAAGAAAGGCCACAGAGGCTCCAGCTGACTGCGGGTGTCAGGCTGCATGTCTCAGAGCCCTCTCCACCCCCCACCCCCCGCAGCTGTCCCTCGGAGCTTGCACGCAGAGTAGGGGATGGGTCCGCGCCGGACAGCGGTGAGTTCAGCAGCTGCAGCCTTCAGCCGCTGCCTCCTCTGTGAAGAGCCAGCGGAGAGGGAGAGGGGCGAGGCAAGCTCTCCGCGGATTTATTAACTTCTCTTTGTCTGGAGACAGTGAAAGAGAGAGAAAGTAGCTGTCAGGATTTCTTACAGTCATGTTCGCGTCCTTCTCTCTGCCCATGAGAGCGGAGCGCAGCCGGAATAAGGAGCGGCTGGAGGCCAGCCTGGCCGGCCTGTGCGAGCTGGAGCTGCTCAAACAGAGGCAGGAGGCCCGGGTGCTGAGTGCCCTTTGCCTCGGGGACTCCTCGGGTCCTGGGCGGCCGCCTTGGGGAGCTCTGCGGTCTGCACGATGCGCTCTGGACGCACCAAGAGGCGACGCAGCGGATGAGCAACATGTAAGTTGTGTTTCTGTGAGGATGTTTCTTTGTGTTACAGAAACAGACTTTACAGAGGCGTGAGGTGTGTTTCAAAACTTTGCATATGAAGGGCGTCAGTGTGATCCCGTTTGTCTGCAGCAGAAAGAGAATGGATCAGTTCACATCAACCTCTTACTTTGAGACTTTGAGGGATCTAATGTGTTTTAGTGTGAAATAGCTTATTGTCAGCAGTCTCTTCTGTCATCTCGCTGTGGTAACTTCATGATTAGAGGCTCTGAGTGTGTGTGTGTATACCATAGAGGAGACCATAAGTCTGTCATTGACCTCAGAGTGAAGTTATGAAAATGCCCCTGTTACCATTTAAGGGCAGACCTGGTGGAGCTCTTTGTCTCAGCTGAACGGGATGGATTCAGCAGACATCTCTGGGGTTTGGATACAGAACAGTCTGACTGTGATGAGTGGTAGAACTGAGGTCACTGGGCTTCATGGAGACTGGTCTAGACTGCATCAGACCCTGTGGGACTCTTTGAAGTGGAGTCCAACATCAGATTCAGACTTTTCACGTTCACCGAGTGTCTCTGTTTGGTTTAGAAACTGGCGGTGAGGTTGGTTTGATGTCCTGAGCTGATCATGGTGAGGGTTTTAAGAGACCTCAAATGAAAAGTACAGAACACCTAATCACACAGTTCATGAGCATAACATCAGCATGCCATGTAGGGGAGTCCTCCCCAGCTTTTTCAGACCCCTATCTGATGTTTTTAAAAGATTGGATATCTACCAATACCGAGTCCAGAGCCAATATTTGTAGTTGCCAGGGTAACAGAGCTATACTTGTTGCATGTGATTAAAGCTCCCATGAGGAGTTTTCAGCTGGATTCAAAACACACTGAAACTGAAAGTGATGTCTTTTAATGACTTCCAAAATCAAACATGACCATCAGCAACAAGAAAAACAACTCTGTGTGTGTGTGTGTGTGTGTGTGTGTGTGTGTGTGTGTGTAAGCAGCGAGGGGGTATGTATTCGATATTGACAGCACACTGTAGACCACCTCTTTTCTAAATGTTCACAGCAGCTATTCACAGTGAGGGGTATATTGAACTGCTTCAAGGGACCAGGATGAAGTTTTTGTCACAAAGAAGAAACTCATGTGTGCAGGACAAGATCTTTAAGGAGATAAGATCCTAACTATGTCCACAGAAGGCACCGAAATTAACCGACACAAAAAATCCCTCACAGGAGCTTCGATTGGTGGTGAAAAGGCACATCATTCACTAGACTTGTCTTTGTATTGAGGATTCACTAATGTAATCAAGTGGATCAAACTGGAGGCAAGGTTGAAGCTTAAGCTCCCTGGTCGGTGGTCCTCTCTAAGGAAAGGATGCATTTCAGGACTGTTAGGGCAGGGATCACACCAGCTGTAGCTGCAGTCTCTGCATTCACAACCCACGTCAGCTCCTAAATCCTTGACGGCCTTCTCTACCAGTCCCAATTGGTCGGCAGTTAGTGAAGGGTATAGAGTTGCAGGGTTAAATGTATGCTGTTGAACATAGCTGTAGTATTGTAAGTGGCTGTTGGACTCTTTTAACTTTTTAGTTTCAAATATTTTTTTTTATCAATTATATTTTAGCCACAAGGTAGCTACTGTCATGTAGAGTCAGCATTCATGCATTTTGAACCACTTGACTAAAATCCTCATTTATTATTATTTTTTAGGGAAATCAAGAATGGTCAGGTACAAAAAGTTACTCACAGGTTTATGTTCCACCGCATACTGAACGTGCCTGTGCTGCAGCAAGGACTTAGCAGGAGGAAAATGGTGCAATCACCATGAACTAAATGCCCTTGATGATCCGTTCGGGACAGCTGATGCAGGATGATGGGCTCAAGTTGCTGGTCCCCCGGTTGGGAATTACTTCAGGACATCCCTAAAGTCTTAAGATGCACAGAATTAAAGCACTGGTATATTTTTAGTGTACATCACTAAATCAGGTGACTGTGTGGTCTGAGGCAAGTTTTCTCAGTGGGACTGTTGAGTCTGTTTTATCTTATCTCATCTCTTTATGCACACAGCAACAGAATGAGACTTTGCTGCATCCTGGCTGCTTTACATGACAAACAAAAAAGTAAGAAATGTTTGTTGACAGAGTCTGCGTTTCCCAGAGAAATGATAATTACTGTATGAACCTTTGGAGCAGATAATGAAACTGTGCTGCCCTTTTTCTGACTTTGCTGATTAAGGCAGAATGATTTGACAATAATCTCATTGGATTCTTTCTTGGATTGGATTCTTTAACCAATCCTGCAAAAGCAGTTATGACTGTAAGTCATGTAATGTGAGTGAGTGAGTGTGATACAAGGCCACCACTGTCACACACTCTAACATTCTCCCTTACACACCGTGAAACTCACACTCTCACTCATAAACGGTCTCCTTCTCTTTCTCTCTCACACATGCACTCAAGGTATTAACTTACCATTTTCAATATGTAATCTGTGCCTTAAACACTGGAGTCTGGTCTTTTCATTAAACCTCCATCCCTCTGTTTGATTCATGTCTGTTGCAGTAAGGAAAATCTCCTGTTTCCACCCCTGCAAATTTGAGTTACCCTCAAATAAGTTATACTGATAACATTTCCATCCAGTCAAGTGGCGTTTGGCTGACTTGACACACGAGGTGTTGGCATTTTAGTGTTCTAACTATTATGGCTTTGTGTGTAAGAATAAAAGCAAAGGTAGCAAGGAAGGTTCTGCACAAAACCTGAGGCTTAACAGCATTTTCTTTTTCAAAAGCCAGAGTCTCACACAATCAAAGTACTGTTCCTCTTTGTCACAAAAGTTTACATGGTGTCAGGTTATGTCAAGCCTAAAGCCATTGTGCTACAGGTCAAAGCATGGCGTGCTAAGTTGATGCTTCCTATTTTAGCCGGCTGCTGTTCTACTCTTGCTTGTAAGTCATGTGATGTGTTTTATCACGTTTTATTGTTATCACAAATGCAATTAACCGTCAAGCTCTGTTGCTGGCGCAGGTAGGGGTTAGAAACAGGACGCTGTGTTTGAAATAAGGGCGTCACCATGTTTGCGTTCTTCACATGTTGAATAAGACAAAGACATGATGATACTCTGCAAACTCTGGCCCAGTTTTGTGAAACAAATGACTGAGATAAGGCTTGGTTTTCTCTGGGATCCCTCCAGCTCCTCTCCCTGAGTTTGAGCCTGCAGGGTTTGTGCACTGTGGGGATGATCTGACCCCTCCCCGGTGACTGAGATAGAGAGCAATGCAGGCCCGTCTGCATGAAGGATCACGAGTACACCATCAGGCTTTACTCAGACTGGAACATGAGGCAGCTCACTGAGTGGCCAGTGAAGAGCTCCAAGACAAAGAAACTATGGAAACAACAACATACTGTAGAGGAAAACAAGCAGCCGGACTCTATCAGTGCTGAGGAATCCTCATCCTAATCACTGGTCATCTGTCAGAGAGTTACAAAGATCTACTGAGCATAAAGCATTTACTTCATGAAGTACAAGAATGTAGTAATTGAGTGTACTCAAGACCCACACGTGCCCCAGTCTCTGTCTCACTCTGAGCCTCATGCTGCAGCATTAAGGTGTCTGCACAGCTGCAGGGCTGTTGACAGATGGATGCTTGAAATAGCAGGAGGGACAGTAGGATACCAGCAGTGTTTATGAACAACAGTGATCAGATAAAGGGTTAAACTGTCTCAAATTCAACAGAGAGACCCTCTGAAAAAACAGACTGACTGATTTAGAAGATAAAAACAACTGAAGCTCACGATCGTATGTAGATCTGTATCAGATGGACTTTGTAAATTGGCAATAATTTATAATCCAAGAACATGTTTGTTCATTATTAAATGACTTTAAATGGCCTGTTCAGCCCTGTTTAGCTATGACCACAGACTCTTTACAGACTTGAGAAAAAATAAAACGATTTACTGTCAGTGATTAAATTTGTCTAGATGGTTAAGTACGGTAGTATAGAATAATCCACAACAATAGTCAGAAATACATGTGAAGTGACCGAAGAGCCTACAGAGTTAAGAGTTGGTCAGTAATAAAGAAAAAGAGAAATATGAAAGGAGTTACAGTCATGTTGATGTGAGAGAAGTATATCTATTATGTGAAATTTCTATGTTTTGAAAATTAGAAGAAGAATCTGTGTTGTTGGTCAAGTATGGGTGCACAAATAATGCATTTATACTTTGCTTGGTACATACAAAAATAGAAAAGTATAACACTAGCATGTTAATGACATTAGTCACACCGACTGCAGTTAGGACAACAACAGTGCAAGGGCAAATGGAGCAAAGGATGCTTGATAATGAAAAAGGAAATACACAAACATCTGTAAGAGCTCTTAGATGACCAACTTTTGAAACAGCGGTTCATATTTCATAGTTAACTATCTGTTAGTCCTAATGTAACCAACAAGATAATAAAATAAAACAAATTAAAATAAAATGAATATTTCACCTGTGCTGTCTATCTATGTTATGATGGGATGGTCTGTTGAGTAGTGCCTATACTGACAGTGGTACACTGCCCTACTTCACTGTAATTAACATAAAAATATTTTACTGTTTAAAGTTTTAAGGTATTTATTTCCTCTGAGTGTTTGTTGACCAGGGGTAGGTACGATCACTTAATGAATCTTTTTGTCAGGTTGAAGTTGCTAGGCAACCTGTGGAGACTCAAGGATCACTGCACTCTGATAAAATAATCCAGATGTTAAAAGCTTTTAAAGATTACAGCCTCGATCACACAGCCTGGACCAGGATGTGAAAGGTCAGAGGGGTCTATGAGCTGACGAAGGCGTCTCACTGGTGTCTGTGATTTATGTTATACATTTGTTCATGATACTGTTGTCCTCATTGCCCCTTTAAGTCTGTTCACAGTATTCTCCCTGTGAGGTTGTTGACGGTCCCTTACAGTATCTGGAGGCTGTTCCTTTAGGGCAGATGAGGAAAACACCTGGTTTATCCAGGTGAGTCTGAGTCCAGTAAAAGTTCATTTCCATTAGCCTACTGTGGATTATAAGAGTTACTGCAGAGCAACCATGTTAACTTCACTGCAGGACTGTAAATCTCAGTGTAGGTCAGAGAACAGGTGGTCATGGAAATAAAGTTACTTTAAGTGTTTTTTGGAAAAATTTTTGTTGAATGTTCAAGAACAAAATTTCAGACTTTTTTTCACAGTTTGATGAAGTGTAAATGTAAGGTTTGCATTTACTTACTTCCCCAAACATTTGAATCTAAATTACAGCTATAAAAATGGTATTTTCCAACTCTTGCTGTCAATATATGGCTGCTCTATTCATAAAAGACCGGCCTTAGCAAGTGCTGAGTGAACATGAGGCTGTTTTATTCCCTGACTGCACTCTCACTTTGGCCTGTGCTCTCTCTGTCATCATGAGCTCTCATTTTATGTCTATTGTTTTATTCCTGTCTGCCTGTACTCACCTGAAATCTGCTCCCACATCTGTTCAGTCTCAGTCCTCCACCCTCCCATCATTCCTCCTGCCATGTTCACTAATCTTTACAGTGTGATTCAAAAAATGTGTGACCTGGTGTGTAATATGTGTGATGGTTTTGGAGCTGGTATAAACAGACAAGCCCTGTTTATGATCCAGCTTAAAGCGCGGGAATTCTTCATGTCAAACACATGTCAGAAATGTTGAACTTATGTTTAAGTTTGTGAATGCAAACTCTGACGTTTTTTGCTATAAGCCAGCTTGACTGAGTTTGTGTCTGATTGTGATGAGATGAAAGAAGAGGTAGAGGAGCTCCTGTGTGTGATGCAGACTGTCTGTGTGTGTTAGTGTAGTGTAGTTTGTGTATTTATTCTTCAGCAGGATCTGCTGACAGCCATGTGACGGCCCACAGCAGCTGGAGAGGCAGCCCAACCTTCACTGTGGCCTCCTGCATGTCAGGGGCCTAATGAGGGGCATGCTGAGATCTGCGTGTGTGTGTGTAAGTGTGTGTAAGTGTGTGCGTCTGTTTGGTTACATACCAACAATGATGATCATGAAAGCACAGAGTAATGCTGATGATCTTGCTGCAGTGAGTGGAAGGGAATAAATGTCGTGTGCTGACGTGAAAACAGAGGCAGGATCATGAGTGTGAAGTAGTTTCATTAAACCCTGAAGCAGCTGACTAAACATTAGTCTGGATAAATGATGGATGTAGCCACCATGATGTCACTCAGCGGTCTGTGACTGCCTTTCGAAGACACAGAAGATCAGCATATTAGCAGTAGGTGTGTTGCTTTTAGCCTAAGATTAGTGTTTTCAAATCAGAAAGTGGAGCTGAAGAGGAGAGTGGAATTTGATATCATACATAAACAATGTACACCATGACTTTAATGAGCTAGTTTACCCACAGAGAGATGGTATCAGACTGAGTGATTCATCAGACTGAAGGGATATAGAAGTGCCAGTGACATGGGTTACTTGTCTTAATGCTGCTCCATTAAAGCTGAACAATATATTCAGATTTTGGAGCAGCACATGCCGACATCCGGACAATGCCTTTGTCAGGGAACATCTTGTATATATAAGCAATGCAATACCGCAGTCTTCATGTGTTACACCAGCATGGCTCTGTAGCCGAAGAGTCCAGGTGCTCAACATGTCTGCCTGTAGTCCTCATTGAAAACACTTGGTGAAACCTTTAGTTTAGGATGGACCCTAAACTTGTAAGCAGCCAATATACTTTGTCAAGCGACGTGGACTTTTTACTTTTAAAACTTGAAAACTTAATATGAAATTAAGTTTTAAATGATATGTAAACAATCAAATTATGTTTTTATCGCTTTCCAAACTTTTTTTTTTTAAAATTAGGGTCATACATGTTTATTTCTACTACAGGATATAACCACTAGTGAACACTGTCTGCTGCTTTTTGGTCTTCAGTGTTCACTTCATTTTTCAGCCCTAGAAGTTGCTGCTGCTTATTCCCACTTAAGCAATTAATCATCTGTGGCTTAAGTGAGCTACAGTGATGCTCTGTGACTGTCCTAGTGACTCTGTGTTAGTGTGTGTGTGCTCAGAGTGTGTACAGTGTGTACTCACAAACACTAAGGGCAGTGATGAATGTGCTCTGCTGGCTTTTTGTGTCTGTGGGGGTCTGTGGGGAGAGGGAGGGTTCCTTTGTAAGGTCTCCAAAACAAAAAGTATGACTTGATTACATAAAGTCACAGCTGTGAAGCTTCATTTTCAAACGTTTGAGGCTAAAACAGACTTTAATCCTCCACCCACCCACTAAGCTCTGAGGAAATAAGAGGAATGTAAAGACAACTTAGCAAATGACAGAAACACATCAGTCATTTAGATTTAACTGAAGCCTACAGACACAACTGCCAGTTACTTTGGCCGGGTAGCAAAAAGGTTTGTTAAAGTACAAACCATAGCAAAAAATAAAAGTCTCAAAGTGGATCATAAAGACCCCCAGACTCCACTAACTCAAGAGGGAAATAATTAGTGTTTAAAAAACTGTATTATTTGGTTTTATCCTCCCGCTTCACTTTTCATGGTGATGTGCATGAAAGGCATGACTGATGGTGCCGAGGTTCAGCTCTGGTGGCCGTACTGACTGCAGGGACACAACGAGCATGAAGAGAAAACTGCAGGAAACACTAACTCAGCCTCTTTCTGGTGTGCTCACTGCGATGGTTCATTTCCAGCTGATGGAAACATTTGTTGTGTTTAATGACTGGCACCAGCTGACAACATATCTTACTAACTGATGCTTTGTAGCGAGAAGTGGGAGTTTGTATTTTTGTGCAGTGAAATTTGCAATCTGGCTAGCTGTTGTTACCCTCCCTGCTGTTGTGTGGTAGGCTGTTGCATCTGTTCAGAGTTTTTGTGTGGAAATGGGAATATTTATAGATATGTGAATGTTAAATTGAAACACTCCTTTGCTCACCCCCCTCTAGGACAAGAAGCTGATGTGGTGCATGTTAAAATGATCCTCTGTTGGAGAAGTTTCTACCAGTTTTTTCCTCTATACTTCATCTTCCAAGTGGTGCTATTTGCATGGCAACTTACAAAAATACAAAATGCATTTTTGGCGACCTCTGCATAAGGGAACCTGCTCCAGTTTAGATTTAAAAAGCTTAAACTTAGATGACAAAAACAATATTGCTTTTATACTCTGGTAATTATGAACACTATTTTGTATGTCTGCCAAGTCTGCCCTGATAAATACTAGGGGTGGGAATCAACAGTGGTCCCACGATACGACATTATCATGATACTTTGGCCACAATACGATATAATTGCGATATTTATCATTTTACAATACGTATTGCGATACAATATAGTGAGATTTATACCATTTTTTAAAACTGTTTAGCTAATTTAGCATTTGTCTTTCTTTTATGTTTGTCTTATTTACACAGTATATTATTTTCATGTAACACATCTTGCAAACCTCATGTGTCAGGTCCATCTCATTAGCGCCCTGCTTGCATTCCTAATATCTTTCCCTGGGTGCTGCTATATTAGTTGAACTAACTTTCCTCTGCTCTATGATGTCACCTCTGCCAACCTCACTGGACAAAAAGTTGATTTTATTTTTATATTAGGATAGATTTTACTTCATATTAACAATTAATTTGAAAAAATCTATACTTGGTAAATGAGACGATACGATGTATCACCAGACAAAATATCCTGATACTATGCTGTATTGATTTTTTCTCCCACCCCTAATAAATACCTCTAAATACTACAAACTGTACCTTTAAAGTCCTCTGACTTTTCTGCAGTGCTCTCACTGAAGTCCTGTGAGAACATTACAGTAGGCCTACTACCCCCAAAAGGCCTCTGACTGTGCAGCTGTAGTTGTATTTAGCTGCAGAGGTAACTCCTAACCTGTCTGGGAAACCTAAAGTGGACAATTTAATGGTCCTTTATATGGTGGCCAGCAGATGCAATCATGCTTCAGTGGCTCAAACAATTTCCAAATGTTTGCAAATTATCCAACCCTGAAAATTCAAAGCCTTGTGGAAGTCTATCATGAATTTAGATTAGGCTTCAAAAAGACCTTCACAAACTGTTGTGTATTTTTCATGTTTGTAGTCAGCGATGAGTGACAGACAGAGAGGCACTCTGCTCTGGCGTCTGTTTTTTTATGGTCTGATAATCAGTTAATTCACTGCCTCTTCCCACCATAACCCCAGTCCACAATGAGCCTTTTGCACTGAGTGCCTCATGGCTCTGAAATGGAATCTACAGGGTTTTTAATGTCTTCTCTGTTTGCAAGTCTTTGTGACTTTCCCTCCACAACATGATGGATGTTGATATATTAATCTAATCTGTAACTTTTTATTTACAGCCCATTTCTGATGTGTTTGTTTTAAATATGTTGGAGCAGATAGTTGGCTTGTTATTGTTGTGTGGTTGCACTTGTTGGGCACTGTAGATCCACCCTCTGCAGACAGAAAATCAGGAGTGTTGGTGGAGGTGGAGCAGCTGCCACACTGATGAACAGAAGGCCATATATGGTCCAGTGTCAGCATGCTGGTTTTAACAGTGCTGTTCTGGTCTGCAGTCCAAACATGCCGAGGTGACCGAGAGCATGTGCGTCATCTCATTCTGTCAGGCTTTTTCAGCTCTCTACCCTCAGCATGAAACATTCAAAACTATATGGTAACACACTGGAGTTTTTCATTGTGAAGAGTCTGCATGGACATGTCATAGATGTGACAAGCTTTCAGCCCATCCACAGACACTGATGTATGATGAAGTGATCTCTCTATGAAGCACAATGTCCCTTTAGCTATATGCATGAGGGGATTTTGCATATATTAATGTGGTTCCTGCAAAGAAATAAAAATCTTAGTGAATTTTCAACCTACACACTGTATGGAGCAAAGGCATTGTCTATTACCACACACCAGGGCTGGAATTGAAGAGTAGTTCGGCTATAAAATAACCATTGAAAACATAAAACATGTCATGTAACAACTTCTTTGCTGATTTATGCCTTAAAGATACAAATATGTGGATATCTTTGCAAATGTTGGCACAAAATGTTCTCAATTCTTGTTCCTAGATCAGTCATATTTCCAATTTCCTGCAGCTTTAGCTTAGCCTGCAGTGAGCTGTGTGCAGAGGAGCTCAGGTTCAAGCCGAGCAAACCCAGTGACTCCTCATTTACTCTCAGAATAGACAAAAACAGCAGCTGTCTCCCTCATTATAAAAAGCAAATGTTTGACATTTGATCCTGTAAAACAACAGAAGGTAAAATCTTTCAGCATCAACAGTGGGAGATCATTTTTACCTTTTTGCATCAACAATTTAGTGCAGATCGATCTGCAGTTTTTCTGATATCATCAAGGATAGTTTAAGTAATCTGATTCTAGTAAAGCTAAAAAATAAGAGACTCAACTTTAGATTTTATCCTAATAAAACTTTATACTAAAGTTGTTTCTGGGCTTAGTTTCAAACAACCTCACATTACTGTGTTTTAAAGGGATTGAATGGACTTCAATAAGAAACCAGCAGCTGGTGTGTATTAGGAGAGGGAACCAGGGCTGTTAGTTCATGAGATTCGTGATAGGAACGGTTAAGACTTAATTGATACTGATGCCATTATTTATTGTCATATCAGTCCAGTCTGTTCCTGTGTTTTTATGTGAGGAAGGAAGGCCTTGCAGGTACATCCTCTGACTAGTTGATTCCACTATTTCACTAAAGTTCCTCCTGGACAGTCTCTGAAATTATACTGATCTTCAGAGTGGGACTGAAAAGCCCCTCAAAGAAGCAAAATGGCACAGGGTACATCTTAGGAAATCACTGGTCTCACAAAGCTAGTGGATTTTACATCAAGTTAGAATAAGGTTCAAGTCTGTATAGTGAGGACAACATTGTAGAGTGTACTAGGGCACTACTAGGGCACAGACTGCTTCTTCTGTTCCCCATGATTGCTTCCTAGATAGGACACTGATAAGGAAATTGATAAGTATTAAGGCAAATCATGTTGATATCAGTGGAACAAGTTTCCATCTGATCCCCATCACTACATAAGAGATCAGGAGTTGGATTCAGAAGCTTAGCAGCTGGAGTTTGGATCAGTTCTGCTCATAACAGAGACAGTCTGCTGAAACAATAGAGAGGGACTTACATCACTGAGGCTGGCCCAGACAGAGAGATGTTTCTGCAGTTTAACAGAGTCCAGCCATAGATGAAACCAGCGGGTGTGTTTACGTGGACTTGAGAATGCCGGTTATGAACCATGTCCTGGTTTTGATCATATTTGGTGCACACACATAGAGACTTGGTTATTCCTATCCCCATATTCATGACAAAAAAATTTTAATATCCTGGTTTCAGATAACTGCACCTTATTTGTGCAGACGCCTGTGATGATTATCTTTCATAACACAAACCACAGCAATTTTGAAGCTGAGAAAATGAGACCACTGTGGTTCAATGTGACCAACATGGGATTGCATATTCGGCTTGTTCACCTTATTTCCAGGTACAACAGAAGAAAGAGACAGAAAATATTTAACATGGGATTGACTGGTGTAAGTTTGTTACTGCCACCATACAGGACAAAAGAGCAATGGGTAAAGATTTGCAGCTCTGACTGGAAGGACGCAGTAATGATGGAGTTCACTGATTCTGAGTGGGCCAATCATTGTTTGGCCAAGTGCAAGTGTAGCTGCTCCAGTCAACAAAATGTAGTTTCTTCTTCTTTTACTTCGAGTGCAAGATTGTCACTGCCATGTTTGTTTTGCACAGGTAGTCAGCAGCTGAAATCAGGGGTAGAGAGTTCTCCAGGTAGCAAAATCTATTTTTTCCTGGACTGGGATAAAGGCGAAACGTGCTCTCTAAAATCAGGGTATAATGTTGAGAAATAGGGTACTACAAGAACACAATCAAACCGTCAGATTGAGCAGAGACTGAGCGCTCTTACCAGGGCTGCAGTGGACGCCTGCTCTTTTTTCCCCCTCTGTGTCTGTTTGTTTTTACTCTTTTGAAACATTCCCACCATTAATCCATGTTTCCTGTCCCTCTGCCCTCATAGCTTTCCCTTATTCTCCTCTCATTGCAGGGTGGCCAAGTCTTATTCCTTCCTCATTTCTTTTTTTTCTATCTTTGTTCCCATGGTGACAGTGGATGCTCTCAGAAAAGTTCAACATGTTAAATAGTTTTAGTTTTGTAGTTTTTGTTGAAGGCAGCTGCTTGTACATAAACACACGTAGCATAAGTCCACGCAGCAGACAGCAGTCCTCCCCCACATCCAGCCCCTCACTAGCACACCGACACCCCCACATACACTTACATAGTTTATCTTTGCTAATCTTTCAAATGGCTACGTGTCTATTTAGTCTTTAAATCTGAGTCAAACAGGAGGACTTTTCTTCTTTTTCAACAAGGCTTTGTATGTAGCTCCTTATAGGAGGATGTCTTTCTTCTTAGTTTAAAAAGAAAATCTGTTGATATCGGGAAAACTATGTCTGTGTGATCCTGTATCTGCAAAATGAACAAAAAGGTTGAAGTTTGAGTGCCGGGCCAATAACTGGCTTTATGACTTTGTAATAAAACACTACGAAAGAGCAACACAAGGAAGTAAAAAACAAAAAAAAACTAAGGGAGAAAATCTAAAACTTTGTCTGAAAAGAGGAGAAGTTGTGGACTTGGAGCCATACCAGTCCAAATATCTGATTCTGTGACGTCAGCTTTTTTTTACAAGGTATGTGTATTGCCAAAAAAGGGACAGTGAGGGTGGAGTTTTAAGTTATTCACCCTGGAAGTTTAAAAGATTTCCATTGCCAAAAAAGTTGTTTCAGTGTAAAGGAATGGACCAAATGCAACAAGATTTAAACGTTAACTGTTAAAATTACAATGAGGATTTTTTGACGTTCCTGAAATCGACTGAAAATTGTGTCAATGCATTTTATGATATTCAAAAGCAACCATCAGTGACAAGATTGACTCTATTTCTGCTGGAGTTTTTAATGCCTAAAATTTGTTCAAGGGGGTTGGTGTCCATGGGGCAACTGAAGATCAGTCCTGTTCTTACATATTTATCGTCAATTATTCACAATAAATGATTCATTTGATCGTCCAAAGCACTACCTGCTCATGTAGAGGGTAAGACATGTTCAGAAGTGCAGTGCATGTGTGGATATGGCTGAGGTCTCCATTCACATTGAGAATCTGAGTCTGTCTGTTCGCCACTTTCTTCTGCATGTTAACAGAAACATACATGCCTAATACGTGTCAGCCTGTCTCAGTTTCATTCTGAAATGCCTGGTTGCTGAACAGATGTGCTAAACAGAGAGATCCTGTGTTTCTGGAGTGCACATTTGGTTCATTCTTCCCCTCTGCAGTTTTGAATTCATGTGTTAGTGTTATTCATTTCAGGCGCTGCTGCATATTTCTGCAGGACCATCAAGCCAGAGTGAATATTATTCTTGTCAACTCATCAGACTTACCAGCAGAGCATTTCTGTGAGGGGAGAAAACAGGACAAAATCAGAGGAGAAAGTATCCCAAACTGAGCACACTGATCAGCTCCTGAGTTTGACTCTGTTAAAGTGAGCCGAGTGTTTATGATGTGAGACTCTCAGGAGTTTATAACCACGGAGAGTCCGACTGTCGGCTTCACAGCTCACAGCTTCCATTGAATTAAAGGTGTGTGCAAATGTGCGTGCACGGGGGTGTGTATTTTATATGGATGTATGTCTGTGTATGTAGCAATCAGCATATATATGTGTGTGTGTGTGCACTCACATGAGGAAAACAAGCAGCTATTCAGTCAGTGTGGTCTCACATAAGTAGCTGCTTAAACCCACACACAGACCCCTTTATACAGTGCATGCTTGACACACACACAGACACACACACACACACACACACACACATTCACCCAGGCCTGCATGTGTGTGAAGTCTTGTGACGCACAAAGATGGGTCTGAATCTTACAGGAGAATGTGTGTTACATGCGTTTGATTTCACACTTTTAAATCTAGTGATGACAGGTGGTTGAAGTTGTTCTCATGCTGGAGATTCTGATTTGATTTCGGAGGAATCTCGATCAGGAGTTTGTGCGGTCAGTGAAAGTTCATGCTCCAAGAGACTCGGTGGTGGGGGTGGGAGGTGCGGGGGGGTTCACTGCTGCAGTTTGAGGACAGGAAATCACCCTGACGGTCCTGAATAGATAAGCCTCTACTGCACAGTTTAAGGACGGGGCTGTTCTGTCTCTGTTACACCTCACTGTCTGTGTTAAAGGCTCAAAGGTGGAGTGGGTGGAGTCAAGTTGTTCCTCCAATAGTACCAAGCATTGTTCTGTCGAGTCATTCTACCCATGCTTGACTAAGCATGTGTTTTATGTTAGAATAATAATGACATTAATGATCGATTCTTAAATGTTAATGGCTAACACATACACTAGTTCCACCATTACTTCTACCATTCAGGATAATATTGAATAATGCTATAGTGCTATAGCTTTATAATGCTATACTGTTATTGCAATGAACGAAGAACCGTCCTAAACACTGACTTTTCAGTTTTTTTGTGCTTTTTCAAATGGTCATCTGATAAGCTCCTACTTCCCTTGGTTACCTTGGTGATTAGTTCTGCTGCATCTAGCCTATGTTTGGTTGGCTGGTGGAGCAACACTGGCACTTTGTTGAACCATACTGCTAGTGGCCAGAGTGGCTAATGAAACGCTAAATAAACACTCCAAGTTGCAGTGGTGTCTCTCTGTGTACTCAGACGCTTCTTACTAAGCTATCTGCTCACTGGACACAGCTCTACGGAAAGCAAACAGACTGACGTAGCGTGCTAGCTAACCACAGCTAGCAGGCTAACATGTTACCTCTTACTGTGGAAACTGTGAGATTCGAATGTTAGTAGTTCTGAAACCATGACTTTGTCAAATGATACCCTAAAACCTCAGACTAGCCCATAAAGACCTTTCATTCTTGCTGCCCCACTAAAAAGCACTATTTTATGGGTTTCCATTTCCAGCTCACAGAAAGGTGAAATAATGTCTGTTTATTTTTATAAGCTGAAAAAGGGAGACACTTCAGCCTAAGTTGAAGTTTACTTTTGAGAGTCTAAAGACAGGCCTACTGGTGGTGAATTTGCAGTTTGACCCCGGACTCCACTTTCTCCTATGTGATCCCAAATTCTATCCCTGTTATACAGTTGAAATGATTAGATGTATTACAAATGTTTAGTGTTTGAAATATCCAGTGTATTATTAGTGTGTGCGTGTGTGTTTAGTCATCTGACCCCTCGTTGTACTTAAAATGCAGTCCACTCACCGTAAAGATGCCATGAAACAGAGGGGGGCACTCGTAAAATAAAACACTGTTGCCTGTATTGCTGCATCTTTGTGTTTTTAAGAAATGTTCCCATTGAAGCTTTCTGTGTTGACACTGTCCTTTTTCTGTCTCTGTGTGTTTCAGAGCGGTCTCCAGTGTACACCTTGGGGCATAAAGGCGTCTTTAGAGCAGCAAGTAGCAGAGCTAAATGTCAACACTGAGGTCAAACCATCAGATCCCCCTGCTGATCTGGAGGACACCCCCCTCAGTCCAGGTGAAATTATATATGCTCATGTTCTCAAACAGACTTCTTGGACCCATGCAAGCTTATTTTTCCATCATGAAAACCTGTAGTTTCAGTTTTTTTGGTACAGATTGATGTCACTTTTGCAGCTTTGTTTGTTTTGTTTGTGCTAACACTGAACAAATCTCTCCTGAACCACAGAGTGAATCACCAGATATTGTTCCTGAGTATCACTTTGACTTTTTTTTTCAGAGGATGAGTTATCTCTGTGCTGACTCACAGTGATAATCAGGAGCAGTCTCTCTGCCTGCTGCAGACACTGAGGTCATTAAGGATGCCTTTGGGTGTCTGGCAAACAAACATTAGAGAACATCATTTGAGATGGAAAGAAAAACTGTTTTACCATGGCAGCAGTGATCTCATGGTGATGGTAATTTATCAACATAATTATACTACATTTGTGTGAGTGGTAAGACCACACAAGGCTTCATGTTTGTCTTAGGGTTTACTGATAATGACTTGTTTATCTGAGGAAGTAATGTGTGACGCAGCTTAAATGTGTACAACTAAACTCTAATTCAGGGTCTGATTCACGAAGTGATTATGCAGCTTTGTGCCAGATAAACTAGTACTAACAGGAAGAGATATGGTCTAATTCACAGAGCATATGGAAAGGGTTAAATGCACCACAAGCTGTGCTGCTGAGCAAATAGGGCCTCTGTGGGCCGATGTTGTGAACATCCATTTAAATGACTTATTATGGATTTAATTCAGATGATATCAGCTCTTTTCTATGCAAATGAACTGAAGCCCAAAAACATAGAACTCACAAATGTGCTAACAACCCAAATAGTTGATGCACAGCAGTAAAAAAAGCATATACATATATCAGCAGCAATTCGGTCTCTGGGTGATCCAGTAATACTCTATCCGTACATTATGCATTTAAATATTACTGCCATAGTAATAAAAATTGATTAAATTGGTCTGTGGCTGTCAGTTGTTCATTTTACCTGTACCATTACATACAAGTGTTTTCAATTGTTTTCTGATCTAAAGGAGCTGTTTTTTCTAGTTCACCTTATAAAATTGTGTAGCACCTGTGACATTTGGATCACATAAATCGATACTGCAATAAATGAATAGTAAGAAGCATCCTCTCTCCACTCAGCTCATCATATATGTAGATGGATTTCAGCACTCTCAGGATAAGAGCTCACAGCTCTGAGCAGCATTACATGGAAATCCTAACAACTCATCTCTTCATAGCATGCAAAACTAGAGCAAACTGCAGAGAGCTGCAGAAGTTTATGGTTTTTTTTTGCCTGAATATTGTAAGTGTGATTTGCATTGTGAGTTAGAGAGGTGAGATAGACGGCAGGGGAATTCATGTGTAAAAATTTCCAATGAACTAATCTGTGCTCTGGTTCAAAGCTGTGATCTATGCGGCGTATGTTTCACTGTTACTTCTGTGAAATGTGCCCATCATCTATCATGAGACTTATATGTGGACCTTTTACTGAGAGTTAGCCAAGCCAAACTTACCAGAAGTGTGTCAGTCAGTGCAGATTTTAGAAAACTGATTCAATCAGATTTAGCAAGATACTGAGCTGACAGCATTTTAGCGAGTCTGGCTAAGATGTTCCTCAAAAGAGGAGAGAAAGCAGTTTAACCATTTTCAGAGGTTTTCTCAGCTCTGATATAGATAAACAAATAATTTTAGCAGCTAGCTGAGATTTATGAAGAAAACAAAGGTAAATATACAAATCGTTATAGTGAGTGTGAAATCAAATTCTGTTTATAAATTACTGTTTCAGATCATAATGTAGACCCAGTCTTTGGAAAAGAAATAAATACAAAGACAAAAAGAGAAAAAATTCACAGAAACTGTAACTACAGTGTTTCTAATCACCATGTCTTTGCTCTCTTTGTCAGGCGAGGTCCTTGTTGCCAAACACAGTAGGTCTTTTGAGTCAATTCCCCACCCCGGACTCCCTCGCTCCCTCTCAGCCCCTGCAGGGACAGGAAAGATGGAGGCCGGAGATACACGGCAGGAAGACCCAATAAAAGGCTTTCCTACTCTGGATGCATTAGTGGAGATGAGGGTCGTCGACCAAAGTCAGGAAGATTTCCAACAAACCCAGAAGGTAGAGACTTATATAATTGGACTGATCCAGCGCAGAGCCCTGCCCACACGGCCGTCAAAGCCCCGCACCAGCTTGGCTCATGACACCCGAGCTGTTACTGTGGTGAGACAAAGTAGTTTCTGCTGCAAGGAGGAGCAACATTCACCCAAACAGGCGTCTGTTCAAGATCCCTCCCCTCCATCCCAGAGTTTAGAGGAAACCGCTCCACAGCCTGGTCTTTACATCGATCAGGAGTGTAACCCAGGAGCAGGGTTTACTGAAAGTCCTCCACCCCCTTACCACCACCATCACCTCCACCCAAGTGTCCAGCATCAACCAGGGCTTTATCACAAGCCAAGGCCAACCCCTATGATGAATACCTCCTGCTCTACCATGCTGGATTATCCATCTTTTAGAGTGCTGCAAGCCCAGCCAGACTCCAGCAACAGTGAGCCTGATTCCCCCCAACAGTACCACAGCAACCCCTCCCCTCCAGCTCCATCCACCCCTCTCCAACCACCTTTACCTGATGAGCAGCTGGTCAACGCTGAGTATATTCCAGCCCAGCCCTGCAGAGCCTCCACCAGAGCTTATGCTCATCACCACTCCAACCCCAACAAGGGATCAGTGCTGCACAAACCCAACCGAAGCACTTACTCTCCGGAGAGAGGCCACCATCATCATCATCATCATCACCACCACCAAGAACAGCCACCGGCAGCATCTCAGATCCAACCCTCCAGATCCAGGGGAGGCCCGAAGAAGTGTCGCTCCAATGAAGACAAAAGTGGTGCCAGTAGGAAGCCGGGGAAGAAGGCCTGTAGGTCTCAGTCTGAGAACAGTCTGCAAAGAAATCAAGAGCGGAAGTACAACACAGTCGAGAGGGACGGAGGAGGGAGTGGAAGTGGTGGAAGAGGAAGCCGCGGTAGCCAATCAAAGAGCAAGAAACAACAACAGCACGGAGGGGGGAACTACCGCCGCTGGCAGTCCACTCAGGAGCTGAGTCAGGATGAGGCTGACCAGACACCTGTGCAGGCTCCTGTGCAGGTCCCCTCAGCCTCAAACCAGAGAGAGCACTGTGGGAGACGTGCACGCAAATCTCGCCCTGCACACGCTCCATATGCCTACCAACACCACCACCACTCCCACCACCATCAACACATGGAGTACCTGTTAGAGAGGGACCCTGTGCCCCTGTGTCCCCAGCCGAGTGAGGATTACCCTCACCAGGGTCAGGGAGAGACTGAGTCCAGCATGAGTGAAGCTGACTCTCCAGACTCCAGCTCTCTGTCCAGTGACTCAGATGAGAGTGGCGGTCTGGTTTGGCCTCAGCAACTACCCCCTCAACTTTCCCACCCATCACCCGCGGCTCCATCTGGAGCCTCTCTGCAGCCCAAGGCTTTTGTCAAGATTAAGGCTTCCCATGCCCTAAAAAAGAAGATCCTACGCTTCAGAACTGGTTCTCTGAAAGTAATGACCACTGTTTGAAGAGCGGTACAGCTTTAACTGAAGGAACAAGAGCTGCAGAGTCTAAGAAAGGGCCAAAGACTACATTCAGGATTATAGTCAATGTCTTCATGAAGGTACTGTGACCCCGGCTGACAGAAGTGGTTGAATAAAGTCAGATTTAACAAACCAAGGGGGAAATTGGCGTCACTGTATTCGCCCTTTTTCTCATATTTCTTGCAGGTCTTATGACAGGTTTTGTCGAAGAGCACTCTCATTTGTCCCTTTATGTCCTGATCTACCTAAATGTACATACTCAGAGAGTCTTTGAAGTCACCGTAAGCTTAGTTTCAAACAAGGCACAGACAGCTCTCAGATTGCACCAACTGTTGGGTTAGGGTTGGGACAGTAAATCTCATGAAGTAACTGAGCGTTACAGTCTGACACTATACAGCATGGTCATGTCGGCTCAGACCAAAGATCTGAGACAAGATCAGGTCAAACTTGCCGCTACTTGCAAAGCAATGTGCTGGTCTGTAGCTTCTTAAACCTGCCATGCGACATGCGACCAGACCAGACGGTGTCTGCTCTCTGTCTGTGTCGTGGACGTAGCCTAAAGCACGAAACTGCAGGTCTGTGTGGCTCAGAGCTGGGCAGCGCTGCTCATGCACATACACACAGTAAAGAGGTCAGGAAGGCAGCATGGCTAGATTTACACAAAAATCATACCCAATCTTCTCACAGGTTTGTACTCAGATGTCGGTGTATTTGTATTTCTGCTCAAGAAATCACTCATATGAGTTTTGTTTTTTACCGATTCAGTGTTGGTTTGCATTGGGCCAAGGCTCGCTTTAGCGCAAAAGCTTTCTGAGCCGGTGAAGAGGGACTGACTGTGGATAATGCACTCACAACAATGGACTAATCCCCCTAAGTATAAACATGGCTGCTTCTCAGACAAACTGTAGAGGTCAGTCTCTTTTTCCCTCATCCACAGCTCTGCCATGCAGTATCTGGTTTAAACAGCTGGCCTGCACCGAGCTGACTAGCTGTTGAAAAGGGCGCCATACCTTTTGTTCTATATCTGGCTGCTAACGGCTTGACATTAAATGGAGCTGGTCAGACCAGTCGCAGCGCCATGACTTCCCTCTGCAGTGATCTTGAGTTATTGTATCCAGCTGTGAATCTTTAATCTGAACTGGTCTTAATTTCATTTGTCCACCTGTGGCTCCTCATCTATAAAATTCCACTATTTACAGCCCCATTTCTTAAGAAGTTGGAACGCTGTGTGAAATGTTAAGAAATACTGATAAATTGGATGGGTTGCAAATATAGTAAACTTTATATTTTACAACTTCAAACAAATAAGGTTAAATTACGCACACAATTATGTAACATGACTGGTTATCAAAAGTGTCTCCAGAGTGTTTGAGTCTCTCAGAAGAGGTTAACTCTTCTGTCAGAGAGTGGGTGAGAAAATAATTCAGCAATTTCAAAATAGTGTTCTTGAGCCCAAAGTTAACAGTAACTTGTTAGTTTAGGATTTCTTTATCTGCAGAATGAAACTCATGAAAAGATTCAGAGAATCTGGAAATGTCCTTATAAGGCACAAGGCTACAGCATTGCATTGAAAACAAACATGACTCTGTAGTGGAAATCCCTGCATGGACTCAAAATCACATTAAAAAAACACTGTATGTGTACAAAGTTTGTCGCTGCAGTTTAAGACTTTCCATGTAGAGAAGAAACCACATTTATTTATAAATGATCCAGAAATGCTGCCAGCAACATCTGTGCTCAAGCCTGTAACAAATGGACTGAGGTGAAGAGGAAAATCTGATATTCTTTTAGGAAATCATGGACACTGTATTCTCCGCTGATAATAATCTGAATTACTTGTCTCCTATTTAGAGCACACAATTAGAAAGCCATCATATATGTTAGTTTGCAGATACCTAAATGCCCATAACATGGTTAGCTTCCTCATCTGGGAGGCCCCATTAATGCTGAACTGTATATACAGGTTTTAGAGTGAGATATGCTGCCATCAAGACATCGCCTTTTTATCAAAAAAGACCTTGTATAGTACCTGTAAGAAGATGCCAAACCAGACTCTGTATATATTACAACAGCATGGCTCTGTAGTAGAAGAGTACAGGTATAAACTGGCCTGTCTGCAGTCCTGACTTGTCACTTATTAAAAACAATTGGCACATTTTATTGTTTCTCACAGTCTCCTCGGTTCCCAAATATTAACAGTGTGTTGTTAATGAAGAGGTAATACAACATAACATTTGGTAAACATGCTTTGCCCTGAGCTTTTTTTTCTCTGAGCACATATTTTCATAAAACTATAACACTTTCAGTTTCAAAAATTCGATCTAATGTTTTTGCACTATTTCAAACTCAATATTAGGTTAAAATGATTTGCAAAACATCAAAATCTATTTTTATTCACATGTTAGAGTGTTTTTGTTGGATTTGGGTTGTACAAATCATGTTTCTGTTGTACATTGAACTTCTTTCTTGGATGGTTTTGTTGCCTGTTTGGTTGCCATTAATCAAAAACAGAGAGCCTTTTGTCTTCAAGAGAAAAACACATTTTTATGCTATTTTATGCAAATTCATCAACATGTTACAAACAAGAACATTGCAAACGTATGGTGGAAGGTATGATGGCCTTCATTGTAGAAACAGACCACAGTGTTTTTATTCTTTGACACATTATCATTAAAATGTCTTGTTGTAATTAAATAAGTTTAGCTGAGGGCAAACAAACAAAAGTTGGTGCTTCTTTAGTATTATTGTAAACAAACTGTTATTATTGTGGGCAGAGTCAATGTTGCTGTCAGGCACAGGGGGAATGTGACCGCAGTAAATGACAAGAGAAGTCTGAAGGAGCTGCATTGTTGGTGCTTTTTGTCTGGAGTGTGTGGCTGACGTGTTTACTGTCTGTGAAGCTTTGACATGTTACTGTGGCAGCAGATGTCAACCAGCAGAAATCAGCGACTTTGTAAAGAAGTATTTGTAAAATGTTGTGTAGAAACTGTTTATATGAGTTCTGATGTTGGTTAAATGCTTTTTCAGATCCTTAATGGGATAAAAACGTGCCTGCCCAAAGAATGTATTAACCATTACAGTGCCACTTTGACGTTTCCACAGTATTACATTCAACTCACTATGAGTTTCTTTTTGTATATCATCTGTCTGACTAAATGTATGGTATTAAAATGTTTTTATTAAATATGAGAAACTTCATTTGCTTTTTTTTAGAATCTATGACATCATTTCTACGTCAGCCAGAAGCTCTGTGGGTGGAGGTTTTTTAATGCTGCAAGGTGTGACCAAATGGACAGCCAGTGTAGGTGTCAGCAAGTAGACCACACACAGTGAGATAGGTAGAGAAAACACAAACACACACTCACACACTCACACATACACACTGAGACACACACACACACTGGGCTGTCAGCAGGCTGGGTGCTGGTGATGGATGTGTCGAGTGACTAAAGGGGGGGGGGGGGATTAAACTGAGGAGTTAACATTGATTCAGCTCAAATGTCTTCAACACCATAGAAGACAAAAAAGTGGAGTGTGTTGTGTAGTAGTGTTCACCTTAATAAACTCCATCAGCTCACATTAAACTAAAATACAGAGAAAAGGTTATTAATTACAATTGTCTCTTTAGTCCATTTTACAAAACAATGAGCAAGGCAGACATAGTTTGATCCTGGTTTGTGTTTTCATACATCCACAGTCTTATTACACAGATGTCCAGTGTTGGGCAAGTTAGTGAAACAAGTAGCTAGTGACAATTACCAGTTCCCACTATCAAAAAGTCACAGAGTAGCAACATTTCAAAAGAAATTAAATATAACTTCTTTTGCTTCAGTTACCCTCTGGTCTCAGCTCAAACCTCTGCTCATTAGTTCTCTGAAAGCAGCTGATACAGGAAGCACGTCTTCAACAACATACCTTACAATCAGTCTGTTAAATCTTTTCTGGCTCACAGCTCATGAAGCTGGCAGTGATTTTAAATCAAGCTCTGGCTGTATGGACAGCATGGCTCCTCCTTAGTCTCAGGGGTGTGTCCAGACATTTTAACTGTGGTGGCCCAGTTTGAGCCCTGATTTACTGCATTTATGCAGTGAAATAATTTGTTTGATATTTTTATCTCCACTTATCCTACCCACTTTAACTTCTGATGATTAAGTATCACACAGTTGTTTTAATCAAGAATGGCAGCTATTAGATCTTCTAAACCTAATTCTATGAGGCCTTGATAAAAACAAAAGTTTGTCTTTAGTCATGATTAAACTTACTCAAAGATTTTCAAGCAAAGCCTGATCATAAAAAACAACCAATCTAATCATTGTCATAGGGTCATACTTCTGAGATACTGACCCTTCCTCTAATCTTAGATAAAACAATGATAAAATTCTGAAAATACAGTGAGTCGCTTGAATAAAATGTTTGGTCAAGTACATATTCTGTGTGTACAAGTGACAAGGAGAGTATCTCTTCATGTGTTGCTTAGTTTTAAGTGTATATGCACATTGATAAAAGTTAGGCCAAATAGTCGATGAACAAAATTAATCAAGTGAAAGTGAGGCAGAAACTCTATCTTGAAACCTCACCTAAAGAAACAGCACAAAGTCAAATACAAACTGTCATAGATAAATCTTAACTTATATTTTAGCACTGACAATATGAAACAGAGCAAAACAATAAATACAATAAATAAATATAATAGACATAAAATCAATACAAGTAGTAATTCAGCATTCACTATATACTAAGAAAACTGTCTGACATTGTCAAGCATTTTGGAGTATTATTTTACATCCAGACAGAGATAGAGAGTTTGTTGGTAAGTACTGTGTTTTATATCATCATTAGACACTATGATATTTTATTGATACCGTCCTCAAGATGTACAATACATCGGTAAGTAAGTTAATGTCATTATACATTGGTTGATATGAGCATTACTGAGAAACTGTTTTAAGTATTTGTGCAGATCTTTACTGTACTTCACTTTAGAA